TGTATACACACCGGGCTGCATCATGGGGCAACTCCCTTTTGGCCATTATCATAGAACAACAGTTTTTATGATCATGATGACGGAGTTCAGACATAAAAATTTGCAAATGCTTTTTCTTACACCCCGTTCCCCAACACAAAACAACATCAACTGGGCCACTTACACGAATAGTAATGATATTTTCCTTCCAACTGTGGGTAAACCTGCCACTGCGGAACAGTCCCATTCCCTGTGAGAATGCAACAGCGTAATATGACGGTGGTCGTAGCAAGTCCACCCAGCCCCAGCTTTATGTGCCGATATTCTGTCATGCATGATGATTTCCAGAACTTGCTGGTCCCGCTCTCAGGGAAGCTCTTATGGAGTCTTGCTAGGTTGATAGTAAGCACAGTCTCTGTCTCTAAGCGATGCGTCAGTATGCGGAAATTAGGTACAGCAAGTAGCCATCGTAGGACCGCACACCCCTCGCTCAACCACTACCGAGCAATATATTCTGACTCCTTTTTTAAGCTTGTCTGAGACAATGACAGCTGTGCATGGCAATGCGGGGGGAAGATATTGAAAGAAAAGCCATTCCCATCTGGACCGACCAAGATCTGAGTTCAATGTCTTGCGGTTGTCTAGTCAGTGCCCTTTGTAGGATGAAATTTTAGGTACGACACACACGAGAGAGACATTTGTTGACTTTCTATTCATAGAGCTGAGCACTCTCCGGCGCCTTTTTCCCTATGCATGAACTTGACGGGGTGGTACCGGTACCGATTTGCCCCGGCTAGCTGCTTGCCGCTTTGTCACTCTTCGTCCACTTTTTAACTACATACATACGAGGTTGGGGGAGGAGGAGGGAGTAGGTGACGAGCGAAAAGTGACTTGACTTGCTTGGGAGGAGAGGGATGCAGGGGCCTTGACCTTGCGACCGCCGACCGACGGTACCCATCATTAGCAAGAGGAGCGTCTCCATTTGCGGTCATCTCAGATCTTTAGCACTTGCGGGATGATCTATCTCTAGTATGCATTCTGGACCACTGGCTTTTAGATTTTTATTGAGCGCGGCAAGGCCACTCTAAGCGGCCGGGCTACACGTTGACAAGGCAGAAAGCGTGACGCCGTCGACTGCAAAGCTTAAATTAAAACGGCATGTCGTGGCAGTCCAAGTGGGAAGAAGAAGACCATAGGTAGGCACTGGCGCTGGCTGAGATGCCAAATGCATTCGAAAATGCCATACAAATGCAGCGCGCCTAGAGGCCATGCCATGCCATGCACACACATACATATTCCCCATACTTGCTTGCGCGCGAATCGTCAGGATTGGTCGCTTGGTTCAAGTCGTACTGAGAGCGGGTCGTCAGTTGTGGTGTGGCCACGGCCATTTTTCTGAGCAGAGAGGTTCTGGTTCTGGTTCTCTCGCCAAGGATGACATGGACTGTTTCTACCATTACAGAAGTCAAAGCCGACCGTTCCTGACCAGCTTCGCAGCGCAACCAGCACGATCCCAGCAGAAGAATGCACCTAGAAGGGCCGTGTGGTGATCCACCCCAAAGGCGACCCTTGTGACCTGACCTGATCCTCCTCCATGGACTCCTCCAGAATGCTGTTTGTGAGATGATCCTCCTCTTAGTGTACGTAGGGGAACTCGAGTTGAAGGGGAATGACCCGATGACACCCACCACGGTAGATGATGGCGACGTCTAAGGATTTCTATATCCACGCTTATTGCATGGGCAACACTAACAAAAAGACAAAAAAGAACTGTCGGTTGGTGAGGCCTTTCATCGCGCCAATGATGTTGATCGTACTCTGTTACTGATTGAATACTGAGTCGCGAACAGCTAGACTATTACGACACAAGTCTTTTGGGCAGCCGGCCTAACGCCCAGGCACAATGCATTGTGCAATTATAGGCCAATCATTATTAGTGCGTTTACTGAACAACCAAAAAGAGGTCCAGAAATTATGTACACTAGATGCTACTTGCATAGTCGAAGTTTTTGAGAGAAACAGAATTTTCCACGGAAATGACACAGCTATTCTTTGGTGACTTATGATTCTATTACACTTCTTGGGACCTCGAAAAGTAGCAGAGGCAAAAGATGGAGAAACCAAGAGTCAGTCCTTCAGTCAGTCAGAACATAGGACGCAGGGAGAGAGAAACGTCGCATCGGCTCATGAGCATTGTCCTCCTCGCTGCATCTTTAACCCTGCCGTGATCCCTTCCTGCTTCCCTGCGATACTTGGCGCCTCCTCTTTTTTTCTAATTCTTTTTTCCTCTTGCTCTGTCGGAAATACTCCGTGCATACCCACATCAGCTATGTTCCCTGGCAAGCCTGGCACTGAGCACAGAAATAAAGAGAGTGACCAAAAAAAAAAAAAAAAAAAAGCGCCCGAGACTGGGTACACTGACCCCGATCCTGACCCTCGTGCCTACCCAGCCTGGGATGTACCTTAAGCTGCCGGTTGTACCTACATGGGCCGTGGGCCGGGACTGGGACTCATGCTCTGGCGCTGCCCATCAGGGATCAAGATGCCATCAGCGCATTTCTCGCAGCGGATCCAAAAGGGTTAAAAAAAAAAAGAGAGAGAAGCCAGGTCCAGAGCCAGGGCCCGCGAGCGGGGACAGCTAGAGAGACAAAACAGAGAGTCTGTTCTCTCTCTTTCTCTTTCTCGCCATGCCCTCCCGCTTGGAGATGAGGCTTGTCCTGCTCCGCTGCTAGCGGCGTCCCCTAAAAAAGCACACGCCGTGAACGCAACCGCCGGCTGCCCTGTGCCATGGTCCGCTTCGAACAACTCATTTCACTGGCCGCTGTTCCCCGAGATTGAGTTGGGCGGACTGTGGGCAGAATGAGGAGCAGAGATATGCTCATCAGAGTAGGATTAGGTCGGCCGATAGTACATAGTGTTCATCATCGCCAAATGACAACTTTCCTTAGTGCAGAAAAACAAAACTACGCAGCATTCGTAGGCACTCTCTGGAAAATGCCCGGAATGACATATTATGGATTTACGTAGCAGAATACCCATACATAAAGCAGAATCCCGGACATATCAAATACGACTGACTGGGCATTCGTTTTTGGCATGTAACGGTAATGGAGGTTCGTGGATTCGATACCCCGTATGATCATTGGGAAAGTACACTGTATATTGATACCATACCTGTTAAATTCACTCTCGAGGGCTAGGAGCTACATACTCAGGTACATTGATAGGAGGAGGAGAGTGAACAGAAGGTGGCTGCCGACCCGAGCGAGCTTGCACAGCTTCTTTGATTTCGTACCTTACATAAGGCGGTGAACCAAAGTGACTACTACCGTCACTACTACTACTACTACATTATGGCGTAGGTACTCGTGAATTAGTTGCTGATGCTGACCAATTCGACTACAGCTGCGTTATCGTGGCTACACCAGTAGTATTCATATCAGCATCTATGTGCGTTCAGTGTAGAGCACGTACATTACAGAAACAACGAAACAGAATAAGGAAAAACTATTGCAAAGTGAACAAAATGCGTGGCTTGAACCTCGCCGCTACAACGTTGACCTACATACATACCTAGTACCGCCGTGAGCAAGCAAAAAGAACAGAAGAGACCTGCCCAATCGTATGTGTGCCATCCAACCAGCCAACCGAACGAGAGACCAACCAGCCAATCCATCCTCCGCCCATCCACTCAAAATCCATCCTGCGTGGTGTGTCCGTCCACTCAAAGTCACTCACACCCCCCCTCCACTTCCCTTGCCCTGCTTCCCTCATGGGCCCCGGCTGGACTGGTTAGTGGTCAGTGGTTGTGGCTCAAAGGTTCCCACCCCAAATCTCTCTCACTCTCACTCCCACTCCCACTCTCTCTTCGCGCTCCGTCTCCATCTTTCCCAATCCCATGCGACCCCCCCCAAATTGACCCATACCCAACTGGACGTACATGGATGTACATAGTAACCTGCTGTACCACCCGGCCGACTCGTCAACAGCTTGTAGAAATCATTAAACACCCCCCAGGTCCGCCCTCGCCTTTCCTGTCCACCCTCTCCCGGCCTTTTTGACTCTTGTGATTTCTTCACTTCGAGACATCCTCAGTCTTTCTTTCCTTTCTTCTCTCTCTCACTCCTCTCCCACCTCGTCTCGTGACTACTAGAAGTGTTGCAGTTGTCCTTCCTCTCCGTCAACTCTACTGGAGAGCTAGCTGCACACTCAAAATCCCACCACTGTCATCCCGCCGCCCCACGAGACGCTTCCTTTCTCTCGACATCCAAGGGAACCCGTGCGCCAGCTCGCCACTGTCGCCCATCAGAAACAACCAAGTTTGTCGCAACGCGCCAACTTGTCCAATCTGATTCTTGTCTGTACTCTGCCCACGACGAGGTTGAATCTCTGGTCGTTGGTTGTTTCGATACTAGAACCAAAGTTCCACCAAAGTCCCCAGCTCTCTTTCCTGGACCCTAATTCTGGACCGCATCGAGGACGCGCTCGCTTAGTCGAACGGCGCCCACCCTGCATCCACAGCCCACAGGACGGAGGACCGCATCGCATCGGCTCCATCGGCTTCACTCGTTCAACAGCAGCTTCAATCACCTTGACGGTTCATTGTCGACTGATCCCGCCTACCCATTCGCTTGAGGCAAATTGGAGGCTCACAAACGCAACTCGCGTGCAAAATAAGAAAAATTATTCCCAAGAAATTACATCCAACGGGCTGGACTCGACTAGAAAAAGCATATCTCATACGTCGTTTTTCGCTATTGATTCCAAAGGCAGCGCCTTGAAGCCTCTAGCATCCCACTAAACACCTCGCCCGCACAACAGCAGCTCTGGACACTGCCCGGCTATTTCCCAAAAAGTGTTTTTTGTACCTGTCGCAACGGTTTCAATTCAAATAATTGGTCCACTCGATTGTCGGCGCCCCGCAGAGCGACCTCAATTGAATACTGGGACTCTTTTTTCACCTCTGCCTTTAAGTCTTTCTAATTGCGTTTGTGCAGAGAATGTACACGCAACCCGCAGCTATGGCGGCCGCACCACAAAAGCCAGAGACTTTCATGCTCAGCACAGAAGCTCAGCAAGCATTGCCGCATGATGCGCAGGTAGCGCTGCAGCAAGTTGACAATCGTAAGTAACCTGTAACCCCGCGATCCATGAGACGAACCGCATTGTACTCACTGCTTGTTTAGTCAAGTACTTCCTCATCTCCGCACCTGTCGATTGGCAGCCAGACCAGTACATTCGCAGATTTCTTTTGCCCACTGGCGAATATGTCTCCTGTGTACTATGGAACAACCTCTTCCACGTCTCGGGCACTGACATTGTCCGCTGCCTTTCCTTCCGCTTCCAAGCGTTCGGACGTCCCGTCAAGAACTCCAAGAAGTTCGAGGAGGGTATCTTCTCGGATCTGAGAAACTTGAAGTCTGGCACTGATGCATCCCTTGAGGAACCCAAGAGCCCGTTTCTCGACTTTCTCTACAAGAACAACTGCATCCGAACACAAAAGAAGCAGAAGGTCTTTTACTGGTACAGCGTCCCGCATGACCGCCTTTTCCTCGATGCCCTGGAGCGTGACCTGAAGAGAGAAAAGATGGGCCAGGAGGCTACCACCATGGCCGTCAGCGAGCCTGCTCTGTCGTTCCAGTACGACTCTTCTCAGTCTCTCTACGAGCAGCTCACCAAGGCCCAGCAAGCCAATTCTTCGTCATTCAACGCACAGCAGGTGTCCTTTCCTCAGTCCCAGGCTCCCTCTCCCGTGATGAGGGCAATGGAATCTATGCCCCCTCCACAAATGATCCCCCAGACCATGGCCCCTTTATCCGACGGCATGGACGCGATGGTTCAGTACCAGGCGATGGCAATGGCCCCAGCTCTCCCCCCTCAGGTTCAGCAGGTGGTCAAGCGGGAGCCTGAGTTCGCTCGCGTCCAGTACAACCAGAACGGCGTTCCGATCCAAGGCCACCAGCGTCACGCTTCCATGCCTGCCTATGGCCTCGAGTACTCACCAGCCCCATCTTTCGTCTCTTCGCAATATGAGGACTACAGCAACCGCGGTATCTCTTTCGAGCCCATCACTCCTCCCCAGCAAGCCCTGGGCATGGGCGCTGAGCCCGCCTATATTGCCAATGAGGAGACTGGTCTGTACACTGCTATTCCTGACCACATGGGCGGTGTAAATGGCCTGAATGGAATGATCCAGCTTCCTCCTTCCAACCTGGCTGGACCTCAATTCTCTCGCGCCTATGGAGCCAACAACGTCTACTCTGTCATTGAGGGCTCCCCGACCTACAAGCAGCGACGCAGACGATCATCGATTCCCCCTTCCATCTCCGCCATTGCAGCCGCCACCGCTCAAGTACAAGCAGCTGCTCACCGCCCTTCTGATCTGAGAAGATCGGTTTCGGCATCCGTTGGACCTGTTCCCGAGGATGAAGGCGAGACCTCGCCGCCTGGCCTCGCCTACAGCAACTCCCAAGTGTCCATGACAAGCCAGCATCATAAGGATATGTTGGATATGTCTAGACATGGCACCCCTCTGTCCACAGTCGAGGGCAGCCCCGCCATGAACCCTATGGCACTCCAACACCATGACTACATGCAGATGGGACACAATGACCTCAACAGCGACGCCATGAGCGACCGTGGCATGATGTCGCAAGGTGGACCCAACGTGGTTCGTCGTGCTCGCTCTGCCACAGTCATGGAGCTCGGCCCATACCCTCAGAAGTCCCACTCCTGCCCGATTCCCACCTGTGGCCGTCTCTTCAAGCGTTTAGAGCACCTGAAGCGGTAAGACCGATATTTTCTACGTTATGACTCATGTGTGATGCGCCGCGCATGTATCTGACTCAATATCTAGACACGTGAGAACACATACACAAGAAAGACCCTACATCTGCCCTTATTGTAGCAAGGCATTCTCTAGATCGGACAACCTAGCACAGTACGAACCCATACCTTTCCTACATGTATCTTTCCTTTGTACAAGAAAAAAAAAATCATGTGATGAGCTACGATGTATTGTGCGAGACCGCGAACCAAACCAGAAAACTTCAGCCACGTCACGACGCGCATCAGTCATACCACACTACATCATCACTCTCACAGATTGGATATCCAGATAAAGAATGAAAAACTAACATTAGCTTCTTCACAGACACAAGCGCACGCACGACCGTGGTGAGGGAGTCGAGGGTGGCTTTCCCCTGTCAGGCGAGGAAGAGGATGAGTACTCTGGCGAGGATCACCTCGGTTCTCTGGAGGAAGCCTCTCCCAACTCAGAAGGTGGATACATGCACAGCTCGCTGAACAGCGTCGCCCACGGCCACGGCCACACACATGGCACCCCGACCAGCAACGGCATGATGCCTACCACAAGCATGTCGCAGCAACCGACATTTAACAGCCTGCAAACGCTCAGTATGCCAATGACCATGAGCACGCCGGCTGGTGCGATGATGTAGAGGTGGATTTTGTTCTTGTTGTTTTTACTGGTTTTCTCTTGTTTACTAGCGGGTTGCATCATGACGGACATGCCATTTTTCATTTACGTTGGAAGAATCATGCGGATGACTCGTCGAGGCCACAAGAAAGGTTTCCGAGCTGTTGGGTTTAGCGGACTGTTTTGACTTGTTCGCGTTCATGTTTTGACGCGAGACTCGAGGTTCTGCGTTGTAGTGGACCAACAAACAGACCTGGGTTCACACACAATACACTTTTTCGATCGAGGCTTACCAATTCCCTGGCAATTGGACGCCTATTTTACTACTATTTTCTTATCTTTCTCCTTTGTCTTCTTATCTTGTTCTCTTCTTTACAGCACGAGGGATACCAAAAACGCAACGATAGACAGGCGGTTGAGCATGCGCTAACCGTCACTGCATGGAATGGATGTCACTACATCGAGTTGGAAGGACGGACGAATGGGGATTGAGAAGGCAACTCATGCTATGTATATATAGTCTTTTTTTATTGGCCTTTTCACTATTTCTTGTATTGATCGCGTCCAACAGGAGGAGGCAGCGCTCGGTGGATGGTACCAGACACGCTATCAGATGGATTCATTCATCTATGGCACAGACTCAATCAAAAAAAAGATATGAAGAAATTCAGAGAGCGGGATCTCGAGATCAGCTCATTCAAGATACAATAGTTCGTCCGAAAAAAATCCAAGGAAATAAAACAAACATAAAGATATCCAATGCCGTATCTCCTGCCATGTTATCCAAGAACATGACCTGCCAAAAGATTGATAAATAAGATGTTCTTCTCGAACCAATGATTCGTCGATACGTGACTGGCTAGCAGGTCACGAACACTATGTAGCTAACTAGATATCAATTTGTAATGTCAACCCTCATTTATGTTACTAAATATAAATATCTCCTGGTATTTAGAAATGCGGATCGGAGTTCTTCATCCAGTAATACTGACGGCATTTTCAACGGGAAGAATGTCTATGTCACGGCTTGCCATCGAGCGAGACAATGTCTCGAAACAGAAACTTGTGCAAACTTCCAGTCTCTGGGAACAATGCAACTAATATAACCAACGGGGTATCAAAATCTGCCCTTGCTCCCATTACAAACGCGTTTATTCATGCCATGAAGTAGCAGCACCTCATCGCTTTCGCCATAGTACGTAACAGACCGAGAATAACCTTTACATTTAAACCGCGTACTGCCGCTCAAAGTGTATCCCGTCGCGTCGCTGGAGTGTTGGTTTCATCAGTTCAGACTTGGAATAAGTGGCTTGTTGGACTCTTTCTTTTTGTGTGTATCTGTTTGCAATCACCTCCGGCGCTTCTTCATCTTGCCGCCGCTGCGTACAGGTCCATTGATCTCGGCAACGTCGCGCTTGCTGAGTCTGAGCATACCTCCTCTCATCTTGCCGACGGCGGGTGCATCAACAGCCCTCTCCCTCCTTCTGCCGCCGCCGCCGCCGCCGCCGACAGAAGACTTTTTGCCGCTGGACTCCTTTTCGAGAATGATGCCATTCTCCTTGGCCTCGCGGCGCCTCTTGGACTCGCGGTCCCGGCGCGCGCCCTCGATGCCCTTGCGGTGGCTCATGGGCATCTTGTCCTGCTTGTAGATGGAGGCGGCCCCCTTGCCGCCGCCGCCGCCGCTCAGGGCCGCCACGCGCATGTCGGTGGCCAGGTGGCGATTGCGGCCGCTGTGCTCCGTATTCACGGTCGAACCAATGAGCGATCCGGACCGATTGGTTGGGTTGAACAGGTGGGATTCGGACAGCAACCGCTGCAGGGCCAGATCGTTGCGCACCAGGTCCGCAGAGTCTTCTTCCGTCGGGGTCTTGGTCTTTTGTTTCGTCTTGGTCGTGGTTCCGGTGTCGCTGCCGCCTACTGAGGCGAGAGGAACTTTGGACGAGAGGTACGCTTTGGCTTCGCGCCTTGCCAGCGCCGCGGCCAGGGGGTTGGCCTTTGGTGTGTTGGATTGCGTATAGTCCACCACCTCTATCTTGTTGGCTTCTTCTGGTTCGTCGTCTCTGTCGTCTTCGTCATTCTCGTCATCGGAGCCGGAAAGACCATCCCAATCGCCCTCCTGAGCATCGTCATCGTCATCGTCGTCCTCATCCGAGGATCGCATGTCTTCTACATCCTCGTCTTCTGCCTCGTCTGACTTTTTCACCTTTTCTCGAGACTTTCCATTTGACTTCTTCCCTGCTGCTTGTTTTGTCGTGTTATCAGATAGCGGTGCAAATTGTGCCTCGAAATGCCGCCTGAAGATCTCCCGAGCTTCCTCTTCAGAGATTGTTGGTTTCGCTGCCGGGGCCGCTGCTTTGGGGGTCACGGAAGCGCGAGATTTGCGTTTCCCCAAGACTGTCGTCATTCTTGATACTTGGACTCCGTTTTTGGGGTATAATTGGGTGTTTCTGCGAAAAGTTTGGTGGTGCTTTGTGTAACGAGAAGAAAATATAAATATTGCGACAAATGGAATGACGGATGTTGAAGTTTGAGATTTGCCCAGTTGGTTCCTAGAGTCTTTCAAAAACTTTTTTTTTTTTCCAGCAGGATCAGCAGCCTTGCACACGTATCTTGCACTATAAACCGCTGTTTCAAGCCAATCACAGGGATGATTAGTGCTAGATGACGCCGGAATTTAGCGATTAGTACCTTAACCGACCTACCCCGCGGTAGCCTCGCAGACCTAATCGGACTTTTACAAGACTTTTTGCCCCGCCAATGGGGTCTGAAGTCATACAATTGTATCTATTGGCGAAGCAGAACCCATATACAGCTTTTCCTGACTCAACTACATTATCTATAGAGAAGACTTTCGTTTGAAGAGCATTCAATTCTTTTGTCTCATAATTGAATAGCCCGAGCTTCATCTCCCGTCATTTCAAGTCGCCAAATCTCAAGAAATGACGCGCTTTAGGCCGTGTATTGACCTGCACGCCGGTCAGGTCAAGCAGATTGTGGGCGGCACCCTGAGCAACGACACGTCGGAGCTCAAGACCAACCACGTCTCGCTGCACCCGGCCGGCTACTTTGCCAAGCTGTACCGGGACCACGAGCTGGCCGGCGCCCACGTCATCATGCTGGGGCCCAAGAATGATGCGGCTGCGTCCGAGGCCCTCGCCGCTTGGCCGGGCGGCCTGCAGGTCGGTGGTGGTATCAGCGACAAGAATGCCAAGGAGTGGATTGAAAAGGGCGCGGAAAAGGTGAGATGAGGAATGAAACTCGATGATTGAAGATTGACCAGGTCACAAGAAAAGAGAGAGTGAGACAGAGTGAGAGAAATGGCAGCTAAATCATCCCCCGTGTTAAGTAGGTCATTATCACATCGTACCTATTCCCCGAGGGAAAGTTCAGCCAAGAGAGGTTAGACGCCGTCCTCGAGGCCCTGGATGGAGACAAGAGTAAGCTCGTCATCGACCTTAGCTGCCGGCGGAAAGGGGATGACAAGTGGTTTGTCGCCATGAACAAGTGGCAGACCATTACAGATATGGAGGTAAACCAAGGTGAGTCATCATGTCGCATAGACGATCAAGTGACTTCTCTCTACAGAGGCAGAAGCAGAAGAAGAAGAAAACAAAACTGGCTAACAAAAACCTTGATCACAATTCTCAGAATCCATCAGACAACTCGAGCCCTACTGCTCCGAGTTCCTGATCCACGCCGCGGACAATGAAGGGCTGCAAAAGGGCATCGACGAGAAGCTCGTCCAGCGCCTCGCCGAGTGGTGCAGCATTCCCGTAACCTACGCCGGCGGTGGTCGCCACCTCGAGGATCTCGACCTCGTTCAGAAGATCAGCGGTGGCAAGGTCGACCTGACCATTGGCAGCGCCCTCGACTGCTTTGGGGGCGACGGCGTCAAATTTGACGACTGTGTGGCTTGGAACCGGAAACAAACATGAGTCTGCAACAGTGGGCTGCATGTCCATCTGCTGTCATGGCTGCAAATGGCCAATGGGCAGGAATGGAGGAATCGAAAAATCGCATTGGAGGAGTTGATTAACTGATATAGAAATTGCAAAAAATCCTCACTGGATAATATGAGCCAACATACAGAGATGTCGTTATCATAGATTTTGTACCTTGCTTTCTCGTGTTGAAATGGCTCCCAACTTTTTTTGGTGTGCGAGTTTTGTCGAGATGAATCCCCATGTGTCATCTCATCTGGCTGGTTACTATGTTCAAAATAGAGTACCCAATACTCAATATGATATCGTTCGAGCCAGTACCTGACACTCCATTCATCTCTTCGCAGAAGACCAAACAAAACTCAGCTTTTGACCCTTGAAATAAAGCCGTTTCTGAAAATCAGCGTTTGATAAAATTTTGCCAATCGTCATACGATGATGAAAAACAGCTAGAAAAAGCCAAAATGAACACAATTATTGCCATACAAAACTTTTCAGTCGTCATCGTCATCATCACTTCCACTGGACCAGCCTTCCTTGTATCCCTCTGCAATCTCGGCAAGCTCGTTGCCAATGTCTTCTCTGTCTTCCAGGCCGATGGATCTCAACACCGTCGTACGCAGACCTTTCATCTTGTCCGTGACGGACGAATCTGTTGAAAGGACTGTCCGCATAGACACTGGATTTCTAATGGAATCGCCCTCCCGATCTCTAAAGACACGTGGGTAGCTGTCCAGCATGGGATACATGAGCTGTGATTGGAATCTGCAAAGGCATTAATTAACTCCAGAATTCCAAGACAGGTATGGTATCTCGATAAGAACGGCCCACGTTGGGTCGAGGTACTTACTTGTGTGTCTTTGGTCGCTCGAAACGCCTGTACTCGTTTTCAAGAGGTTCGTCATCATCAAAGCCCTTCAAAGCATCCTCACCTCTGGCTGTGCTCAGCTGGGAGAAAAGATGCGGCTTTCGTCCACCCCTAGCGCCCGCCGATGAAGTAATGTTTTCCTCGAGGGAAGACAAGTCCACCTCGAGCTTTGTGACGCCGCTGGGGGAACCTGAATCGGACTGATGTTCCTCAAACTCGAGCGCATTGAGACGGTCATACATCTCTCCTCTACCTGTTGGAAGTTGCATGGCGCCATTTGTACCGTTATGGGCTGGCTTTGGTGGCTCGATCAAGCTCAACTGCATGTTGACTATAACCTGCTTGCCAAACACATTCAAAAGATCAGCGGCGTTGCCGAGACTCGTTGAGTTGGCTTGGTTGGTCATCCTCATGCGAGTATATAGGGAAGTACTCTCCATTGCTGCGTTGAAGAGGGCCGAGACGTGCCAAGGCGACGATCGGTCTAAGGAGATACTCGAGGGGAGCCTCTGGGGGACGCCGAGAGGAATCACGAGTGACGCCTGAGAATTCATGTCGGCAAGGGCTCGTGCCTTGTTGACTAGCTTTAGAAGTCTCTTGTCCTGGAACGTGTCAAACTCGGTAATAATTTCAGATAAAGTTCGAGGTAATAGAAGAAGCTTACCCTTGGAAGGCCATTTGTCGGCTCTTGAAGACCCCACACCCAAATGGGCGTCTTGCCATACTCGTCCCGCAGACGTTCCAGATACTTGGCCGCAAAGCCACCCCAAGCATCGTCGATACCGGTCATGACCTGAACGCCCTGCATCTGGTCGGCCTCCTCGACAAAGGGGCGGAGGTCGCGGTCGACGATGTCGTGGTCCTTGTCGAGTGAGGAGAAGAGCTCCTCGCCCATGGACCACTTCTCAAACGGCATCAAGCTCGAGTTGAGCTCGTACTCGTTAAGCTGGACAATGGACCGCGGATGGTAGAAAACGCGGCTGAAGTCGGACCAGTACCGCACAGAGCCGGTTGTGAGCTCCGGGGCGGCGGCACCAGTGTCCAAGCTCTCCTGGTATGCGCTGAGCTCAATGGGCTGTTGCTTCTGCACCACGGTCTGCCCGTTCCTATCGCCGGGTCAGTCGGAAAGCAGCAGAGGGAGTGGAAAGGGAATGGACGAGGGCACACACCACAGGGCTGTCGGTTCGCCATCCTCGGCCTCGTACAAGGCATTTATCTTGCGCATGGAGCCAAAGCCGCCCTTCAGGTCGTAAATGACGGTCCTCGGCATATAGGTTTCGGTGCCATCGCTACCAATGCCCGGCCGGAAATGAACGTCATGGTCGACGGGCGATTCCCCTTCCTCGCCATAGGTAAAGTACGACTCCTAGATCTGTTCAGCAGTCGATTCATTGTGATACGAGTCAAGGGATGGCCGTCAAACCTGAGTATTCCAGAAATGTGTGCCCAGATAATTGCTCTGCTGCCCGAGCTGCAGCGTAATGATTTCACGCATGATGTCTCATTGGGCAGCTCGGCCACAAGGAAGATTGGGGGGGTTTTCTTGGAGGAGGGGGATTTTATGATAGCTCTGTCTTATCCTCGGCTCGATATACATGCATACATATAGGATGTATGTATCAAAGGGTGAGAATAGGGAATAATAACATTAAGCTGCCATCATTGGCCATGAGATTTGCCAACAATCATGAAAATAATTAATTGATTGACACACAGCAGTGCTGCCAATTGGATGCTGTGGAGCTCCGCTAGGTTTCCCTAAACTTTTTAGGTACAATGCTGCTGTGGCTCGGTAGTGGTGCTGTTGCTGCTGCTGCTGCATCATCAATCATCATCTTCAGCTTATTAGCGGCGGCTGCCACGCAATTGGCAGAGGCCCCAGAGATAAAAATGTACGTACAATCGTTCACTGGAATCAATGTTTGGGCGGCGGGCATCAAATATTTAGCGGGGTGTACGGGTGGGCCTCGGCTTCTTTATGAGTAGTTGCTGCTACACTGAGCTGGCAAGAAAAAGCTAAGGCTTTCCTTCCACCCATCGACCCGGACCCAGTCAGTACTGGACCCAGACGGGGCGGCCGTCGACGATTACAACGCCCTAAAATCATAAGAGGTCCTCCTGCCTTGCACCGTCCCTTCATTTTGGTTGACCTTCTAACCCATTGATATGCCGTCATTTACCTAATCACTGACAGTCTCTCATATCAAAAGAAAAGAAAAAAAAGATTAATTCGACCTCTTCTTTTTTTCATGCACACCCATTCTCGTCGTCTCATCTTCTCCTGATCTCTAACGACCGTCTTGCTCATCACAAACCATGGCGAATCAATTGAATCTGAACCTCGCTCAGGAGTGGGAGTCGTGGAAAACCCCCGAGACCAAGGACGTGCAGCCAGCCCCAAAGCCCGGTGAGAAGGCGCCGGTCAATGAGAACTTCACACTGAAGACGGACAAGCCAACCCTCATTGTCTTTTTGCGTCACTGCGGGTGCCCATGTATGTTTGTTGTGTTTACTTTCATCCTCTTTCCCCCCTTTGATAGAAAGCTCTCCCCCCAAAGAGGGCACACCGACATTTTTGCCAGGGTGGTAGAACGTTTATATCGTTTTTTGGTCTTGGCATGAGCTATAATCATACTATACTCCATCCAACTTTACATATCCTTCACGCGCGAATCCATACTTCTGAATATCCTCATTCGTATCTACTCTCTTTGGCATACCTACTGACACCTTCAACTTCTACAGTCGCAGAAAAGACCTTCAAGAAGCTCACATCCATCTCCTCAAAGTACAAGGAGGATCTGCACTGCGTGGCGGTATCGCACTCGTCGCCCGAGGCCACGGAGCGCTGGGTCATCCAGGTCGGCGGCAACTGGGAGGTCGAGGTCGTCGTCGACCACGAGCGCGAAATGTACGCCCAGTGGGGCCTCGGCGTCTCAAACACCTGGCACGTCCTCAGCCCCCTCTCGCTCTACCGCGTCTTTCAGCTCGGCAAGCAGGAGAACATTTGGAACCGCGCCACCGAGAGCGGCAACCGCTGGCAGACGGCCGGCGCCTTTGGCGTCGACGCCGACGGTACCGTGCGCTGGGTCCAGGTCGCCGCCTCGGCCGACGATATGCCCAACCTCGACGAGGCCGTGCGGACGCTGGGCATCCAGCCCAGGAAATGAGGCGGCAGTCTGGAGGCTGTAAAGGCTGTCGTCGACATGTGGCGGCTACCTCGATCCAGTCTCTTGCTTTTACCGGTCTATTTCAAGGCAGGCGGGGATATGAATGTGAAGAGGAGGTATCATGACTGTACGAACGTAAATAAAGTATTACTTGACATCTTCTAACGATCTATTATGAGCGGATACATTTGCAACTCGATGGACACAGCAAGTATCTCCACACCGTGGACACGTATATTCATTCTGTCAGGTCGATAGCCCAGGGGCTATTCGTACCATTAGCAAGAGAAACTTATTTACCATCTGCCGTTACAATCACTTCACTCCGTTCGGTGGCATTGTTTGCATTCAAGCTCCAATGTTCATGCATTTTATTGATTATATTGAGTACAAAACGTGAGAACCATTCTTCACATAACAATCCTCTTCTCTTCCTCGACTCCACCAGTATCCATGCCTGACAAAAGTAAATCACAAAATCGCAGTCCAAGATGCCTTCCCTCCTACCGTCCTTAAGAAAAGTCGTCCCCTGGGCCGCCTTCACTCGACTATGTATTATCCGCATTGCTCAGAGCTTTTACATCAATAGACAGACAACTTTTTATCTTCCAGGAATCATGTACTGATGTTGCTTATAGAACGCTTTGCAATCGCCGCAGCCGATCATGGACGTGCTCGTGAAAATTACAATGTAAGAAGAAAAGACAAGAAAAGGTCTTGGTGGCTGTAGAGCCGTGACCAACCAGAAATGGTAGCAAACAAAACCAACAAACGCCATCCACCCTAGACTTCAACTCCAGTCGTACAACATGACCCGTCCGTCGTCAGTGTCTCCTCGTCGAAGGACATGGCGAGAAGTACTCAGGTACCGAGAGCTCCTCAGTTTGACACGGCGCAGCCGCTCAGACAATCATGCTCTTTGTTCGCGAGTGGGTTCGCCGGCCTTGAGCCTTCTTACGAATGGCTTCTTCCCGCTTCAAGACAAGCTCGCACCACTTCTTCCTGCTTCCATGGGCTGACGACTCATCTTCCTGACCTTCACGACCGACAATCTCACCCAGGACCTTCAACCAACCGTCCTTGTCCTCTGCCGTGTCGGCGTAAAAGTCGATAACCTCTCCGTTGTTGAAGCGGATGCGGAATCCCTCTTCGACAAACATGTAACCTTCCTCCTCCTCGGCAAAGGCTGAGCGGCGGCGCTTGCCATCACGGCTAGTGGTGTTTGGCTGCGTCAGCTGGCGGCGATCATCAATAACCCTCTTCGCATTAGAGAGGTTGATGGTGGCACGGGGCTGACGAGTAGACTCGTGGTAGGCAGTGAGCTTTGTGCCCACGAGCTTGAAATATCGACGGCGCCAATACTGGAAACGGTCAGTATGTGTACGTTATTGCGGCAAGTCAATAAACTTACAGGACAGTCACCACCTTGCTGACTCAAGTGACCCTCCCAACTCTGGCTCAGCCGTTCTTCTGCTGCCTTGAGCTCGCGGATGCAGGAGTTCATGCTCTTGGGCATGTCGTCATCAGTAGAGCCCTTAGGTCGAGGAATGAAAAGAAGCTGCATCTCGAGCTTGCCAATCTTGTAGGGTGCTTTCCGGACAACCGAAGTGCTGGTTCCGGCGCGTTTGCTCTTCACACTGCTGGCAAATCCAGCGTCTTCTGTAGCCCATTCGTTGAAAGCAGCAATATCAACCATGTATGGCCTACCATAGCAACGAGACTCGTGCTCCTTGAGGCAGACATATGACCGAGCAAAGCTGCCATCATCGGCGGCCAGAGGAGAAAGAAGGTCCCAGGCAGTAGGTGCAAGGTTTCGCTGCTTGGCAGCAGCATCACGCTGAGCCTGGGCGTAAGCTTCCTCCTCAGCGCGCATGCGAGCTTCCATCTCCTTCCGCTTCTTAGGGCTAGCAAAGACGCGAGAAAAGGTGGATGTCTTGGGCTTTGTCATTTTAGTTGGCGAAGCTGGTAGACGTTGGGGCTCGGGCCTCTCAAGTTTGACATTGAGAGTCAGTTGGAACTCGAGGTCGTTGGGTACTACGAGTTCAAACTCCTGTCCAATGGGTGCGTTGCGGGCCAGTTCCAGCCAGGCAGTAGTCACACAGTGAACACCATTGTCGAGCGTCAAGCTGAACCAGGTACGCTCATCTATTACATGTTAGTAAATTATCCCTAGTCGAAACTATTATTCAAAGCTTACTCTTTGGTAGAGGCAGGTCAAGATCTTTGACACCCATGACCTTGACGAAGAGCCTGCCTCGCTCACCGCACTCTTCAGTCGCGAGCTCCGTTTGCCCCTCCTCCTCAGCCAAGGGATTCAGAGCGGCAGCGTTGCTCTCTTGACCAGGCATGGGTGGCACTGGTCCACTCAAGCTTGGGGCATGTCGTTTCTTGAGACTGCGTTGTCTGGCCTTACCATTCCAAGGCTCGACGGTCCACGACTGGGGTCTGCTAGTCTTTACTGGTGAGTTGCCCGCAGAACGCGTGGCATCCCGCAAGCTCTCGTCAGAGTGCTTGTCGCTGGCTGTGACCACCTTGGTGTTGTGACGCATGAGATAGCCGCGCTGTGGTCGCGAAGTGATGTTAGTATCAAGGTGTCCCTCTTGAGATTTCCGACTCGGGGTTTTGTCGGTTGCAACAATTAAACGGGTTCCAGACACTTGTCTGGTTGGGCTGGCGCTTGCAGCTAAGAACTGTTTTTCAAAAGAAATTTGTTGGAACGCAACCTTTTGTGCCTCGATGACGCGCTCGAAGTCCTGGTCAAGGCTAAGTCCCAGGTCGAGGTCCAGAGTCAGACTGCGCTTCTTGAAACTGGGGTGACGGTCCATATAGTCGTCTCTGACACTAAGCAACCCCTCTGCCTCAAAGTCGCGCGACGCGCGGTTGCGGTGTCGCTCCGGGATGGGAGGGATCTCCGGCAAAAGCGGGATCTCGCGACTGACTTGTCGGCGAGCTTCGCGCATGGCAGCGAGGTCTGACGGTGTGGCAGAAGGACGTGTCTTGAGCTTGGAACCTGAAGCCTTGATCGTGGCAACACGTTCAGGAATAGCGGGCGACTCGATCTCCTCTTCCTCCTCTGAAAACGTCTCGTTCCCGATCTCTTCCTCTTCTTCTAGCTCTTCCTCTGGCTCTTCTTGTAGCTCTTCCTCAAGCTCTTCCTCTAGCTCCTCCTCGTCCTCGGACACGGGATGATGAATAACGGACTCTGGAGTGCCAGGCTCTTCTTCATCTTCAGAATCACCCCAACCAGAGCCGTCGTACAATCCAGGCTTTGGCTTTGCCTGCTGTGGTGTCGCTGGCCTCTCGTGGTATTCTTCAACCTCGTCCATCTTACGACTCTCGATATGTGTGAAAGCGTCAGCGGCTTTTGGCTTGGGCAACATGAAGGATTGCAGACTGCGGGCGAAGTCCGACTCCTTGGCGCCATTATTGACTTGCGGCAGAGTAGCGCTGAAGTTTGTTATTGCTTCTTCATCTGCCGGGGAAGCGGCTCGGGGAGTAGTAACTGCGTCCTCCTCAACATGTGGCGCCTGGGTTTTCTCAATTTCGTCTGAGTAGTGGCTGTCGCTGTCATCATCATGGATATCGTGCTCTTCCGCTTCCGAGTGTTCGTCTTCCGACTCTTGATAAAGATCAACAACATCGCTCTCCTTATCATCAGTGATGTCGATGACACTCGGCTCATCGTGCTCCGTGATATCCTCAAGGACGGAATCCTCGATGCTAGCGATGGGGACATCTGGATCGTACTGGGCTGCGCGTTCAGGACTGGACGGAGCAGGCGAGGAGTTCAAGTTGAAGTCCGACTCACGCTCAAAGGCTTTGTTGCCATTGACACGTTGCAGGATGGACTGACGAGAGATACTAGGAAGTTGATAATCCATATCAAGACCGGAGATCTCACCAATGGTATCGTCTCCTTCTCCAGCCTCGGATTCCGTTGCGTCGCGCTCAGGCTCGGGGCTCCCGACTCTATCACGGGCTCCGGCACGTCTCATGCGACGTTCCCGTTGCTGCTCGGCAAACGATTTGGCTCCCTGATCAGGTGCCTTGGGGCTGGTCTCATCTGAGAGCATCATGAGCTTGAGTCGTTCCTCGAGCGTCATCTTTCCGTTGCCGATATTTTGAATCTCCAGCTTGCTGGCGGAAGCCGGAGGCGGCGAAGGCAAACCACGGCGTGGAGATCCAAGCATACGCTCAGCTGTTGCGGACAGACCAGCAGAAGAGTTGGACTGGGTTCGTTGATGACCCATGCCTGGCAAGGGTGGAAGAGGACGGTGCTCCCCCGAAGAAGTGCATGAATCAGTGCGAATATGCTGCGGTTTGCCAGCTGCAAGTGTCATTGGGGAGTTCTCCGGCATGGGGCTGCTGTCAAAGCGGTTGTCGTGATCCTGGCGCCAGTCATCTGGTCCAACAACAGGTGTCTTGTCCGTGTCCTCGAGAGTGGCATCGAAGCTGTCGTCGGGAACATCGCCGTCCTGGTTGTGGTGGTAGTTTTCGTAATCATCGTCATCCTCCTCTTCGCTGTCGTAGCTACCCTCACGCGAATTGGAGTCGATGGAAGAGATGTCAGGGGTAGCCATTTCGTACTCGTTGACCTGTGGGGGCGCATTGTCGAATGTGACACTCTTCATACTTCGGTTAAGGAACCTGCCATTGGGGAGCTCCTCGTCCCCGAACGAAGTCTCAAAGTACTCCATGGGGGTATCACCAGATGCCGAGTCGAAACTGCTCTTGAACCGAGAAGCTGACATGGAGGACTTGATAGGTGACATTTGCTCCTTGACTGGTGTCTGAGGGGCAGAAAAGTTGGGCTTTGGGCTGTTCATGAGTCTGGAGGGGCTGTATAGGGTCGTGACGCTGTTCTGACTCTCACTACGGCCATGTCCTGGGTGAAATCCTTGAACTTTGGCTAGCGGACGCTCAATGGTCGGTATGCGCGTCGGATCGTATTCCTGCTTTTGTTCGCGCGCAAACATGGTGCTGTTCTTGACACGTGACGCCTTTTGCAGGCGCTCGATTGAAGAACGGCGCGTCGGCGAAGGTGAGCCATTTCTGCCTCCATACAGGTCGCTCTCAATCGGCTTGCTCGTATTACGATTTTGCCAGAAGAGTCGAGGTGAGGTAGCATTCTCGAGTGGGGACGACTGGAATGGGGATGAATCGGTATTCAGGCCCAGCTTCTATACACCAGCAGTGTAAGCTTGGAAGGCCAAGAAGCGAAGACGGCAAGATAGGGGTCAAAAGAGTTTGGGACTCACCTTTGTTGTTTGATTCCAGCTGGGCGAGTTCCGCCTCTTCTCGGTAGTTGATATCTCAGAGAGTGGGCGTGGCTGGCTGTCCTTCTTGGTGGGAGATGGTGTGCCGTTTTTGGAGATGCGCAGTGGCTGCGTGACCTGCGACAAGCGCGTCCGTTAGCCATCACCAACACAATTCGATGTTGCGAGAGTAAATGAAAAATACTAACCGGCTCTTCGGACGCCATTTTCTGGTAATGGTTTGTTGCGATTCGCGACACTACGAGATCATGGCCTCGCGCAAGCGAAGTATAGGTGAGCAGGGATGTGTAAGCTGAAAAGCGTACTGATAAGCACTTGCTGGTGGATAGATGATGATGGACTGGAGATCAGTCGACGAGCCGTGTGGTCGTCGGACGTTGAGCTGCTATCTAAAACCTGCGATGCGAAGAAAAAGGATGTAATGCGATGGACCTGTTGCCGCGCTGGAGGGGAGGAAAGCTGAGCTGCCTGGCACAGTAAGTTAATTGATTGACTGAGCTGGGAGAAGTAGAGTCTCAGATTAGGATGCGATATCCAAACCCGCAAGAGTGCGCAAAGGAAATGAAGAGGTCTATCACGAAAAAAGTATGACCAAAGTGTTTCTCCCTGGCGAAAGAAAGAAAAATAAAAGACAGTCAAAAGAGGAACTTGGGGCGGAGGGTGCTGCGAAGCGAGGCGTCTCTACTATTATGAGAAGTCTGTTTGTGGTCGCTGGTCGAAGAGGTGTACGAGGGAAGATCCAAGGGCAGCTGATTGGCTCGAGGCTCCCCCCCCGGGCGTAAACATTGACCACAGCTGCAGGCCCATGGATGCCCGCTTGCGACTTTCAACCCCGCCAATCGACCTAGGCGCCGACGTTGCTCCGCCAACACGTACCACTTTGTGAACTTGCGCGCACGGGTTTCTGGAGTTTCCCACTCTGGGACCCAGGGCAGCCCCAGAATTGTCCGATAAACTTGGAGGCTTATTGACTTCCAGGGCTGGCTGGCTAGATCGGAATCATGTCTAGCTGGTTGGCCTTTTTTTTTTCCCTTCTCTCTTCCCATTTAAGAGTGTAATGACTGGCTCGGTGCCTGATGCGTACAAAGTACCTTTGCCTCTTGCCATCAATTAAATACTACAGACAAAGGAATGACCACGATGCCAAAGGGTGTGACCATCTCTGCCACATCAAATCTCTACATGAACTATTCTCTCGCTGGAGAGACTTCCCCCATGCTGCGCATAAAGAACAAAACATTCTCATGTGTCCATCCAACAATATCTCAAACAAGTCGTGCTGCACAAACGCCCACCCACAGCAACCAAAAAAACAAGACCTCGGGCACCAAAGCCGGCCGATACGAGTATAGCCCTGAACAAAAGCTCCACAAAGCTGCAGAAAAGCGTCTTGTCTGACGCAGCTACTGCGCAACCAGTATATAGCTTGAGCCGTTGACTGCGGATGCTACTAGATACACTGCCCATCGCGAACAGATGCTAACGGATCTACAATGATGGACCGCAAATCCTCTTGATGCTGTGTGGCACAGCTCCTTATATATATGCGTATCATCATTGATGTCCGTGAGCAATTACATGGATGCAAGTCAGCTCTCGGTGATAAACATAGCAGCTCCACCGGCGGGAAGAGTGGAAGCTAAGCAGCATCAAGTAAAGCACACGTAGTGGGAAGGGCTTAGTCTGATGCCTAAGTGCATTCGGTAGAGGTGCCCGTCCTCGTAGGATGCAGTAGACTGGGACATCGCCGTGATGCAGAAATATATACCATGTATGAGATCAATAGGCGACTTTCTCAAAAAGACATTTCCATGGTTGCGCGCTCTGCACTATGCACTACTCTTTACGTACCTACTCGCGATTTGCCGCAAGATCCATGTAAAAATAGCTGCTAACCTAGCATTTTAAGCCGTGTGGGGCAGAGATGAATGAGATGGAATCGTGGATGCCAAAATTGTGGGCTGGCTGCGATATCTACGGCAACATGATGTGTTGTTTTATGCACTTGATCTGCTTGCTCCAACTGCCTTCTCCATTTACTTTGGTGTTTCACATCGAAAAAAGCCACTTATTAATGCTCATATACTTCGTGTCACCCAAGAGTGGCCAGCGATATCATTTCTCCCAGAACTTTCTTTTCTGGTTCAATAATAGCTCGGGCCACCTTGAGCAATCAATCCCACCTTGTTTATTACTTGGACAACCATGAAGACCCACTACTACTGGCGTGGCATCTTGTTTTCCTGCCTTGGATCTTGAGAGGAAAGAAAAAGAGCTGCTGCGTCCGTGCTCGAGGACCAGCCTGCCATTGTTCATAGGTGAGCATTCTCCCCCTCTCCCCTCCTCCTCGCTGACTCACGTCGGTCGACAAGAAACATCCTGACCATCTGCGCCTGAAATCCAATGATTTTCGACACCATCATTGCGGCCCCGTGGATACAATACAATTTCCCAGGATGGGAGCTCCGATCTTCCGACTCGAGGCGGCTGACCGTTTTGGCCACATCATCACTCACGTTCTTGATTCTTGCCCAAAGATTTGCAATGGCCTCTGCGCTGCGCGCGCGAGCTCCATCTTTCGTGGGTTCACGCGATTTACCTACTTTTTATTTGCCCATTTCACAGAGACAGGCATCCAGCCTGTTTTATAATGCGGGTAGCTAGATCGCGCCGTCCATCTGGCCAATGAGGAAAATGGCGACTTTGATACTAGCTCGCCGGCGTAGACCGACAACTCCATTTCCAGCTCATACATCGCTGATCCATAGTAGGAAATCGCATGTCAACTAGTGAATTCCCCATGCCAATAGCTACGGCGAGAGTGTAAAATGAGCAACCTGCCACAGTGTGCATCGTACGTGGTTCCCTACCAGTTGGGCTGAAAAGTAGGGCGTACCTACAAAGTCTGGTCAACGTCATTGCAGCAGGGAACCATGTCCCCTGTTCAAACGGTCAGGTTCAACTGCTTTCCACTTATTCGATACGCGTGAGGCATATCTTTGGACGCGCGTTGGTAAATTAGATTTTCAAATGGCGATCCATCCAGGTAGAAGTTTCAATAGCCGCGGCCAGAATCTTCAACCACAAATATTGAGCAACACTTATGTTGTGACAGCATTGTATTCCAAAGTCAAATGAGTTGGTTTGGGTCAATTGAAACCACGGCATTTGATATGAACGCGACTATCATGATTGATGGAAGCAGAGAGAAACAGGTTGTAGTCTATACACTCTCAGCCGTGCCATGGATTATGCAAACTCATGTTCGTCGGACAGTACAGGAATCAGGTACCACATCGACTCAATATAAGTCGTTAAAAAGGATAAGTGCTGGTGTAAGTTGGGGGAATCCAGCCAGACCTAATTATGATGCTATACCACTCTGTAATTAGTAGGTAGAATCACGTGACAATATATATCGATATTATTTGCAAACCAGTCATAAGTCTATATTTGCTTCCAACAACGCATAGACGAAGATAGGGGGCCTGATCACATTGCAATGGGTGGAATGGACGACATAAGGGGCTTCTGTTGCAAGTTCCCAGATTTGGAGACGTATCTCGCAAGGGAGGCTCGAAAAATTAGAGAATCTGATTGGCATTTGCTCACGGCTTGCCGGCACTGTAAGACAGAAATTCAAATGCATAAATCAGAAAAATGACTCTTTCTTGCTTTATCCAGTGGTGGGAATGAAGTCAACAGTTCGATCATGGCGATTCAAAAGACTTCGAGTATAGGCACGTCAATTTCTCCTCTCCGTTCAGCACCTATCGCGAGAGTACAGACGAGAGATTATCTTTCGAATGCATACCAGAAAATGGCGGCAGAATTGCACATGGCCCATAATCCGTGTTCTATACGAGTATCAATGACTACGTGGTCTCCATGCAATCGGACCACTGGCTCTATCGGGGGACTGACGATGCACAATTCTGCGCCAACTGCAGCACGTCTTCATACATCGTTGCCAAGGTATTGACGCAAGGTGAGTCTTCGCAACATGAATCCGTAAGAAAGCTGGAGGTTCATCTGTTGATCATAATACAGTAAGTACACGCGCCTCCTCCCATGTTGACAGTCACTCACAGGGTCAGGCTTTGTATGATGAGGCTTTTAATGGTCCTTCCGGTTCTAGAATCATCACCCATCTTGATGAGGTGTATCACGAGAGATAGACAAGCTACCCCACGCAAGAATCCTTTGTCTTTCGACCTAAAATGTCTCGGCCACGTGATTTGAAGAAATCAATTGAGCACCTGATTCTGGGCCTAGATCTGGACCCGAATCGTGAGTTGTCACGTAAGTTATCAAACCAAATCACTTGCTCATACTCTGCAGTCTTCTACAGATATTGCCTTGGATTCGTTCGATGTTCAGCACTCCGAGATGGCCAGTCACAAGAGTGGCCATTTGGTGGTATTGGGGCGTATGTATTAGAAAGGCAGCAAGTCGAACCCAGTGAAGAAGAGGGGGCCAATGAAGGAAAGGAGAATTAGTAGACTGAATGGTGAGTCGTCCCTGTCCTGATAAGATAATTTGCTCTTAAAAGGTACCTGATCTTCTGCTTTCATATTCGTTTGATGGATATGATCCCTTCAAGGCCCACAACTTACTGCATGCCATGATGATTTCATGCGGTCCACGGAGCCTGAGTGGCATCAAGCTGATGCCGTCGATCGTCTTAGAAATGGCCTATCAGAAATCACCCACCTCAGTAGCTAGGATAATCGATTCCACGACAACAGACAAGAAATGGGACAGTCTTCATTCATCATAACACAGTTGAATCATGCTCACAGTTTGTAGAAAAGTCATAGCAAACCATACAGTTGCTTCTGTCACAAGTGATATTTAAGTTCACGACTATGGCTTGCTGGCATTTCCCCCTGGCCATCAGCAGGGCACGCAAGCCACTAGGACCACAAAAGCGCTCTCCCCAGTAGTGCTATCACTATATTTTCATACACAAGATGAATACAAGTCAAAAACACAACGCCCTCGGCTTGATAAATGGCCGATTTTTATCCCAGCTCAATGCCATGAGAGCCGGCGAAATTGGACTTGCATCCGCACATCTGGCGATGTGGTCTCTCGCCCATTATCAGGACCACGCAATGATTCGGATCTCGCCCGATAAGCACACATTCCCTTCCTAGGCTGATATTTTAATCATCAGCATCAGCCATATCCTCATCTTCATCATCATTGTCCACATCGCTCTCGCCACTTCCAGAGCCCGACGACTCGTGATTCGAATCGTACTCCTCAGCAACGTCCGAGTCAGAATCTGCCCTGAAGTCCTCGTCCACACTCTCCTCATCCTCATCAGCCGAGCCCCTGTCGGCACGTGGACCGACAACTTCCTCTTCGCTATCGGACATGGCCTCCTCACGCAGGGCGGCAGCCAAGAGGTTGGCGTCCTCATCGATCTCATTCTTGACTCTCAGACCCTTCAGCTTAAAGAATCCCTCGAGCGCCTTCAGGTCTTCACGGTTAATGTTACTGAAGGACGTCGCACCTGCACCGTTCTTCATATGAACACTAATGTCAAAGGTGGATAGCGTCGATACGGCGCCTCCCACTCTACTAAAGGTGATGCTGGCGGTCTGATCGTAGCTGATGTAGGTGGCGGGCTTTGGTACGAACATGAAGGCCTTCTCGAGGCAGTATAGGAAACCTTCGCTCGCCTTGATGAAACACTTGATACCCGTTTGCTGGCGGTGAGTCTGGAAGTCCTTGGCTGGCGAGACAATCTTCTTGTTTGCAAGACCCTTGAAGCAATACGTGATTACTTGATGCAAAGGTTGCTCGTAATGCGACTGAAGCTTGTCTTTGTAGCTGGCTTCTAGTTGCTCGTCGGTCAGGTTCAAGTCAATGGTCACCTCCTCATCCTTCTTGCACTGCATGACCAAGAAAGGGTAACGGGTTTGACCTTGACGCAGTGGTGGATCGAGGCCAATGCAAAGCATGCAGTGAAGGTCATCAGGCTTGGGAAGCACCATGAACTTCTTAATGTGCTCGTACTGGATCTTGTAGTCGTAGGTTTTGCCGCGCAACCGGAAGGAACTTTCGTACATGTCGATATCGAAACGACCTCTGGGAGTGAGATGCAGAACTTCAAGAAATGTGGCGATGGCGTCGCCGGCAGTCTCGCCAATCTCAGCCTTCTCGATAAGGGTCTCATAGAAAAGGGTTGCGGCATTCTTCTCTTCACCCTCGGCATCGCTTCCAGCATCTTCGCCCTCGGTCTCCTTGCGTGTCGTGACACCAGGGATATAGAAGCGCATCTCTACCAACTGATCACCGCCGGCACCAGCCTTCTTGCCCTTGCCACGTGCGCCTCCGAGGTGACCGTTGGTACCAGTATCAGCCTCGTCGGAGGCAGCAAACTCGATGGCGACCTCATTCCGGCCGGCCAAGTTCGTGTTCGAAATTTCCGAGTAGGGAATCTCAAAGTCGGGTTTGTTTTGAACATTGAAGACGAGTTCAGCCTTGGTGAACTCGGTCTTGCCCCAATTCCATCCCCTCAAGGCATGTTCCTTCGTCTCCAAGTTAATGCTGTACCAGTTCTTGAACACCTTGGTAAGCCTCTGCAGATCGTCCTCTTGGAAACCGTCCAACTGGATCACATCAGACGATCGCTTCAAGATCTTGACCTCGTAGCCTTTAGCTGCACGACTCCATTGGCCGGTCGCGATGTCGTTTCGCTCGAGAGTGAATGTGTTACCGCCGCCCGATGGCTTCCAGCCAAGACCGTTTTCGGAGAATCTGCACTTTCCGCTCTCTTTCGAAAGGTCAAGATAGATGTTGTCGAAGCTCTCTCTGTTCATCCAAGGTTAGTCAGAGTTGATATTGCTAAGGCCGAGGTATGTAGATTGGTTCTTGTATGATTCCTAGACACCAAATCTGCCTGTGGGGAGGATGGAAGGTAACACTCACATGGCCGCCATGGTTGTATGCTTGCCGACTAGTCAGGCAGTGGATAAGGCGCTCTTGCGATGCTTGTGAGGAGGATCGTTGAAGACAAGAGCGTCCACAGATGGAGGCGGCACAAGTGGTGCGCCGTGTCTCTGATGGAGCAGTGATGCCGGCAACAAATGTAATGCAGAAGAAGAAGTCTCCTCAATGCGACCGAAGCACAGCGCTGTTGAACTGGCGTTGTCTTGACAAGCGTCAGAGTGGGATGGATCAAAAGAAATGGCTGGCTTTTGGGGCCTTGGGATGATGATTCGAAAAGTTTAGACCCGCTGCTTCGCGACAAACCCACCCTTGGTTGGTGGCTTAAGACGCGACGCCGTGCTAGCTACCTTGATGTACAGGGCAGCCTTCGCGTTAATTGATAGCACGTGACAAGAGGCTCTTTCTCCGCCCAAGGGGCGCATTGGCTAGGTAATGTAGGCTTGGACTGCAAGCGGCCTAAATTGAGAGCTTCAAAAAAATAATGGGTCAAGATCAGGAGAGACTGGAGCTCCGTCACTAAAACCAGTTCCCACCAGGAAGTGAACCTGGGTATTCTATGATTGAAAGGTTCTGTCTTCTTTTCTGCAGGTATGCATGCAGTGTTTCTTCTTAGAGGTCGGATAGATGAGAATGCATCATGTGAATTCAAGTCACGGAACCAATTGACTCACTTGAAGATACCATGCGATCGCGGTGCACTAGATACTAGGTTAGGTACTTTCATGTATGGAAATCACAAAATAGGATACGTAAAGATGAAAGTCACAAATAGCTTCATCGCAAAGTTGCATGTCTTCCAGAACACCAAAGACACCCCGCAGGCGTGCACCTGTCTCAGAGCTTGCCCCCTACTTAGTATCAAGCGAGCGCTGTAATGTAGCTGGGTTGGCTAGATCCTCAGCAATATTACCTGTTACCCCACTGGATTGACAACTGGGTCTACCCACCTCATACCCGCCAACTGCAGCCTGCCAGACTTGCTGGAGACCTTGCTGGCTTCTACGTACCTTAATAACCACACCTATCTGGGGGGCGCAGCTCTCAAACTCCAAGTCTCGTTTCAGGGATACATAATTAGGGGACTTGAGTTCTTGACAACAGCTTCATCATTGGCAACGCCCATATTTGCCGCAGAGCTGTTGGATCTGGCCTCTGCTCGCCGTACTTGTACACCATCGTTTACTTGTTCTACATTTTTTAAAGTATCATAACCTGAACCACGAATAGCAACCATGGCTGGCCGCTTCGTGAGAGCATCCAAGTACCGTAGGTCAACCCCCCTCCAATCCAGCTCGTCCATTGACGACTTGCCTTGCGACAATTCTCCCTAACGCCTTCTTCTGTATGCAGGCCACGTATTCGGCAAATCAACAAAGAAGGAGTCATGCTATGATAACCTGCGAATCAGTCGCAATGCCTGGGATACCAACTTGGTCAAGGTAAGACACAGCTCAACCTCTTCAAACCCCCCGCGGTACCCCCCCCCCTTGCGCCACTCGTGATAGATGCTGACATGCCCGTCGCAAGGCCAACCCCGAGTACATTTCCGTCAATTGGGAAGCTAGCGGTGGAGGCGCCTTTGCTGTTATCCCCGTGAATGAGAAGGGCAAGCTACCCGACGTCATTCCCTTGTTCCGTGGACATACTTCGGCCGTCCTCGATACAGACTGGTGCGCACGAGACCACAGCTTATGCCCGTCACGATCGAACTTCTAACTCGCCTTCAAGGAACCCCTTCAACGATCGCATCATTGCCTCGGCCTCCGATGATGGCAAGGTCATGATCTGGGAAGTCCCCCGAGACTTCACTCTCTTCACCGACGCCGAAGAGCCCGCCGATGTTCACCCCGTTGCCAAGCTCACTGGCCACTCGAGAAAGATTGGACAAGTGCTCTTCAACCCTGCAGCGGAAAACATCTTGGCTTCGGCTTCCGGCGACTTGACTATCAAGCTGTGGGATGTCGGTACCGGCCAGGCCGCGCTGTCCATGAAGCACCCCGACATTGTCCAGTCTCTGTCTTGGAACGCCGCTGGTAACATGATGGTAACAACATCGAGGGACAAGAAGCTGCGTGTTTGGGATGTCAGACAGGAGCGCCCAGCCTCGGAACACCAGGGACACGAGGGTGCCAAGAACAGCAGAGCCGTATGGCTTGGTGAACAGAACCGTATTGCCACCACGGGTTTTTCGAGGATGAGCGATCGTCAACTGGCCCTGTGGGAGCCCGGAAACACTTCGCCCATTGGCGGCTTCACCACCCTCGACAGCATTTCTGGTGTTTGCATGCCTTTCTGGGGTATGACCTGCAACTTTGAGCACTACAGACTCATAAGCTAACTGCTGCGTAGATGACAGCTGTAACTGCTTGTACCTTGCTGGAAAGGGGTAAGTCACCTTCATTCGTATTCGTGGTACCTTTGCTTCACGTGCTCACAATATGGCAGCGACGGAAATATCCGCTACTTTGAATATGAGAATGACAAGTTCGAGTTCTTGTCCGAGTACAAGTCTGCCGACCCGCAACGAGGAATTGCCTTCTTGCCCAAGCGTGGAGTCAATGTAAGAAGCACCAACCGCAGCCTACGATGCTTGTGATTATGATAAGGCATATTGCTGACTTGTACAAAGGTTCATGAGAACGAGGTCATGAGAGCTTTCAAGACGGTCAACGACAGTTACATTGAGCCCATTTCGTTTACTGTCCCCCGCCGTGCTGAGACATTCCAATCGGATATCTACCCTCCTGCTGTTGGTGCAAAGCCTGGCCTCAGCGCCTCGGACTGGCTCTCTGGAAAGACTGCTCTCCCTTCCAAGATCGACTTTGAGAGCATCTATGAGGGCAATGCGCCTGTTGAGGTCGCTTCGGACTACAAGCCTCCTGCTGCTATTCCAGCTGCTGCACCTGTTGCCAAGCCAGCTCCCAAGAAGGAGCCTGAGCCCGCACCGGCCGCCGCTGCCAGATCGCCTCCACCCACAATGAAGGACCAGAAGCAGTCCATGGCTGCCATGGCTTCCAAGTACGAGGATGATGAAGCAGAGAGCGATGACGACGAATCTAGCTTCGAGGAGATTTCGAAGCCTACTCAACGGAGCGCGGTTCCGGCCAGCGCACAGCCAAAGGCCGCTCCTGCACCTACCAAGACGTTCTCTGCACCGCAGCCCAAGCCTGCTCCGTCCGTCAGATCCCCGACTTCCACCACATCCTCTGCCGCCGCCACACCGACAGCATCTGCTCCCGCTCCGAGCGCCTCGTCCAACAGTTCAGTAGAGGCCAGCCTAGAGCAGATCAAACAACTCCTGGAGACGCAAACCAAGATGATCACCTCGCAAGGACAGCAAATTTCAGTATTGACTGGCGAAGTAGAAAGCCTAAAGAAGCGTGTGGGATCGGGCTCACAAGATCAGAGTGAGCGCGTTAGACAGCTAGAATTGGAGCTCGAGGCTCTGCGATCTTAAGTGCCATGTGTCCAGTTGTTCACTGGAAGCGACAATATAAGAAATTCAAAGCCACGATAGGACATCGACGTAGAGGGGCAGCCGATTGACGACTGCTGGCCGGATTCATGTTCATGATCATGATCAATGAACAATGCTGATGAGTTGTTGGTCTTTTGCATACATTTGGCCACTCGTAGGAACGGAGCTTAAAAGTTAGACAATATGAATGGAGTCTCAAACTTCTATTACCCAAACTCTTATGCAATAAAAATAGATACGATGAATCGATTTGACATGTGGCATACTGCAATGCTCTGCACATGATAATAATCAAAGCGAAAGTGCTCGTGGAGCACAAGAGTCATTTGTTCAAGTGAAAAAGAAGCGGAGATTGAACAAAACGAAAAGTTTATTATGTATCCGAACTCCCGCCCCAATGGAAGTGACCGTGATTGGTATCATGTGTAGTTCTTTTCTAATACAAACGATGTTCCCCCTTCCGCCGATTCTCCAGACCATTTCTTTGATTTTCTAACCCCGAGTCTATAACGACAGAAAAGGACAATTCCAGTAAAGAAAAGAGATGGAGCAGCAGAACCGGGAAACAATTATGGACATCTGTTTCTCTTTATCCTTAACTCTTATTCCTCCTCCTCAACGACCTGCTTCTGGGCAATGTAGTATCTCTCGCTGCCCTTCTCATCCTTTTCGTGCTCGAGGGCAACCTTGGACAGGTGGGTCAGGATGTTCTCCATCATGGTGTCCTGGGCGCTGCGCTTCTTGCGGCCGAGGTTGTCGAGGGTGGACCAGCCGCTGAGCATGTAGTAGATGATACCAATGACAATGACGACGGCAATGGAGTAGATCCAGATGACGACAATGGTGACAATGTCGGTGGCGCCATTGTCCGACAGCTTGGCCGAGACGGATGCGGCCGTCTCGAGGCTCTCGCCGCCGCCGCTGAACCAGCCAAAGCCGGCAAAGAGCGAAGCCAGAATGTCGACACCAAAGATGGCGGCAACGAGCTGCCAGGCGGGAGTGGTCTCAAAGCCGCGCGTGACAAAGATGAGCCAGTTCTCTGTGAGTGAGACCTGCAGGAAGAGAATCTCCTGGATGCCACCGTAGTTCTGGATGATACCACCATCAGGAAGCCAGAGAGTACCGCGGAGAATCCAGGTGCCCAAGGCGAGCAGGACACCGAGGACGACAGAAATGATCCAGATCTTGGGCAGTTGCCACTCGACGGGTCGTTTCTCGTAGTGAGCGTTATCGTAGGCGACAGCAATAGTAGCCAAATCGGCAAACAGGGCAATAAAGACGATGAGATCGGCGCGGATGGTCTCGTTGATAATGACCATGGAGGTGACGAGGTAGATCTCAAGGTGAAGACACAGAGCGATACGGTATTGGATGTAAGCCTTCATGCGCTGGAAGATCTGACGCGAGATCTTGATGGCAGAGACAATGGTGCTCAGACCAGGGGCGAGGAAGACGATATCAGCGGCGGCTTGAGCGGCTTCAGTAGCTCCCTCGACGGCGATACCACAGTCAGACTTCTTCAGCGAAGGTGCGTCGTTGACACCGTCTCCGGTCATGGCAGTCAAGTGGCCACGCTGCTGGAGCATCTCAACGACCTGGTACTTGTGCTCAGGGAAGACTTCAGCAAATCCATCGGCCCTCTCACAAAGATCTAGAACAAGAATTAGTATCAATCTTGTTTTGCATTTTCAGCCATGCAGTGATTCGAGGGGGCCAACATACCGTGAATGGATGTTCCAACCATGTCAGAGTGAAGCAGCTTGTCAGAGTTGTAAACCTTGGTACCGAGAGCCACTATAAGACAAAATTAGCAAGTTTGATAAAATATGGCTCGGTTACGATTGACTTACACATGCGGCAAGTTTCCTTGGCAATTGCAATGGCATCACCAGTCAGCATCTTGACTTGAAGACCCAGAGCCTGAGCCTCAGCAATGGTCTGTGCAGTGTCAGAACGGGGAGGGTCAAAGAGAGAGATCATGCCGAGCATTTCCCAGGGGCCATCTTCTTCCTGGACAGCGACGGCAAGAGAACGGAAACCACGGCGGGCGAGCTCGGCAGCCTTCTCACGGAACAGAGCAGCCTGTTCGGGACTGCAGTCGGTGAGAGCCAGGACGGCCTTGGGTGCACCCTTGGCGCAAGTGTACCGGACTCCCTTGTGCGTGCAAACGGCAGTGATACGCTTCGATACTGGGTCGAAGGGAGTAAACTTTTCAGTCTTCCATCCCTCGCTGATGAGCTCCTTGGCCTTGGGGTAGCGCTTGAGAGTCAAGACAGTGATCTTGTCAATGGGGTCGAGGTGCTTAATGTTGTGAGAAGAAGCCAAGGCGGCGACTGCCATCATCCAGTTGATATCAACACCTTCCATGACAAAGGGCTCTCTGACGGACAGTTGGTTAGCCGTGAGGGTACCGGTCTTGTCGGAGCAGAGAATGTCGACACCGGCGAGCGACTCAATGGCAGTAAGCTTCTGGACAATAGCCTTTTCCTTGGCGAGATATGCGGCTCCAACGGCCAGTGTCGTGGTCGTCACAACGGGCAAACCAACAGGGACACCAATGATGAGGAGGATTAGCGCGTAGTGAAGCAGCGTGCGGGAGCTCTCTTGGGGAAGAGCAATGCGCAGGTTGCGGTAGAAGCCACCAATCCAGGCGATAAGAATCCAAAGAACGACGAGAACCAAGAGTGTCGTACCAATCGAGTTCATGATTGCCTTGAAGTGACCACTATCCTTGGCACCCTGAACAAGAGATGCAGTCTTGCCGACAAATGAAGCCTGAGCACCAGAAGTGACGACGCAGTAAGCCTTGCCGCGCTTGCAACCAGTAGTGTAATACACAGTGTCAGTCATGTACTTGTCGACAGCGAGCGATTCACCGGTCATGGCAGACTGGTCAATGGCAACAATAGCATGGCCAATGTGAGGTGTGCCTTCGTCATCTCCCTCCTCGAATTCCTCGCGGCGGGGAGAAGTGATATCTTGAGCGCTGAGCTCAGAAACGTACTGAGCCTGGCCCTGAATACCAGCCGAATAGTCACAGATGAGTCTGGAATCAGCAGCAACGACATGGCCTTCCTCAATGATAAGCTATATTGGTTAGCGAATTTGATGCCAAAAAAGAGTTGTAAAAACGACTTACAATATCACCGGGAACAAGCTCCCTGGCGAGAACCTCCATTTCTGTACCATTTCTGACGACACGTGCCTTCATGGCAATGTCGCCCTTAAGGCTGGCCACGACATCGGCAGCTTGCTTCTCCTGGTACCAACCGACAATGGCGTTGAGCAGCAGAATACCAATGATAATACCGGCGTCAAGCCAGTCCTGGAGACCTAGGGCCAGGATGACGGCCACTTCCATGACTGTAGACTTTGTTAATAATCGCCGAGGAAGGTTGGGATTTGGACATTGTATTGCATACCATATAGGACAGGGCCACGGAAAAAGCCAATGAACTTGAGCAGCATGTTCTCCTTCTCAGCTGAAAGCTCGTTCCAGCCAGTGTATTTGCGTCTCCGCTCAACCTCCATGTCGTTGAGACCTTCTCGAATGTCGGTGGTCAACCAATCACTCGGCGTCTCAAAGCTGCTCAGCGAAGCTGCGCTGTATCCAGCTTTGCCGCCTCTCCAGAACGCCCACCATGGTCTTGGCTTGCTGTCCATGGTGAAGTCCTCCTCACCGGGTCCATCGTTCGCGTGTGGATCCCGATAAGTGTCGACATAGCGGACCAAGCTACTCAACAGTTAGTTCCCCGTAACATGCTGAGCAGGTGCAATGCCGTGTAGGATGTAACTCACGCTGTGTACTCATCGAGGTATGGGTTGTCTCCGTCATTCTTGTTGGTGCTGGCATGGTCCGGTTTTCTGGCAAGTCGAAATGTGTTAGCCTTCCTCTCTTCTCTTGATGATTCCAAAGTGTGTGGCCAAGTCGATGGAAAATGATGGGTGCCCGGGAAGGCCAAGGTTCTTTTCTTAGTACTTACTCGATTGCATTGTTTCTCTGGCTTTCTGTCAGGAAGCTACCAGACTCCAAGTCGGCATTGGCGGTTGCATCTATCGAGGGATTCAGGTACTCAGGAGCACCCTGACCGTCTCTGTGTTGCCGGAACATCTTGACTTTCTTAATGTTGGGAGCCATTACACACGACCTGCGCTACAGACCAGCTGTGGAAGAAATAGACAGAAGAAACAAACAACGAAAAGCCGGACCGCCAAAGAGATGAAATATGAGGAGGTGAGAGAGAGAGGTCAAGAAAAACCTAGATCTCGGAGAAGCCATTTCATGTTACTTATAGATGGCCGTAGGTAGCACCGAGTGGCGCCGATATCTTGAAAAAATTGTAGAGTTATTAGCCGCCGACATAGCTCCTAGGTCCAAGAGCTTGGCTGTTCTCTCTGAAGCAGCTAGGGAACGTAAAGGGCTGCAGGGGAAGAGATCCACAAGGGTAGGGAAGCTACAATGAAATTCAGTTGAAAGCACGAAGCTTTGGTGACCTTGGTGGTAACTTGAAGTGAGCGTCCAGGACTACAAACCCACGGTAGAGCTTAAAACATGAGACGGACTGGCCTATCAGACGCCTCACTGAGCGATACGTTCACAGGGGATGTCCGACGCAGAACTCGCGGATGCGAGGCGTCGATCAGTCTCGAGCGCCCCATTCCGGCAAGCTACCGTAGACTCCTCAAAACTGATACGAGTATAAGTCCCGCAACTATGAATTGAAAATGCCTCAGGCTGGACGAATGGCAAGGGAGAGAAAGAAACAACGAGGTCCGTGAGAGGTGTAAGTCCCAAAGAGGCCGGACCCTGGTCGAAGTTTCAGCACCAACGGTTATGAAACGCTGCCCATTGGAGGGTCCAGGGTAGCACGTGACTTAGTATATGATGGGACATGTACCATAGCGGCCTATCAGGATTGGTAGACGGTACCTGTTTGCCCAGAAACAGATTCTACATACACAGTAGTTGTTGAATGCACCCAACTGATGCAGACGCATGTGCTGCGTTGCCAAGTCTGCCAAGCGAAATCCATAGTGTTTGTGCTGTGGGCGATCTTAACTATGAACGTGCTGCCAATAGACAAAAGTAGCCGTATATGACCCCCTATGGTAGAGGCAAAGATACCGATATGGAAACACCTAGGCCATTGCCAAGCGCTTGTTCGATGGCTGATCGTTCTTTTTCTACACCCCAATGTAGACTTGGCTCCTTTGAACGCGACTGAAAATAGAAGAGCCGTGGGAGCTGAGCAGCCATACTCGGATTCATCCTGCAGCCAGCCAGGTATTCAATACCCATGTTGGTACCTTGTCTTTCATAATACAATAAAGCGCGAATTATTCAAGGTCATTACATAGTATACCCCAAACCAAAAGTACTCCGAACATGGGGCTCCACGATTTGCAGCACGGACCATATCATTATTCCCAGGGTCGTCTCGCCGCATCCACGGAAATACTATGTAAATAACAGAGCTGGCCCTGCCGCCCAGGCTCGCTAATCACGGCAAGCAAACCCGGTTGTACTGGATAAAAGGCCCATAAAGACATATAACCTTTGAGGTGGATGTTCCTTGGGGAGCAAGAAGAAGTCGCACCTTACTATTCGGCGTAATCACTGACTAGCAAGCAGCAAGCAGGGGAGGGGAGTCTGAAATGATTGTCGCTCTGGCCTCGCGTGCGTGGGGGCCTTGAATTTGTTGATGGGAAAGTCAGATTGCACCGTTGCAGCACTCATCTTCGCAGCTGTGCGGCGGTTCGCCGCGCGGACAGGCGCCGTCAAGACGCGGGAAGAGTCGAGATAATTTAGGTAGTGGACCCTGGGAAAAGGCTTCGGCTGGGTTGATGAAACGAGAAGGGGATCAAACGAGTCGAGTGTGACCTTGGCGGCGGCGGCGATTTTTTTGCGCTTGTCGCACCAGGCACCAGAAGGGCAGGATTTGGTCGGTGGGCGGACCCCCGAGGCCGCGTCGGCGCACTCGTTGGAATTGCATAGCGGCAATTGCTTCTAGTGGATGGGCAGCTTGGCCAAAACAGTTCTCGAAGCGTAAAAGGTTCAGATGAGAATCTGCCGAATGAGATAACATCAATTGACACCAGTGAGGCTTCTCACAAAATGCATTGATCGTCGTCGAGGCCAAGAGCCAAGAGCCTCAAGGCAGAATCACTGCTGTTTGGCATCGTGTTGAGTGACTTGGCAGCAGCGGTGCATCTCTGGGGAAGTGGGCGGGAGTCTGGGGTTTGGCCTTAAGTGCCGGAGTTTGGATCAACACGACCTGGGGGGGATTACTACCATCTCCAATGAGCTGGCGATTATATTGTCGCCGTTTTGGAAATCAGTATGCACTATGGTTAACCATCAAACGCCTTGGTTGTGTTGGGATTGTAATAGCATTTGTACGTAATACGCCAAGCGTGACAAACTTCTGTCAACTTGAGTTTATTGAAGATTTGCTTCACCTCACTGGCCGAGTGAGTTGCGTGGTAAAACCTACGTTCAGATACACTCAGTCTCCTGGCACTAGACATTCGGACTTATTTTGTAGGAAACAACCTTGCTTTTTGCTTGATACATCCTCCAAGAGATAAGAAAAGACAAAGCCAAAAGCACTTGTCTCAGCAAGCAAAGGGTCGCTTAGACTCTCTCATCAGACTGGTGAGGGCTCTCCTACAAATTATCGTCGGCTCCTTTTCTTTGATATCATGATAGCCCTGGACATGGTTGCATTGACAATGTTTCGACGTTTCAATTTCTCAGAATGGACTGAATGGCCCACCTGGCATGCACACCTAACACATGTGCAATTATTACTGATTGAAACCCGCCGGAAGAGGGTACCGAGGTACCTATTGTCTATTCAATGTTGTTTGGCTTGTTCCCTGCCACCCGCTCTGACCACAACCATGGACATTGAAATGCAGCAAGTGAGAGAGATGAGAAGCCACAGCTGGAGTGGACCACAAGCAACATTCAGAGTCTGGGCTTTCGCTTTTCCCCCCACTTTCCATGTCGCAGTCCACTGCTGCTACTGCAGTACGTACTCTGTAGTACAGTAGTGTGGCCCCCCAGTGACCGATAAGATAAGAAAAAAAGTTGATGATACCTGCCGCGACCAAATGCACCGCATTGCACCCTGGCGAAACCACCGCCTGTGCAGACGTAGAGTCCAACCAACCCGGTAGATATCCTGATTCCGCTGTATTCTGAGAATCCGCCATGAAGAGGAAGCTTGACGAGAACGACGCCCCCAGCGTCGAGGTGGCCGACGTCGACAAGAAGGAGCCCAGCTTTGCCGACTTCAATCTCGAACCCCGACTCCTCCAAGCCATTGCAAGCCAACGATTCAAGACACCCACCACTGTCCAGCAGAAGACTATCCCGTTGGCTCTCGAAGGTCGCGACATTATTGCAAAGGCTCGCACTGGCTCCGGAAAGACTGCTGCTTATGTATTGCCGGTACTCGAGGCCATATTGAAGAAGAAGAAGCAGGTGAGCTCGACAACACATACGGCATCTCATCTGCGATGACCATGGCTAACATGATGACTACAAGGCGTCTACACCATATACTGCTGCCCTCTTCCTTGTCCCGACCCGCGAATTGGCCGATCAAGTCACTACTGTGCTTGAATCCTTCACCTCTTTCTGTTCCAAGGAGATCCAAATCGTAAAGCTCTCCGACCGAGTTCCTGATGCAGTATCAAAGTCGCTTCTCTCCAACTCCCCCGATATAGTTGTCGCCACTCCTGCCAGGGCATGGCACAATGTCAAGAACTCTGCACTATCGCTCGACAACCTCACCCATCTTGTCTTGGATGAGGCCGACCTGGTGCTCAGTTACGGCTACGACGATGATCTCCAGAGCATTGCCGGTGTCATCCCCAAAGGCATACAGACAATACTCATGAGTGCGTTTTGCCTGATTCCCCCTGGAAGCATGAGTCTGCATGTTGCTAATCTTGGCCTCTAGGTGCCACACTCACCACTGAAGTTGACACATTAAAGGGCATCTTCTGCCGAAACCCCACTCTTCTCAATCTAGAAGATGAGGCCGAGGAGGACAAACTCTCGCAATTTGTTGTCAAGTAAGCTTTGATTGCCATGCTCTATGAATTCACTTGACTTACATATTCCAGATGCGCCGAAGACGAGAAATTCCTTCTCACGTATGTCATGTACAAGCTCCAGTTGATCAAGGGCAAGTCGATCATTTTCGTCGCCGACGTTGATCGCTCATATCGACTTAAGCTTTTCTTTGAGCAGGTAACTATAATGTTATATCTACAAGATCATGGGGACATGGCTGATGAGAATCATAGTTTGGAATAAGGAGTTGTATCCTCAATAGCGAACTTCCGGTCAACTCCAGATTACACGTGGTATCCGAGTTTAATCGCAACGTATATGACATCATCATTGCTTCTGATGAGAACGAGGTTATTGGCGATGAGGAGTCTCCGGAACAAGAAGATGCTGAGGAGGACGCCGAGACTACTGGAAAGTCCAAGAAAGCGGAGGCGCCCCCAAAGAAGAAGAAGCGCAAGTCGCCCAAGGATCACGAGTATGGTGTCTCGAGGGGTATCGATTTTCGGAACGTTTCATGCGTAAGTGTTCTTTTCCGGACTATACAGCGTGTGGCCCTGCTAATAATCACCAGGTCGTCAACTTTGACCTACCCACCTCGGCCAGATCGTACACTCACCGGATTGGACGTACGGCACGAGCTTCGCAGAGTGGTATGGCCTTGTCATTTGTTGTGCCAAAGGAACAGTATCGCAAACACATGCCGACCACTGTTGAAACAGCTGAAAACGACGAAAAGGTGCTGGCAAAGATCATGAAGCAGCAGCAGAAGAAGGGTAGAGAGATTAAACCATATGCTTTCGACATGAAGCAAGTCAACAACTTCCGGTATCGTATGAACGATGCGCTACGAGCCGTCACCAGTGTCGCTGTTCGTGAGGCACGTGTACGAGAGCTGAGACAGGAGCTGGCAAAGAGTGAGAAGCTCAAGAGATATTTCGAAGAGAAGCCGCAGGAGTTGTCGCATCTGATCAGACACGACACAGAGATGAGGACGGCCAGGACACAAAGCCACCTGAAGCAGGTGCCGGACTATCTGCTGCCCGAGGGCAAGAAAGCTCTGACGGCAAACGAGATTGGATTTGTGCCATTCAAAAAAGACGGAAAATCGAAGAAAGGAAAGTCGTTCAGAGGCAAGGGAAAGAGAATCGGTACCCGAAGAGTCGATCCACTGAAATCGTTCAGAGGAAGGCCGAAGTCGAAGAAATAAGCCACCAGCGATTTAAATAGATGTGTCTCGACCTACAATTCAGTCGTGACTTGCCATTCACAGGACGCAAAAATTAATTGATATCACAGTATTCTGGCCCCGAAGTCCACTTGCGATTATGTGAAATCAAGCAAAGAATAGATGGAATTCTTGTGAAAGACATCGAGTAAGGGGTGGCATCCCACTCCAATGACTTTTCATGGTACATGTGCCGAAATCAAACCATGGACAAACAAGTACACATAGATCACAACGTAAAGGGCCACTCTTCTTTTCTTCGCCCCCTTGCTTTTAGGCTCTTGTCCGGGTGCTCCATCCAAGCCCATGATTGCACCGATATTTTCGAGTCATGTCACGTGAAAAAGATTGTTGACTGTGGATCAAAATTGCAAGGTCATCAAATATCACAGCATGTATCAGCCAAAAGCAATGTCTTATTCTCAATATACAGCTACAGACATCGTGACAGGTCGTGACACAAAGACGACGTGCCACGACAGTAAAAGCAAAAAGCCTAGGACTAAATGTACAGCTTTAAGCTGTCGCCAGCAAACGCCAAACCCCTTTCCCCTCCGGCCATTGTGTTTCATGAGTGGGCATCCTTCCTGCGTCCAGGACTCCCTCATCGGGGAGCTTGACCTTCCACAAAGTCCAATGCCTGTTCAGTCGGGACGCAGTTGATATTACTGTTCTTGTTCCTGAAGGTAACACCATAACACTTGTCCGCAACAAGGACGATTTCGGGTCTGAACGTGGTACAGATGAATTGCGTCCCCGCCTCCTTCGAGATGGAGTCGAGAAGACCAGCGACGGCCGTCCGGTATTGAGCGTCCAAGTTGGCGTCCACCTCATCAAAGATAACCATGGGACTGGATTCTGTTTGTTGGAGGGCAAAAATCAGGCAAAGAGCACACAAACCTGACAAGTCATGTTAGTGGAAATAGCTTTGGACTAATGGTGCGAAAACTTACTCTTCTGGCCACCGGACAGTTGCTGAATGCGCTGCTGCTCATCGAACTGCTTTGAATTAAACGACACACTGATGCCAACACCAGTGTAGTTCTCAACGCTTCCACGTTGTTCTTCGTCAGACTCTTCAGGATCAACTCGACGGTCGGCCTTGCGCTGAATCACGAGACGGCCTTGACCTGCAGGTACAAGTCGTTCGAAAATAGTGGCAAACTCCTTGGAGACTTGCTTGAAGGTTCGCTCAATGGCTTCGTCCTTGCGCTGATCCAAATGAGCCACAAGCTCCTCGATGGACTCTTGAGACTGGTCAAGCTCCTTGCGCCGTTTGAGCAGTTGATCCTGTTGAGTTGTGAAACTGTTGTATTGCTCAAAGGCTTTCTTGTTGACATGCTTGTACTTCTTCAACGCGTCATTGACCTTCTTCAGCCTCGAAGCGATCTGCAAATTTTGTTAGTAGAGTTTTGGCGATACTAAAGTTCAATTTGACTTACACTCTTCGACTCCAGTCGTTCGTACTTCTCAAATGCCTCTTCGGGCAGTACACCAAGGTCACGAATGTTCTTGGCGCATTCAATGGCTCTCGTTGTGAGGAGTGCCTTCTTCTGGATGCCCTTCTCCATTCTCTTCTGCTGCTTCTGGATATCTCGAGCGAGCTCCTGTTGTTCCAGGTCCTTGGCAGCTTTCTGTTTTTCCAGCTTGCCAATGTTGGCTTCCGTGCTCTCAATCTGCTGCTCATTCTCTTGAAGTCTTGTCTCGACTGAAGCAACGGCTTTCTGGGCCTTCTTAAGCTCACGTTGAGCTTCTTTCAGATTTCCGCTGCTGCCGCCTGCACCATTTTCAAAAGCTTGGCTTGTCAATTGATCGAGCTTTAGCTGAAGATTGTTTCGAAGCTCGGCGTCCAGAATCTGCTTGCGGCCCTCCAGTTCTCTTCTGGCTCTGCTAATTTCTGTCCATTGCTTCTGTAAGTCTTGGACAGATTGACTGAGGCTCTCGAGCTGCTGTTCTTCATTAGCTGATAGAGCCTTTTTGAAGTCCGAAGAGAGTTCGGCTTCGTGAGCATTCAGCGTATCGCCAAAATCCTTCATGTTTCTATCGACAGTCTCACGTCGCTTGATCGCGGCTTCCAGATGATCTTGCTCACGGCCAATCTGAACACTCTTGGCGTTGAGCTCCGCCCGAAGCGGGCCATAGCTGTCATCCATTTGTCGGAGCTTCTGCTCGCGCTTGCGAAGCTCACCAGTAGCATACGTGATCTCTTGCTCCTTTTTCTCAATCTCCTTTTTGATGCTTGAAGATTGGCTCAGGAGTTGTTCGTACTCCTCCCTCCACTTGGTCGCATTACGAACTGCCTGGAGACGCGACTTTCCTGGGTCAATGTAACCTCCGGTCATGGCACCCCTCTTGTTGGTCGTGTCACCCTCGGGCGTGATGGCATCACAGTTGTGACTCCTGGCATACTGACCAGCGACGGTCAGGTTCGGACAGATGATGGTTCTCCCAAACACTTGCTGGAACGCAGCGTCATAAGTTGGATCGTACTGTATCTTGCTCACAAGAGGGACAGCGTCATTCGCGCGTGGAAGATTGGCCGGACGAGGATGCAGCTTGCTAAGAGGTGCAAAGGTGACACGACCGCCCCGTGTTCGCTGAAGCGCGTTCATGAAGTATGTTGCTGTCTCCTCGTTGTCGACGATGTAATGAAACAGGCTGGCACCAGCAACCTGCTCTACAGGAACGCGGTAGGCCTCATTGACATCGAGTAGCTCGGCCAGTGTGCCGAATGCACCAGGAATGTCTTTTTCTTGCCTGAGGCGCCTGATCGTCGCCAGACCGCGGGAGGTTTCTCCATCCATGGTGTACGAAAGCTCACGCTCGGCTCGGTCTCGCTCTCTACGAGCATTGGAGAGGATCGCATCTAGCTTATCCTCCTCGCGGCGCAGCAGCTTGCGCTCTTCTTGAAGCTTCTCCAAATTGTCCTTGGCACCAGTAACTTCATCGGCAAGGGCGATGCGACTGTTGCCAAAGCCTTCATTCTTGGAGCGCAAGTTTGCGACATCTTTCTCGAGCTGCTTGATGGATGACTGCTTGTTCTTGACCTCCTCCTCTGCGTCTAAACGAGTAGCCTTCTGTTGACTGAGAGTTAGGTTCAGGTCGTTAATCTCTTTCTTCAAGAACGCATCTCGTTCGGCCTTATTCCTAAATTGGCTGCTTCGCGTTTGTTTCGTGAAGAGTCTCTGCCGCCCGGCCTCGGCAGTGTCCAATTCTTGCTTGATCTCATACTCCTTGGTCTTTCTCTTTTCGTATTCTGGGAGAATTTTGGCCAGCTCCGCCTCTTTCGATGTTATAGCCTTTCTGACCTGAGCCAATTCAGCATCGTGCTGTTGCTTGGCTTGGTCTTGAGCAGACATGCTGTCTGACAAAGCCTTCACAGCCAGCTCAGACTTTGCTCTTGCCTTGGCACTTTCTCGCCTGTCCTCGTCCAGCTGCCTACGATCAATGCGAAGCAATTCCATCTGCTGTTGTAGTTTGTGGATTTCTGCATCGAGTTGTGCAATGACTTTCTCTCCAGCCGTGTAGGCTTCCCTATTCTCATCTGTGTCGTCGATTCCACCTTGTCGGGCCTCCTCGAGCTCTTCTAGGGCTTCTTGGACAGCTACCTGATCTTTGTGATAGTAGGCATATTCCAAGCACCTGCGCTCTCTGTCCTTGTCCTGGTATCCTCGCAGTTCCTCTTTCTCTTCCTCAAGTTCACTTAGACGTTCCTTGATATATTCGAGTAACTCGTCAATCTTTTCGCGCTTGTTGTTTGTGTCGTTCATGATCTTGAGCGACTCGGCACGGCGTGCCTCGTAGACTTGAGTTCCGGCAACCTCCTTGAGCAGTGTCAGACGTTCTGACTCCCTCATATTTGTCAGGGCAGTGACTCGACCCTGGGGAACGATGTAATAGGGGTTGGATTTCGAGAAACCGGCAGATTCGAGGAACTGGTTGACTTCCTTGAGTGTTGTCACCTTCTTGTCGATCGAATATTCGTCCTTTTTCAAGCTGATGGTACGACGGAGGACGACCTCCTTGTGATCGGTGGGAAATCGGTTGTCACTGTTATCAAAAATGATCTCGACATATGCAGACATGACGGCCGATCCGGAACCCTCGTGCAGCAACGCCTGCCGCTCCTCTCGGCTAAGTTGAGTGTAGGCATCACTCAGGACGAACCGGATGGCTGCGAAGAAGTTACTTTTGCCCGAACCATTGCGACCAACGACGACATTTGTTCCGGGCGAGAAGGGCTCAATGACCATCTGGTCCTTGTAGCTGCAGTAGTGTTAGCTATGCGCGCAAGGGATGGTGTAGTGTTGATGCGTCGCAATTCACTAGTCGCGTACCTTTTGAAGCCCTGGATGATGATTTGCTTGATATACATGATGCCCACGGTGCTGCCAATCGGGCAGCGCGGTCAAAGACGATATCAAAATACTAGTCGCATACAGACGCGAAAGCTGCAATGGTGATGTGGCGATGCGATGGCAGCGTCGTTGCGTCAAAACTCAATGAGTTGGCGTTTTTTTTGGTCGCGATGGACCAGCGAGACAAATTGTTGAACGCGTCGAGAGTCGCGCAGGCTGACTGAGGGCGGGGAGCCATGAACACACAACCTTGAAGTCTAGGCAGTCTGGTCCCCTGTTCCAGCAAGGTAAGGTACGCCAGGTACTTTGCCCAATATACGCTAGTAAATGTACTATCCAATGTTCGTGCCCTCAATGCTTTGCATTGGAGCACAGCCACAAGAAATTCATCGCACATTGGGTTGTGGCTCGGTGCTGTTCTAGCGTATCCATGAACAAACTTGAATAATACATTACACGTATCCCATGTGCGGCGAGTACCATGATGCTTAAAGGCTTACTTTTCCAGGTACTTTATCAGGTACATGATAAATGATCATCTGCAGCACGTCCGTCTTGGGAGTATATCTAAGAATTTGAAGTTTGATTTCAATTGCCATAAGAAAATACGCGGGTTTCGATGCCATTATTACTGGAGGTACATATCTTGAGTCGTTCGAACACTCCAACCGTTGAATGTTAGCAGGACCTCAGTTGGTATTTGAATAAACTAATATACTGACTACAGCGCATAGAAAACCCCACGAGGGCCCCTCAGGCAAAATAAAGTCGCAAATCTACGCAACCGCGTGTCGGTCATGCTATATATAAAAGAGCTAGGAACGTGCAAAGTAGAGATTGCGTGAGCTGGGCCGCAGGTGCGCTTTTTGTCGGATCTGCGATAGGGTTTATTTCAGCTTTCCTGGACTCCAACGATAGCTGTCTGATTCCTGCTCATTAAGGTACTGATCATGTCTCGGCACGGTAAGCCATCAAGGTAAGAGATCCGTAGCATATCTCGCATCACCACAAGCATTGTCAAAAGGACATTCACCTTGCCAGAGCTATCTGCTTTCGGCCTCGGCTCTGGCTCGGGAAATGCGGCGGGAGATGGAGCTTGTCTTTTACGTTTATATGGACTTGACAATGCTGCCTGGCTCTCGCGTCGCGATCGCTAGACTGGCCAAGTCCAACTGGAGCCGCGTGCACAGAGTTATTGCCCACCATACCGGTAGTGCGCTTTATGGTGATAGTTAGCAGCACGTGTCATTTGCAGTTGCTAACCGTGACTGCATTGTCCCAATGGTGATGATGATGATGATAATGATGATTCAGCCTGTCCCAACGCGCTTTCAAAGTTGTTCTTCACGCAAGTAGCCCCTGGCTGGTTGTGGTCGGATCACCGGGTGGGATGGCTCGCTTCTCAATGGCTGCTACCTAGGATGCTGATGCGTTTGTGGAATTAGCGGCACTCTCCCATAGCAATGAACCGAACTTTACCAGCATTTACCTCGACTTGAGGTCGATAGTGGTGCTGCTTCAGGTCGGCATCCTCATGGACGGGACGGCTCTCCGTGACCTCTTTTTATCCATTACGAATCAGTCTCATCATGTCACGAGCAGGCAGAATCATCTCGAGGCATTTCGAGTACAAAGTTGTGTTTGGGTATTCTGCTCAAGACGACAGACTTCTCGAAAGTCGACGACCACGCTACGTAGCTACTGTGTAAGCTGCAGGCGACGAGGTATCTGGTCAGCAGGCACATGAACCTTGCTTGAAACGTTGATTGAGGTTGTACTGTGGGGGCACTGTAGTGCGTTATCAATATGTCTAGGGATATATCAGTCAACGTCGTAGCTTTTCGTGTCGTGTCGTGTCGTGTCGTGTCGTTTTGTGACGCATATGGAACTTTTATTCCGATAAACGCTGTAAATGTTGGGGTTGCCATATGAAGAAGGATAACATGTATTGCCTATACATGTATATCCTTACATCTCTTCACATCATGACATTTGCGCACAGTCAGCAAGCTCTGCTAACCTAAAAAGCCGTTTCAATCGTGACCCGGGGCGGGATTGACGGGCCAGGATTTGGGGAAGGGCTTCCTTTTGCAAGGATGCAGTTTCTGTTGTGTTGATTGGGAGACACCAAGCTTTTTCTTCGATCGACAGACCTGCATTGTCGGCTTGTCGTGCTACAACGATATGTACTGTACACATCTTAGGTTAGCCTCCCTCCTCGTGTCAGCTACATATGTGCACAAGCTGAGGGAACGTGTTTGTATGGGTTTTGAGCGATGCAGGTGCGGCAAAGATCTCTCCAGATCTTTCCAAGGAGAAAATTGATAGATGGGTGTACACTTGAGAAGGCGAAAAGAAATATAATCAGTCACCCAAGAGCAGAGGTTTCCTCCCCTACCGCTTACGTTATCTGTCTAAAAGTCGAGACTATCTGTTCGAGGGCCAGGGACGGGTATGTCAATGTTACAAAAGACAGATCATCACAAAGAAAGAATGGGTAAAAGAATCAAAGAATGGACAAAAAAAAAAACTTGAATCGCCCATTCCACGTATGAGTGTGTCTGGTACCTACCAGACAGATTGGCGAGCTTTTGTAGGTGCCCCACCCTTATGCCCCCTCCAATGCGGGCTTCTCGAGAGGAAAGAATGGCAACATGGCACTTGGCAGCGGGCTCGCATTGCGCTAGGCGGCACTAGCATGGTTGCGAAAGGCAAGCATCAGCTCCCCAGCAACCCAGGTAGGTTGGCCGATTGGGCGCAAAGACCGGGCTCGACTGGAGTGCGAGAGTCTGGTGGCAGCTGGCGACATGGAAAGGCGCAGTGGGTCCCTACCCCCCTGCACGGGAGCTTGGGCTGAAAAGTACTTAAATATGGGTAGACATATTAATGGACAGGCTCGCCCACTTTCGCGAAAAGCAGTCCGAAGCAAGCAGCAGCTGGACGAAAGTCATCAGACCTGCAGCCAGCAGCAGTGCGAGTGAGCCCAGGCCCAGCGCAGCCAGCCAGCCAGCCTCTCAGCCTCTTTTTTTTCTTTCTCGATTACTACATACCCGACTACACGACTGGTATATCCATCACACAACATCTCAACCGGTTCAACTTTCCATCCCAGGCATCAACATTATTTCTTGGTTTCAGGGTTGCAGAAATAATCAAGGCTCTTGCCCGACTTGTTATGGTTGTTTATTGCCTTGAAGCTGCGTCCTAGCCAAAAGCAATCCCGTCGCCAACAGATATAATTGGCCAGCATTCCTAAACTGTAAACCACAACCAACCAACTTGTGCAATTTTTGTGCATACTCCCCACGCTTTATGCACATAATAAGGCATAAACAGAGGTAGTCATTGCCCATCAAGATATCATCACGAACTCGCGGCAGCCACGTGTGATTCACCTTCGGCGCCCATCTCAACTAGCAGCAGCAGCAGCATCAACTCCTTCTTATTCTCCTCGGCCATAGACGGACATCCAAAAGCGATTCATATTCCAATTGCATCCTCAGGCGTTTTTCTCTCATTTCCCCCCCTCCTTCCCTCCCGTTTTTCTTTTAAACCTTGGTCGGCATTTTCGCTGGTGTTGCAGGACAAATTGATACGTTTCTTGTAATTGAGGCCATCATCCAATACAATTCCTGGTAAGTGCAATATTCCCAACCCCATGGCCTATGGATCTTCACATCTTTTTACCTCTTTCGACACACATGCCTGTCTGCACCTTAATTTGCAACTTACCTTCCCATACTTTCATTCCTCTTCCCATATCCCTAGCGTCCCCCGTATACACCCAGGTCAAGTCGCATGTGCTGTGTGTGTGGCGGCTACATGTGGTCTACCTTTTAATGTAGAAGCCTACCCGCAAGCGTTTGGATTCCCATCTGGATGCCGTTGTCGCCTGCACACTCTGGGATCGGGAAACAATGGTGTTGTTGCACTGCCTACAGCTGGCGATATCTTCACCTGCGGGACTGTAAGCCAAGCCTCGACTATATAGGCCGTAGAGCTGCCAGGCTTATAGTATACCCTGGCAAAATAATACACCATTGTTTGCCTACAACCCAGTTCCGCCACTTGTTCCATACAATCCAATCACTACCTACTGTGATCACCGGTCACCAGTCCAACAACCCTTTCCATATAGACGTGTGCAGCTCCAGGCAGCCAGCCCGCTCCCATTTTTCAGGTCACTCCTCATGATTCCAAAACCTCACTTCCTGGCCATGTTGCACAATGGCCATATGCTTTCCCTTCAGAAGTTTACACAACACCTAGAATACTTACATCTACCGAGCTAGATCCCGAAACGAAATGAACCTTCATCAAGCATAGGCCATATAGCCTGTCCTGTTTAGATAAATATGGCGTCAAGGTAAGCATCTCCCAAAATCCCGGCACGACATACACATACTGACACCATCGCAGATTGGATCGCCTCGTCACGTAAGTATCCAAGACTTTTCGCAGCTGTCAACATCTTGAAATGGGCTTATTCTTGGCCCTTTTTTGTCATACGGAATGAAAAGTCCCACAAGTGTTGGCGTGTGTTTGGCCCCAACGGTCGCTAACATGTGCTTAGGATCCTCGAGACAGGCAGCACAAAGTTGATCAAAGATACTGCTGTCAATCAACTTGCCGACTGGCAGAAGCAACATCCCGAGGAGCTTTTCAATCTTCTGTCGAGAGTGGTGCCATATCTTCGTCATAAAGATTGGGATACTAGGGCTACTGCTGCCAAGGCGATTGGCAAGATCGTAGAGAATGCAGCATGCTACGATCCTAATGAGGACGAAGACCCTTCGTCTGCCAAAAAGGAAGAGTCGGCAGAAAATGGGCACATTAAGAAAGAAGAAGAGCCTGCGGTGGCGGTCAGCTCCGAACTATTCAGTTTGGACACTCTGGATGTTTCCATGATTCTCAAATATGGCCGGGAATTACTCAGAACGGGAAGCGTAGATCTCGGCTTAGCCAGCCTGGAGCCACAGGCACGACTGGTTCATCAGAAGAAGACCCTGCTGGGCCGCCTCGGCCTTCTTGGTCGCCCGTTTGAGGACGACGAAATACCCATCCAAATCGAAAAGTCTGCAAGCCCTATGACGCCACAGGATGCCCCACCTAATGGCAACGGCCTTGGTCGACAGGAAAGCATTGGAGGCCCAGCGCAACTTGGGGAGGACTCCGGGCTTAGCGCAAGGCAGCTGAATCAGCTACGACGCAAGAGAAAGCGAGATGCGCAGAATGCCGCCAAGGGGAAAGGTGGCTTTGGCGACCTGTCCATCCGCCGTTCTTTCACAGACAAATCAGATATTGATGACACGCCCATGGCAGATACTGACTCCAAGAAGAATGGCAAAGCCGACTATTTTTCCTTGGAGCGCCCAGATGACGTGGACGAAGAAAGCAAAGTCGTCTCTGAATACAAAGGGCCTGTAATCCCCATCAAATCCGAAATCGAGACGAAAGACGAGCTCCAGGGCAGCGAGTGGCCATATGAGCGACTTTGCGACTTTTTGAAAATCGACATATTTGACCCCCAATGGGAGACGAGGCATGGCGCGGCACTCGGTCTCCGGGAGATTCTGAGGGTCCACGGTGCTGGCGCGGGTCGTTTGAGAGGAAAAAGTAGGAGCGACAATGACGCCCTGAATCGAGGCTGGCTCGACGATATGGCATGCCGGCTCTGCTCGGTTCTGATGCTCGATAGGTTCACAGACTACGCATCAGATACCTCTGTTGCTCCCATTAGGGAGACAGTGGGTCAGACTCTTGGCTCCTTCTTGAAGCATATTCCTCCCGAATCAGTATACAGCATCTACCGAATCCTCCATCGCATGGTCATGCAACAAGAGGACCTTGGCTTGGACCGCCAGATCTGGTCAGTCTGCCATGGAGGTATGGTCGGCTTACGCTATGTTGTGGCTGTCAGGAAAGATCTACTACTCCAACACAACGACCTGATTGATGGTATCATCCAGGCGGTCATGAAGGGCCTTGGCGACCTCGACGACGATGTCAGGTCTGTCAGCGCTGCAACGCTCATTCCGATGGCGCAAGAGTTTGTCGCTATGCGCCCAGCTGTACTGGATGAACTCATCAATATTGTTTGGGAAAGCTTGTCAAGTCTAGGCGATGATCTAAGTGCAAGCACGGGAAAGATCATGGATCTCTTGGCCACCCTTTGTGGGTTCCCTGAAGTGTTAGAGGCCATGAAGAAGTCTGCACTGGAAGACGAGGAGCGATCTTTCAAGCAGCTGGTCCCACGCCTATATCCATTCCTTAGACATACCATCACCTCGGTTCGTCTCGCTGTTTTGAAGGCTCTTATGACCTTTGTACACTTGGGCGAGGAGTCGCTTGGCTGGCTAGACGGCAAAACTCTACGTCTCATCTTTCAAAATCTATTGGTCGAGCGAGATAGCGCAACACTCAATGTGTCGATGGACCTTTGGCTTGCGCTTGTGCAGTGCTTGGCAAAGAATCCTGAACATCTGGCCCAGGAGTTCCTTCCACATATTGATGCTCTGATGCAGCTCACCTTGCACCCTGTTGGTGTCTCACGTAACCCTATTCCAATGAATGGAGCTCTATTCCAAAAACCTTCAGGGGGTACATATTCGATCACTGGTTTCGTATCCCAGACCCCGCGCAAGGGATCTGAGACGGAAGGCGAGAGAGCCGCAAAGAGGCGTAGAAAGTCCACCAAGGTTGACGAGGCGCCTACCACAGCCCACTCTCATGATCTTGATGGCCACATGATGCATGGTGACGTGGATCTTGTTGGTATGGATACTCTGATTAGGTCACGTATCTTTGCAGGCAGAGCCATGGGCTTCATTATGTCACTTGTCCCGACGTCTAGACTGGAGGCCTTTGATGCAACACTTATGCCGGGATTTACCTCGTCATACTCATCGACACAGTTATCCGCATGCATGATTGTCGATGAGTACTCTACGAACTCTGCAAACGCCAGCTCGGAGCAACGCTATGTTGATGAGCTTCAGAAGATCATCGAGTCTGAGAGACCTTCGCATTACCGCGATCTAGTGAGCTATGTGCAGCGGGTACGTTCGCAATGTGCGCAGCTAGTTAATCTTTTCCGCGACCATGGCAAGGTATCACAGAGCAAACTGCCAACTCTGCCTGTGGTTGTTCAGGGTGAGGCAGAGGCCGGACCGACAGCCTTCTCTATTTCGATTGCCGAAAAGTGCGTGGGCGATGATTTTGAGCGGCTTCGAAAGGCCATGGCGCCAGCCCAACGCCTAATCACCACGAACGATCTCATGGACGCGAGGAAATCGACATCGACAGCTATACAAGAGGCGAAGTCTGCCAAGGACGGCCGTGATATCCGTATCCGTGCCGCTGCTGCATGCGCCCTGATTGCAATGAAAGTCTTGCCGAAGAAGCCAAGTCCCCTCATCAAGGGCATCATGGACAGCATCAAGCTCGAAGAAAGTCACCTTTTACAGACACGTTCATCAGAAACAATCTCCAGACTTGTACAGCTCTTCACTGAGAAGGGTCGCCGCGGTCCTGCGGACAAGGTAGTCGCTAATCTTGTCAAGTTCTCTTGCGTCGAGGTTGCAGAAACACCAGAGTTCCCGGTTCACGTCAATAAGACCGACGTTGTTCTATCCATGCAGAAGGAAGAAGATCGGGTGGACCATGATGATCCTGAGAAGTGGGCGCGCGAGGCCAAAGCTGCGCGTGTCACCCGGCGCGGCGCCAAGGAAGCTCTGGAGATTTTGGCCAGAGTATTTGGTGCTGACATCTTCAACATTGTGCCCAGTCTCAGGAAGTACATGGAAGAACCTCTGACGGTGGCATTCTCTGGTGACTTGCCTGCCGATGCCAAGGATCCCGAATGTGAGCTGGGACAAGAGATCGTTGATGCATTGTCAGTAATACGTACAATGGCTCCGACCTTGGATAATGCACTTCATCCGTTCATCATGCAACAGGTCCCCTTGATCATCAAGGCCCTTCATTCCGAACTCTCAGTCTATCGTTACATGGCAGCGAAGTGCATCGCAACCATATGCAGTGTTCTGCCGGTCGAGGGTATGACCGCGCTTGTAGAAAAGGTGTTGCCATCCATCAGCAACCCAATCGATCTACACTTCCGCCAAGGCGCAATCGAAACGATCTACCATCTGATTGCTGTCATGGGAGATGGCATCCTGCCCTACGTGATCTTCCTGATTGTTCCAGTCCTGGGTCGCATGAGCGACTCTGACAATGACATTCGACTCATTGCGACGACGTCATTTGCGACACTTGTCAAACTTGTACCCCTTGAAGCTGGAATTCCCGACCCGCCAGGTTTATCAGAAGAATTGCTCAAGGGTAGAGATCGTGAACGGACGTTCATGGGTCAATTGTTGGATCCTAAGAAAGTTGAAAGCTTCCAAATCCCTGTTGCGATCAACGCCGAGCTGCGATCCTACCAACAGGATGGTGTCAACTGGCTCAATTTCCTTAACAAATATCATCTACATGGTATCCTTTGCGACGACATGGGCCTCGGCAAGACTCTTCAGACCATCTGCATGGTGGCGAGCGATCATTACAACAGGGCCGAGGAGTTCAAGAAGACTGGGGCATCAGACGTTCGGAAGCTTCCTACGCTCATCGTATGCCCTCCAACTCTGTCTGGACATTGGCAGCAAGAATTGAAAACGTATGCGCCCTTCCTCAGCGTCACTGCCTTCGTTGGCCCTCCTGCCGAGAGAAGGGCCAAGGCCTCGCAATTTGCGTCGTCTGATATTGTGGTGACATCCTATGAAGTATGCCGCAATGATACCGAGTACCTTGAAAAACAGAGCTGGAATTATATTGTACTTGATGAGGGTCATTTGATCAAGAACCCCAAGGCGAAGATTACCATTGCAGTGAAGCGACTGCCAAGCAACCACCGCCTCATTTTGACTGGTACCCCTATTCAGAACAACGTCCTGGAATTATGGTCTCTGTTTGACTTCCTGATGCCGGGCTTTTTAGGCACTGAAAAGGTGTTCCTCGACAGATTCGCCAAACCCATCGCTGCCAGCCGTTTCAGCAAAGCATCTTCGAAGGAACAAGAGGCTGGTGCCCTGGCTATTGAGGCGCTTCACAAGCAAGTCCTGCCATTCTTGTTGCGTCGCTTGAAGGAAGAGGTACTTGATGATCTGCCGCCCAAGATCCTTCAGAACTACTACTGCGACCTCAGTGACCTGCAACGCAAGTTGTTTGAAGACTTCAACAAGAAGCAAGGCAAAAAGATTAGTGAGACAGCTGGTCGTGAGGACAAGGAAGCCAAGCAGCACATTTTCCAGGCTCTTCAGTACATGCGCAAATTGTGCAACTCCCCGGCTTTGGTCATGACGCCGGCTAATAACATGTACGACGAGACGCAAAGATTCCTTGCAAAGCAAGGAACCAGCATCGACGACATTGTCCATGCTCCTAAACTTACAGCTCTGAAGGATCTACTCATTGACTGTGGCATTGGAGTTGAGGGGACTGACTCGAACGACCCTCTGTATCAGCCAATCAAGCCTCATCGCGCCCTCATTTTCTGCCAGATGAAGGAAATGTTGGACATGGTGCAAAACACGGTCCTCAAGCGCATGCTCCCGTCCGTATCGCATTTGCGCCTCGACGGGTCTGTCGAAGCCAACAAGCGTCAAGATATTGTGAACAAGTTCAACAGCGACCCGTCGTATGATGTGTTGCTACTTACCACTAGCGTCGGTGGTTTAGGTCTCAACCTGACGGGTGCTGATACGGTCATCTTTGTTGAGCATGACTGGAATCCGCAGCGTGATCTTCAAGCTATGGATCGAGCACATCGCATCGGTCAGAAGAAGGTTGTCAACGTGTATCGACTGATCACGAGGGGTACTCTGGAGGAAAAGATCTTGAGGTAAGTCTCAAAGCTCGGGGGCTGAAAAGCCTTGCTCGTTCGATGTATCGTACTTACACAATGTCCAGTCTGCAAGCATTCAAGATTGATGTTGCCTCCACCGTCGTGAATCAACAGAACGCCGGTCTGGGGACCATGGACACGGACCAGATTCTTGACCTCTTTAGTCTGGGCGATGCGGGTCCAAATCTCATTACCGACAAGCCAAAGGACGGGATAGATGGTCGCGAGGAGGATATGGTTGACGTGGAGACGGGTGATGTGCGTGCGCCAGGCAAGAAGGCTTGGATTGATGACCTTGGCGAGCTTTGGGACAATCGCCAGTACGAAGAAAGTTTCGATCTTGATGGCTTTATGAAGACAATGCAGTAGAGTTGGTTGGACAATCCCAGGAAAGCGAGTCCGGTATCAGCCGATTCGATCCAGCTTTACGAAAAAGCGAGAAGGATCAGAATCAGAAGGGATGGGCCATGGGTTATTTGTACAACACCAAGAATATCCAGTTGATTTGTTTTTTAATTTGGGATGGGCCCAATAACCCGCCACCAGCGATACTCATGTGCGTCCAAGTTTGCCTGCTGGCTTGGACTGGCAGGCTCATTCCTATTCATCAGAAGAGCATAGAGATAGATCTGTGAATATGAATTGTGAGTCTTGCCTTTTTTTTTTTTGGTTGGTCTCGAGTCTTTGCGGGTACTACAGAAAATGTAAGTTATAGAAGTCCAACACGGCCTTCTTTTTCATGGCCTCTCCCATCCTATGGACTGGACATTGCATGGGAGAATCCCAGCGAGTGTGGCTAGGGTATGATCGGGGTGGCTGGTAAAATCGCTGCTGGTGTTTTCAAAGAAGCACAAGGGGGGGGCTTGCTGATAGAGCGACTTCGCTACTAACGGTTACGCCGCTGGCTACCTACTTATAGACAGTAGATGCAGGCACAGGGTAGTTTATGGTGGCCGATGTCGTATACTCCAATCACCATTGGTGGACTAGCAGACGCGAGGAAACATCCAGCAATCGCCTTCTTTCCAAAGGACTCACGAAGGGTGGAGAGATATTATTGCTTGCATTCTCTACCGCCTTTCTTACCCACCGTTCGGTTCGGTTACGACAACCGGGAGGGGCCAGTTCATGCGCGATAATTACGCGAGCAGATAGTCGATTCGTGTCTTGGTCGGGTGTTTCCATTAGTGCCCGCTACGAATCCCTGTCAAGGATATCTACAAGCATATTTACAAGCTTTTTTTTTTTTCCATGTCTCTTTTGCCAAGCTTGTATATGCGGTCAATTCGTAGACTCGGATGGAGTCAGGGCCCATTCGCGCTGACTTTTGTGATGTCAAAGAAAAGACTCGATAGATGGTTTCTCGCCACCACAACACACATGGATCGCTAAAGCATCTCCGCCGACCCAGCCCCTCTCTTCTCGAATCTATTGCTGGATCTGGAAGCTCATGTAGGTGAGCAAGCCACTATGCAGGTCGTCAGCGGTGCCTGGACAATGAAGAGAGAGAAAAGGACTCACTCACGCTAGGCAAGGTCTGTTCCGGTGGGTGGTGAGTCGATGAGCAAGGAACGTACGAGACTCGGTGAATGATATTGAGCCTCACGAAAACGGAGACTCCCATGTAATCTGTACGGATATATAAGTAGTCAGCTTGCTCAACGATATCAACTTTGCCGTTCTTCAGTTGTCTATACTTATTTGCAAATATTAGAAGAGTCTGTAACAGTTTATTCAAGGAAATAATCGGCTTGCCTATAATCAAATCACTCCTATCATCATGTTTCACTCCACCATCCAAGGCATAGCCGCATGTGCCCTTCTGGCCACGACCCTCGTCGGCGCGGCACCTCTCTTACAGACCGCGGCAACGATGACAAAGCGTGACACAGCCGAGCGCTACATCTTTGCCAACTGCATCAACAATGTTACCTCGGCAGGCTACGCAGCCATCTTTTGGTACTATCCCGACTTTTTGCCCGACTTCCCGGAACCTCAGGACACGGCATACGTCAACAATGCCACGACGGTCGATTTTGCCGGCACCACCGTCTCGGTCAGCTCGCCTTTTACGCTCAAGGCCGTGCTTCCCGCCGACGCTGCCACCGCTGCTGAGGGCGACATTGTGTCGACGGATGCCAGCGCGTCGTCCTTTGCCGGGCCCATGGCGGTCGTCAAGGGTAGCGGTGATGTCTTTTATATCCCTGCGACTAATGTCAACTGCTATGAGGAGTACTGGCAGCGCGATGTAAGCTTTCTTTTCTTTTCTTTTTTTTTTTCCAAATATTTCACCGCCACCAAGAAAAGAACTTGGGCATGATGGCTGACTACCTCGAATCAGAACCAGCCAGTTGAAGACCCTTGAGAGAGGTGTGTTCTATGGAAGGGGGTGTTTCCTGTTGTGCATGGGCTAAAATAAAATGTATTGGACCGTATGAGTCAATGTTCTTTGGCATGCGAAACTGCATATATAATGAGGTCATGAAATTAGTCTTGGGGGAAGGAATAGAGGAGCAAAGGTGGATAATTTGAATGTGCATATGATCGTTTATGAACAATTATAGATATATAAGAGGGCTAGCACGGGCTTCCTGTTTCAAAGATAATTTTGATAATCAATGCTCCCTAAACTCTATACTAGCCTACACAGTTTCACGTAAACTTCGAAGAGATCAATAGTTGGAGGGTCCTAGTCTCTCATTGACAAGTTTGAAGTATCAATATTGCAAATATAGACTGGAGCTATTCCCAGCTGGCAAACAGATACAGTCAAAAGCTCTGTTAAAATCAGAATGGGTTTGGAAGTCGGCGATATTCAGTAAGTCAAATCACGCAGCTCTATACAACTCGAACGTAGGGATTGGGAAACAAAAGCTTCCAGGGGCCGCCCGCCAATCATTTCAATAATCAGGTCATATCGGAATTATGACCTATGGTGGGCCTTGATGCGCCTGCCACGCACGGGATTGTAGGTAGGTATGATCAAGCATATGTACGGGCCGCAGCCGCAGCGGGCATTGAGATATGAAGCAACTGCATCAATAGCCAACCACGAAGCGAATCTACAAGTGCATCGGAGTAGCAACAGGGTCTTCAAATCTAATGTACCCCGTCTAGAGTCCGGAAGACCCCCCACGCACACTGCCCCTGATTTGACTCAAAAGGAGCATCGGTTCGCTGTACAAACAGTCAACTGTCATGTGTCTCGAGTCACCAAAATTGCATGAAATATCAAGAAATAGAATCAACCGTTATGCACGAGGGGGGCGCAGGTCCGTTGGCAAACATCCAACACCTTATTTTCTATTGGTTCCCAAATGGCTGGGGCCAAGGGACATTGGTCCGTCGGCCTGTTCATGTGCACCTCATAGAGCATCTAGGCGTCTTTTTTTTTTTCCCCCCTTTTGGGAGAATCACATTTGGAGGTGGCGTGTTCTATCCTTCTGTGGAATTGCACATGTCTCGTGTGCATGTGACAGTCATGCTGTTGTGACAGATCCATCCATTCAGCAGATTGGCCATTCGTCTTACTTGTCATATTGACGGGACGGCTCGCTGATCTGCAAATGGGGCGAGGAAATATTAACTTGGACGTTGCAGCTGGATTTGGTTTTGTGTGCATGAAGTTGAGCCAATCTTTTTGTTTGGCCAAAGTCTTTTTTTTTTTCTTATGGTTGGTGCCGTGCATGTTTGCTATTCTGAAGGTTAAATATTTAAGAAGTCGCGACCGGCTCTTTTCGTTGGGGTAAGAAAGAGACACACACCATGGAAACCGTGGGCATCACATCAAACTACATTCCTTTCCATCCCCCAAAGAAAGAAATCGCCGCCAAAAATGACTCATGAGCCTTTACAATCAAACCCGTTGTGTCTCAGGCCTTGGTTTGCTCAGTCGAGCAGATCGGAGACTCCCAGCGCCGTCCCAGCAGTCGACGCTCACCATGGCAATGTGCAGAGAATGGTGTTTCCCAGCAATTCGAGTACGACGTGGGAAACTAAATGCAACTCCCCCTTTCTAGAAATGCTTCCTCTTGAACTCCGTCATCTCATCTACTTTTACGTGTGGGATGTTGGAATTCAAGATTATCACATATTTCAAGACGAGCACGGCCTTTTTTGCCACTCAAAATGTGTCATGAGTCCAGTCCACGAAGAGTTCGACCATATTCAGTTGGAGATGGATAGGATCTACGATGCCCAAAATTCAGACAGATTCAGGGTAGCCTCGCTCCGGATGTGGCATGACAGGCAATTCAATTCATGCTGGGGTCCCCGTCACTGGATGTGTTGGGAGAGATTGCAGTCCACCCAGTCAACCGCCTCCGTCGAGGAGGATGGATTCTCAAGAACGGATAGGACTGGTTGGATGAACATGCTCCTGGTCTGTAAGCAAATGTAGGTTTTACTCGGTCTCTCGACCTCGAGGACCAGCGTTAATTTTCTATCCGAGTCACAGTACATCAGACATAGACAGAGAGAGGGAGAGCTGACAATGTCTCATAGGTATCCAGAGGTTTTGCAATCCATCTTTGAAAACCACAAATTTCTGTTAAACCGTACCACCACGGCCAACACATTTCTGGTATCCCAGCCGCCGCCACTATTGCAGCACATCAGACACCTGGATCTTACGCTGAGTGCGTGCGTCCATGATTACCTCGCTTTTCTCAAAACACCTCATCCATATACAAGTAGGTTTTCGGGCATTATGGACAAACTATTGACATTCACAAGCCTTCATGATTTGAGGATATCCTTTGTTCTGTGGGAATACGAATCTTGGGCTCTGGTTGATGAGGAGACTCTAATATCAATGCTGGCGACGCTACAACCTCGCAAGCACTTCACAATAGAGCTCCCGCCGGGATCCAGCAGAAGTGAACAAAAGCAAAAGTACGATGGAGTGCAAAGTAATGGGCTATTGCAAATAGCCAGACGACCTAGGAGGCGCTACTGGATATCGCCTGCTGTGCCGCCAATGGTGTCGAGAATTCAACGACTCTTTTTGGCGACAGCCAAGGGCACAACAAGATGACCGTCTCGGTTATGATCTTTTCCCTATATATGTGAACTTGGTTCAGCTTTTATACTCTCTGGGCATACCGGCCTTGGGGAAAGAAACATGGTTACCGGGTTCGTGGTCATATACTATCGTCATCACTTTTCGGTGCGAGAAATTTCTAACAGATCTAACTTCTCGTAACCACAAGGGATAGATAATTACCGGTCACATCTTCACACAGAGAAGAAGCATGCAGACAAGGGCAATTTTCAACCGCCAAGATCCAGTGGACCAATAGCATGCTGTATGGAACCCGACTGTCATCATCAGATCATGATTCACGCCAATCTTTGAAAGGGTGGGATTGTATACCGAGGACAACCATGGTCATAAGGCTCGCACAGTGTAACCAAAGAAGACCCAATATTCCGAGGCCAAGGCGTAGGAGTTTCTACTTTTGTCGAGTGCCTTGCAACTCCCCCTCTGGTAGGATTCCAGGCTGCATGTTGATCTGACGAAACAGCCTATCGGTATCGGCATTCATTGGCCAGACACTGCCCCTCCTCAACTGGGGTCAGCAGTCCAGTCTCTCGCCCAGCTATTATCTGCGAGTCGGTACAATCTATAGGAGCCTAATGTATCCCACTTCGATCCCATCCATTGAGGCACTTTCATCCATCCATCCGTCGTGGCACTTCAATGTGGTCAGGCTGCCCTTTCCCCCCTTTGGTATTTTGTGTTATAGAAACTACAATCACCTTGCATTGCATATGTTTGCTTCTTTAGTCCGGGGTTGAGACCACCAATCACTCGATTCAGCCAATCGTGTCTCTCCATCCCAGTCAGAGACACATGGAGTTTGCCCCATCTTGACTTCAGCTCTGATCGATTAGGGAAAATGTCAAACGCGAGACCCTGTCATTGCTGGCTTCCCAAGTCAGCACGAACGATGACTGCATTCTACTCACGCCAACCAGATTAATTGGAGCCGTCACAGCTTCGTCGGCACTTTGGGTCGCAGATATGCTCAACATCCAAGGATATTCCGAAACGGGTCATACAAGTCTCGGAGCGGCAGCTAGTTTTTTTTTTTTTTTTTTTTTTTTTTAAAGTTCAGCCTCAATCCAATCTTCATGGACGTTTCCAACAAGGTCGTCGTTGTACCACTGAAACCCTATCCGGTATCCATATTCCGAGGGATGACTTTGTTCTTTTCCAAAGTTTGCAACTATTCAGCACAATGACGGAGTTCACAACATCTCGCGAGTGTGCAGACACGCAATCGCAGTCGAGTTTCTTTGGTCTCTTGCCGCGCGAGGTCAGGGACATGATATATGCACACTTGTGGGAAGCGTCCAAGTCACGTCAGCATGTGTTCCAGAGAGAGGGGGGCAGCTTAACGCACTATGCGTGTACGAGGCCTCGGGACAGCAGCGATGAAAGGAACGAGAAATTTGAAAAATTCTGGCATCGTTACAGGGACCAAAATCCCGGGTCTACCGTGCGCGATGCTATTTGGGCCCAACGCATCTCATCGACCTGGAACGAGCACTGGTGTTGTGAGGAAGCCATGCTCAAGGCAGAAGCGGGTGTAAAAGAGAGCAAGAAGAGCACAAGGTCAATATTCTTGTCTTGCCTGCTCGCTTGCAAGCAAATGTAGGACTATACCCTCTTTTCCACTTCTGTTGACAAAAGATATTCCCAGGACGGCTTTGGCTGAGAATCAGATTGCAGGCATCACGAGGCGGGACCATCATTATACTCCCATATCACTTTTATCTTGACGACTCTGCCCGCATCACACAGATTCTTTGTAACTAACCCGTCCCCTCACCTCAAACACGCGCGCTCTCTCGAGCTATCGCTCAACGTCCCTTACGCAGCACTCCACAACTACAACGAGAACAACAATAGACAACAGCACGCGGCGACGCTCCGACCAAATGCATGGGCCGACGTCTGTATTGCCCTGTCGAACCTTTGCCTCGAGGACAGTAACAGCAGCGGCGATGGTAGCACCGGAGTTAACGTGACCCTGCGCAGTGTGGCCCTGCGCCTCGACCTGGTCGAGGACGACCGCTTCTGGTGGGAAGTCCGCGAGAGCTCCGCCCTCAGCCCTATCCACGGTCCTCTGCGCGCCCGTCTGGCGCTGCAACTACCTGAGCTCACCGTTGACGTGGATCGCATGAGGATGTTCCAGTACGAGAGCAGCATAAGCAGCAACCCGACTACTCCTTCGGAGTCAGCCTCTGGGAACTGGGGAGAAGCGGAAGACGACCAAGGACGAGGCAATGTCGGAAGTGACAACCAGCCATTTCTCGTGTACCCACTGCCCTCGTACCTACGGAGCTGTTCTGGCAGTAATGTAAAGAAACGGTTGATATCGGATTTCCAGAGTCTGAAGAGATATAGTAGAAGGCGTTGGACGACGACAGACAGCCTCGACGATGGCATCGAGGCCAGACTCGAGTTCTTCAGTCCCCGTGAACATGCACCCGAGGCCTTGGTCCACAGAATGACGGGATTATTTAGGGGAATGCTCATGGGCTGATTTTCTTCTCTCGGCAGGCGTTGGTATGGTTGATATATACGCTCGAAAAGGCAAATTATAACATATACATAATCGCTCATCGGAGCAATGCCGTCAGCCGACACACCTCGAGGTGGCTTACTAGATGTGGACCATTCATTGTCTTCAACTTGTAGCTTATGAATTAGTTTTTCTGGCCTTGAATGCTGACACAGACTACCAAGGCCTAAATCAACTGCAGACCCATCCATCTCCGCCAAGATAGCCATGTTTCGAAAATATTCAGATGAGCAAAATAGAACCCCTGAACGCCATGCAATGCAGCTAATCAGTTTCCTCTCACCGAGATAATGCACCCACACCAAGAATATTTGACTCGTAATCGACTCATCCACCCATGCGACTCTGGGGTTCCGTTCAAGCATTTGAAAGACCACCGTTGGCATATAGACCTTGCCACCTATCCTCGACATCACCAACTTTTGCCTTTACACTTTCAATCTCCTTCTCCAGCTCTGCCACATTCCGCGTCAGGGCGCTGACTTCCTCGAATCTTCTCGCGCCCTGAGAATTGGCAATCATGGATTGTACCATGTATTTTTGCTCTTCTAGCACAATGAGTCGTTCTTTCAAGTCTTTTTCCTCTGTTTCAAGCGCCGAGACTACCGTGCTGGTCTCACTTGTGACCGACGCAGTGTCGAGATAGTTGTCGGAGTTACTACGCAGCGGTGATGGCGCATGTCCGTTGGGCATGAGTCGACGCGAGTTCGAGGATGCCGAAGACGAGTGTTTGAGGATCTTTGGAAGATTCTTTAATGGTAGCATGTGCATGTGTAGAAATGCACTTGCTGCTTGGTATACGGCCTTTTGCAAATGTTTTTGCGTTGGGCTGGCGGTCTTGAGGTCTCGAATGCGTTTTGCGGCAATATCGTATTTTGTGAAGCTGTCTATCAAGCGCTTGCGCAATTTCGAGGCTTCTTGGATTTGTGCATGGCTGGGCGGATTGTTTTCGTTCTGCAGAGGTATCAGCACCCTCTGAAAGCTGGGCATGAGTTGTTGTATGCCTCGCTCAAACTGCCGCAACGTCTCATATGCTCGCTGATCGGGTGGCTTGTGTGTCACGCTCTCGACAAAGTCTCTTTTGGCAAATATGGTGAATTTGCAGTCGCGACACATCCTAATATCCACGCTGATGGGACTTCCGTCGGGCTTTTCGGATTTCGGTACACTGGGATTGGCCACATTCAAGCCAACCTCAGAGGAGCATTCCGTTTGCGGATCCGCGCAAACTACTCGCCCGCATATCCGGCAGTGGTGTCTCCTAAAAGTCCAAGACCCAAACTCTTGCTGACAAAAAGGACACTTGCTAACTTTTGCGTCGTCTTCCCAAGTGACCACGGATTGCTCAATCATCTTTCTTTGATTCCTCTGACCAGCCAAGGAGGCAACGGGTGACAGTAGACTGGTACCGCCTCCACCGCTGCCGTTGAGCATTTCTTCAGGCGGGTTTGCCAAGAGCTGAGTCAGTTTCGTGAGCCTCTTCTCTAGTCTTGAAATCTCCAATGTTTGTCTGTCGACTCTCTTCTTTCGTATTTCCGAGAACGCGCTTGTATGGTCCCGTGTGAAGCCATGGTGGTCATTGTAGCCGTCCCTCGACTTGTAGCAGGTCTCACAGACTCTGTACCAGTAGCCTCTGACAGGCTCGTGTGCTGCTGACCTGGACAATTTCATTTGATACATTGTATGTTCTTCACAAAAAAGCCTGCCACATTTGCGACAGTTGATGCTCCCATTTACTGCGCCTAGCCCCTTTCCACATGCTGGATCCGTACACACATCATTGAAACCTGATCTCTGCCAATGGGATTTGGTAATGATCTCATCTGGATCAAAAGGAGTCTCAAGAATAGTGGGAGCTCTTGTAGCCGACACTTCTCTCGTGTGTGTGGGCAGCGGCGCAGTTTCGTTTGACTCGAATACCTCGAGGCCTCGGAGTTTTTGGTTGATTAGGGATAAAGGTTGGAACTTCTTTGCTTTCAAAACTTGCTTATCGAACCATGTTTTAACCTCGTCCTGCTGGAAATCCGGGAGCTCCTGGTGGTTGTCGTCGATGTGGCGGTTTAGTTGTAGCAGGGTCAACTAGGTCGCAATGCAGTGTTAGTTTTGTTTGGGTTCCCCGGCTCGAACAGAGATGAAGACGCTTCAGCGCAACAACGTACCATTTCTTCCTCACAAATCGGACACACCAGCGCCCCTTTGGCGGCGCCATTACTAGGACCCCCCAAGCTGATATTGGAAGCAAGATCCTGCGCAAGCCCAGGCAGTGGACTGGCAGAACTCGGCGAGCCTGAACCAGGGGACAGGATAGATTCGCCGATCGAACCCCCGATGGACGGTGTACTATCTGAAGGCGCATATGGGCTCGTCGCACGCTGCACGGCTGGGGACGCTGTCGCTGCACTCGGCGGAGCGAGACCCTTCCCGCTGCCTAGGACGCGGCCTCCCCCCAGTCTGCGACTCGACATGGCGGGCAGATGGATAGGTGTCTCCTAGGAAAGGGGGCGGTCGCCGACGAGAGCCATGAGGTCGGAAACTCGGAAGTAAGTCGAATTCTGCGGGTTTGTTTCAAGTTCGCAAATGTTTTCTTTCCGCGCAACAAGGCAACAGTTGAGGAGCTCTGGTTGTGGTTGTTGGCTTGGCTGGTTCGGTCGGTACGTGGCACAGGAACAGGAGCTGATGGTTTGTCTCGAGTCAGACTGGGAGGATCCGTCGATCGTGGGAGTGACCGGCAACCAAATTCTACCTGGGTAGAAGGGAGGCCAGGCACCAGGAGTAGGACAAGGTCACAAGCTGGCGTGGCCAACGCAAAAATCAACAAAAAAAAAGTGGTATTGCAGACGTACGTACACGGCGTCGTCCCGGTTGGCTGAGATGGAGTTGCTTCAACTGAACTGACCGATCGACTGAGTGACCCCCCAGTCTCGGAGATGCAAGACCACCGAACCTGGCCCAACCCAAGACTGAATGTCTGAGTCTCCGCTGTCATTGATCAACCCCACTGTGGCCCCCCCGCTATCAGCAGCTTATCGGTCAGTGACGACAGGGATTCGACTGCTTGCGTGGGCAGTCGCAGAGCAAATAATAGCACTCGGGTAGTACAAGGATACAGGGGGCTTTATTTTTTTCTGTCAGTCAGTCGCCGTCATCGCCTAGCTTTTCTCCGTGGAGGCTTGGAGTTTACAATCGCGGAATCATGGCTTGAATTACTAGAATTTTCGCTCTCTTCTGAGCTCCTAGCCATTATATTACACATACAAGTCCTGTCACAGTGAGAAACAGTCCACTATGCCCGAGTCTGACAGCAAATTCCCAGAGGTCAAGGGGGGCGGCAGCTTGATCCTCGCATGGCAGATTAAAGGCAAGCACGTGCTGGTCGTCGGAGGTGGTGAGGTGAGTTCAAGAATACAACCAACATTCAACCTCCTTGCCCAAGTTTGTAAACCTAGGATCGACGACAAAGACCCGTCCAAGAGCCAATGGATCTGGACCTTGCTGAACTTGTCTGCATTCCTATCCCTTGTACATTGCAGACGTGCGCCTGTTCCCGTGGGGGGGTCGCTTGGATGGAAGCTTCAGTAAAACTAACAAGTCCTGTCTTAGGTCGCAGCTGGCCGCATACTCAACGTGCTCGACGCCGATGCTCTCGTGACCGTCATCTGTCCCTTTTCCGGCCTTAACCCGGAAGTGCGACACCGAGTCACCGAGGCGCAGGTGAAGCACATAGATCGTCTATTTGAGCCAATCGACCTCGAGAGCCTGCCACATCCGTCGGGAGAAGCAGAGAAGACGGGACCTCCCGATATGGTTCTTGTCGCCATTGACGACCCGGACGCCTCGACGCAGATATGGAAGCTATGCAAAAAGCTCCGCATTCCAGCCAACATTGCCGATGTGCCGCCTGAATGCGACTTTTACTTTGGCTCTGTACATCGCGATGGGCCACTACAGATCATGGTGTCGACGAATGGCAAGGGGCCGAGGCTGGCGGCTGCTTTGCGCAAGTATATTGCTTCCAGTCTGCCAAAAGGCGTGGGTAATGCCATCGAGCGAATTGGTGTCTTGAGAAAGAACCTCAGAGTGGTTGCGCCTGATGCGTCCCAAGGACCAAAGCGGATGAAATGGATGAGCAAAGTCAGCGACCAACTGACGTGGGACCAGATGTGCGAGCTGACGGACGAGGATATGCAGAATCTCTTGAAATTCTTTGACAGCGGCAAAGTGCCATCCTTTAAAGACTTGAAGGCGATGCGCGCTGGAGGTGACCCCGATGAGTTGGACCTCTTTGACGGGTCTTTCGGTTTCAGTATCGGAATATAAAGATTGGTTATAAACCACCCATTGTAAAGTAAAATGTATCAATGACCATGCATCCCCAAGGCACCTTTTCTTACCTAGATACTTATACTCGAGAGTGATATTCAAGCCACTAAGTGGCTGCCTCACTGTACCTTTCATGCTTCTCGAACCCTGGATGTTGTCAATCCAACATTTGAAATGGGACTCTTGACTGGTCATTATTCCCGGCCATCACTTTCCACCAGTATATTACGGAGAGTAAGGTGGGTTCGTTGAAGAAAGCCACAACATGTTGTTGGGCTAATAATGCAGATGTTTATACTAAACTATACTCAGTTCTTCAATTTGCATGATATATTTACATAACCTACTATATATCACCACTTTCATCATGGAACTTGTTTCAACTGCAAGAATGATTATTGGGTCTTTCTATTATAACAGGTTCAATCAGAATCTATGTTTGGTATCGTCTAATCTGCGCGTTCAAAATACACTCGCTTTACTCCACTTGCTTCCAGCTCTAATCCTCTTGCCAAAGACGTAAAATATGAATGGCACAGGAATCATCAGGCAGGCAAAGCCTCCAAATATACTCGAGCCTGGTCCAACGCCAATGTTATGATACAGCGGCGATACTACCAAAGGGAAAGCTGCAGCAAAGCAACTTCTCAAAAACGTATTCGCCGCCACGGCACTCGCTGCGTACATTTGAAAAGTATCGACCAAGTAATTCAGCGCAGCTTGGAAAATGGTATTAAATCCAGTTCCCGTGAGATACAAGCCTATAACGGGTACAATCCAATGCACATCCGGCTGGGCAGTCCATCCAGTCATGAATAAACTGCCTCCAAAGAGAACGGATCCCAACATCATCGGCGGTAATCTTTTCTCTGGAACTGCGCGGTCGCCTGCAGCATGATAAGCCTTATTGTACCAGAACTGATTGGCAATATTGATGCCTGCACCAGTTATTGATCCCAGGAGTATTGCAATAAAAGGCAATTCCGATGTGAAAGTACCCCATCCTCTGATTTCATTAAAGATTATGGGAACCGCTCCCAACTGCATATAGAGGATGCCGTAACAGAAGCTCGCATACAGAGCTACAAGCAGACAAATTGGAGTGCACAACAATTGTATCGGACGGACCAGGAATTTCCTCGAGAGCTCAGAGATGCTGACATCCCACTCCTCAAACTTGGCGTGCAGGGCCCAGTTGCCAGTCTCGTGCCGAAGGTTTCTGGCCTTGGAAACGAGCAACTTGGGAGGATACGATTCATCGATGAAGATGATGGCCATCAACAAGATGAACGACTGCAAGATGCCCGTGAGATACTCCGTCCATCGCCAGCCTAGCCATGGCTGTGCCACAACGGCAGCTGAGACGATGGGTCCTAATGTCGGACCGCCAACCACAGCCATTGCGTAACCTGCCATTGCGATACCGCGATGGGCCGGAGAGAATAGGTCGCCCAGGACACCACCAGTGTTGGTGACGGGCGCCGAGGCGAAAAAGGCTCCAAAGAAGCGTGTAATCATAATGGTCTGCAGGTTCGTCGCCGTTGCTGTCGCAAAGGAGAAACAAATTGCCACAAACATGGGGATCAGCACGGCGATTCTCCGTCCATAGACCTCGGAGAGCGGTGCCCAGAGCAGCGGGCCGACACCAAAGCCCACGAGAAACAGCGTTGTACCCAGGACGGCGACTTGTGTGCCGACGTGAAACTCCTCGGCCACCTGATCCGTGCCCGCCGAGTACGACGACGAGGCCCAGGTGGCACTCATGGTCACGAGGCCGTACAACAGCGTCGTGCTGACCTTTTTGTGCATCGGCCAGTTGATGGGCCGGTAGGGGTCGTCGGGCCCGTCAAAGTCCACGAGCTGGTCCTGCGACGTCTTCTCCCGCGCCAACGGGTGCGTGAACCGCGGCACCGTCGGCCTCGACCGCACGCGGGCCACGATGCTCTCGCTGCGGTTGAGGCCCGGTCGGCTCAGCCGCCGCAGACCGTCTTCACACTGACATGGCCGATAGCCATCATGCTCCTTGTCCGAGTGAACGCCGCCTTGGTTGGATCGGGCAGGTTGTAACACTGTGGAAGTTTCCGAGTCTGATGTGCTTGAGGGTGAGGACTGGGCTTCAATGTCGTGTAATGACGAAGCGGACATTTTTGTTATATGTAGTCAAGCAATTGGTTTATTGATCATACACTGTAGAACGCCAGAGTATTCTCAGTGTCAGCTAACTCATTAGATGCAGCATTGCCAGGTAGCACAATATCAGACTCTCTTGTTGTGTCTATATACAAATAACACAGGTGGTCTCTTTCTCGTGAAGAGGTCGTAGTGGCGTATCAATTCGTAACCGTTTGCATTCCTCTCGAAGACCGATATAGCCGAGCAGGGGCGGCTTTGCTTGGTGACGTAATTGTCTACCCCCGAAGCCAATGACGGCCACTATAATATTACTGCTTCAGCTGCTAGTATAAAAAACTAACCCACAACCCGCAATCCGCGTACCCAACTGACCGGTACCGAGCTTGCGACTCGGAGCCGCAACGGCTCCCTCTTTTGCCGTATTCTCCTTCTCTTGCAGCTAAATCAAAGGCTCGGCCCGGCGAGCTCGAAAGCGAAGGCGCGAATATCAGTAAGCGACAAACCCAGTGGTTATAGAATTGATCAATTAAATGTCAGATCTGCAGTCTTTATTCATTCAATTCTTAATCGATGAGCTGAGCTTACATATCGACGCAGACCCAAAAGAGCCAGCAAATCTCGGCACTTGGGCTCCATGTTTGCACTTCTTTACACAATCATTAACTGCACCAATACTTTTCTCATACCCAACGTGGGGAAAAAGAAGTAAGCACCAAGACTATATGCATGGGTATTTAATTGGAAAATCATCAATTTAAAATCCAACACTAGCTTTGATGCTCCATGTTGTGGCCCCAATGTATACTTGGTCAGAAACTATAGAGATGACTTTCGAGCCAAACATCAATTGCAACCACCAGTAGCAGTATAAGAATTCTGCGTACTTATATGACTGCATATTATCCTCGTTATTGCTCTTCCTCTTGATGGAGATGACCAAGTACAATCCAATCCTGTACTTCCGCCTCTTCAGCCTCTTCAGCCCAGCTAACAGCCAGTCAGAGCGCAGTATAGCCGTGCTTTTAAAATGCACACCTCAAAATCCCGTGCTTGATTAGTTTTGGTTGGTAACATTTTGAATAAATGGTTAAATGCATTCGCATTTGGCTTGACAAAGCCACAAGGGTAGTCTTACAAGCCACGAAAGCTTGTTTGCCCTAACATGGCAACTTTCGCTGCTGTACTACAATTACCGGTAAGCATCTGCCAATGAGATCTTATGGATCTGATCATGATTAACCACGAGTCTTTGAATGATCTGCTCGGCTCCCCACTTCAAGTCCGTACAGCACATGTTGTCTCACTTGGGGATCTCGGGATATCTGTCCATATTTAGCATCTTTGCCTTGTTATCACTGTGTTTGTAATGCATCCTGGTTCTATACTATAATCGAGTGCTTTTGTTGCTATCAAATATCATCAGTCGTTTCGATTTGGCAGGGAAATGTCAACAAGTCCACTTGAAAATGAAAAACCTATTGAAACTCTCTTCCACGCAGATGTCGGTGCAAGTAGCGCAAAATCATCAGCCATAACTGCCAGTGGGACGAATAATTCAAAGCATCCTGTTCACCTCAAGACCTTTTTGGCCATTGCCTCCATTGGCTTGATCTATTTTGCGCAACTAATAACATTAGTTGGAGCCGGCGCTGTAGGTGTATACTTCCATGTTTTGCACGGTTTCACATTTACTGAATTCGTTCGTAGCAAGGGCATACCATTGCTGCCCATTTCAACGATACCACCAACATTATATGGCTTACCGCGCCCATTGGCACCCTGACCGTTGTCCTCGGGCCCATTGTCTCGCAGGCGGCTGACTACTGGGGTCGGAAATGGTTCCTGGTCGTCTGTACCATGTTTGGCGCCGTGGGCAGCACCGTTATCGCGCGCGCCACATCCATGAGCATGTTGATAGCAGGCTTCACCATTAGTGGAGTGGCCTTTGGAGCTCAGCCTTTACTGCACACCGTCACCTCTGAGATATTGCCACGGCGATGGAGAGGCTGGGGCCAGGCTGTCGACTCCATCTCCAACAGCCTCGGGGCGATATTTGGGCTTCTATTTGGTGGCGCCTTGAACAGAAGTGGTGATCCGGCGTCGAATGGTTTCAGATCCTACTTTCTAGTCAACATGGCATGGTACGTGGCTGCGGCGGTCTTGTGCTTGCTTGTGTATAACCCGCCCCCTCGGGAGAAGCAGAGGCAGTTCACAACGAAAGAAAAGTTGGCCAAGCTCGACTGGATCGGATACTTCTTCCTGACTACAGGTCTTGTTCTATTTTCTGTTGGACTCTCATACTCAAAGAACCCGTACGAATGGACCGACCCTCGAGTGTCTGCCACGTTTGCCGTCGGTCTTGGCCTGTTTCTGTGTCTGACTACGTACGAAATCCTTTTCAAAAAGGACGGCATGTTCCATCACGGTCTTTTTACAGGCAACAGAAACTTTACCATTAGCCTTATTGCGGTGGCATGTGACGGGATCGCCTTCTTCGCGGCCAACACCTACTTTGCCTTCCAGGTCAGCTTATTTTACGAAAAGGACGCACTGCTCGTCGGTGTGCGCTACAGCATCGTCCTGATCGCGAGCTGCGTGGGGGCCTTTGTGACGGGCTGGTACTGCGCGGCAGCGCGCCGCATCCGCTGGGTGACGGTTGCGGCTTTTGTCGTCTTCTTGATATTCTTCATCTGCATGGCCACGTCCAGCGCGTCCTCGGGCAAGGCGGTCTGGTTCTTCCCCGTGCTCATGGGTACGGCGCTGGGTATGACGTTGACTTCCCTCATCACGGCGGCTCAGCTTTCTACGCCGCCCGAACTCATTGCTGTGGCAAGCGGTCTCATTATTAGTGTTCGCTCGCTCGGCGGAACCGTCGCCTTGGCCATTTGTGAGTAATCCCTATATGTCGTTTTTGATTACATCTATTCGAGCACGAGTACGTTAACGAAGCACGGTGCTTACTGGGGAAAACAGTCAATGCCCTGTTTCTCGACGAAACCAGCCATCTCGGGGAAAATATTGCTGCCGCTGCCGTATCGGCCGGTCTACCCCCAGAGGATGCCGGCCAGCTCGTCACGGCATTGACCATGCAGAACGAGACTGCGTTGGCGTCGATGCCCGGTGCCACCCCTGAAATCATCAGCACCGGAGCAGACGCACTATTCGCAACATATCTTACGGCTTTCCGACATGTGTGGATCGCTGCAGCTTGCTTTGTAGCTGTAGCTGCTGTCGGTGAGTATTCTGAGAAGCGGGAGATCTTTTGATCTGATCATTATGGGATATCGCTGACTTGAAGTATAGTCGCAACCTTTCTATTTGATCCCAAGCAGGAGTTCAATATGCGAATCGATGCGCCTATAGAAAAGCAAGCCCCGGACAATCTCGTCGAAGGCGGCATATGATTGCAGTGTTGTTTCGTCTCTGACGCCTATCACGAGTAGTCATCATTGCGGATTCAATAGCTTTTTAAGGCCGAATGAAAGATAATCATATGAGTTGGAGTGTGATGTATATGGACGAATATGTAAAGCTTGCTTCTTTTCGTCTTTTATTTTTCTTCTTATTTTTTTCTGTCATTGGGTGAATGAGCAGTACAGAGTACTTGCTAGGCGCATTTCTGTGCCCTATGAACGATTTTCAAGTGACTCCAGCAAAAGCACAACTCTGCCCTCTTGTTCGTGATAGTCACATGTCGCTCTGGTTGTACTCAAGCAATGGCACTACGTAGTTTTCAAGTGATGGGCCTTTTTCGTCGTCCTTTACAACCATGCTTCTTTACCGTCCCACTACTGCTGGGTTTATTGGCATGACAATTCGGCGTCAAGTCCACAATGCTGTCCATTTTCTTCGATCCTGCAAAACATTCATTAGTGCTGAGAATGTACAAAATGACGAATAACTCGTCGTCACTTTAGAGTTATGTGAGGGGTATCTCCTGGATCTGGACTGGCCCAGGCAACAAATAGTTGATCTCGGTGGCAAAGTAGGCAATAATCCAGCAATGGGCGGACCCTGGGCACATCTGAGCTCTCAACATGACTCGGTTATGGTTTTGATATTTTCCGCTCGTGGTTGACACAATGGCGTCTATTCATCTCGCGAGATACAACGGCAAGGGGAATCAACAGGGCAACACCATACAATGACATGACCTGTCACCGGATCGGCCAATACCACATTGGGATATGTGACAGAGCCAGCGGAGGAGAGCTGAGCTTCAAGTAATGAGACCCGTATTTACCGTATGACGGAGTGGGGGGCACCATGCCAAGTTTTCCACCCATGGACCGGGGGGAAGTTTACCAGGAGGCCCCCATGTCCCTTTCTGAGTCGAATGACAGGCTCCTCCCCGGATTATGAACGGGGTCACAATTAACATTATCTTTTTTGTGTTTGACGGGGTATCGATCGGTCGGGTCTCTGTTGCTTTCGCTCTCTCTCCCTGTGCCTGAAATGTTCCGAGTTTTAAACGTGTCCTCCCGGCGCTGCTAATAATTTGCTGGATTAGGCTTTACAAAAAGAAAGAAAGAAAAAAAAAAGGCTATGCTGACATTTGTCGAAAAAGGATTTCGCTGTGGACTATAGATGCGATCCCGATCGGTCCGGTCGGAGGATGGGAGGATTTGGCTTGTGCCGCCCATAGTATTACTACGGGTGATACTGCCAGAGCTGATGACATGACCACTGATGACAAAGGCCGTCGAGTCGAGATGTTCACTCATTGTAGGAATTAGTCTTGTACCCTACAGGACTACAAAAGTTTTGTCATGGACGAGACCTGGCTGCTGGCTGAGCGACCCATTGAGGTTGTCCAGTTGCAGTGTTATCGTTTGCTACATTTGTCGACGTCCGTCCATCGAAACATTGATTGTTATTTCAATTCGATCAACCAAGTTGGCAAGCTTGGCTACCTCGCAGTCACTCACAGCCACATTACCTGTGTTTTGTACTACCCGTAGAGTTGTGTAGTGGGTGGACGTACAGTACTACCTACCTACCGTCAGCTGGTACCTTTTCTCCTACGTGATGATGGAGGTTGATCAAATAGACCCTGAAAATACTACGCTGCAACCTTCTCACGACAGTTCACCTAGGCCAGTCAGGTACAATTGCAAAGATATCATGCCCAGAAGTTGGAGCGCTCAATCAAACAAGAAACTCAAAACTCAAATACTTGGTCGATTGCTACCGTTTTGGGTATCACTAGAAGTTGCCTTCATTGCAACAGCAACAGGTTTGGGGCTGACCAGCCCAAATGGCGTTTCCCCATCGCCAGTCCTCCTGCAGCGACAACAGTGCTAGGCCGCTTGGGGACAAGCCTAGGAAGCACTAAGGCTGCTAAGTGGCCAGGCCAAACGCCTGAGAGAAACCCAGCAAAGTCCAGATTACAGTGCCAGTCCCCCCCTCCATCGCCTAGAGCCACCCCGAATTTGCCTTTGGATTCGCGTCCCTCCGGATTCCCTTTACTAGTGGCCTGCATAGTTTCCCACGGGTACTCGATTCTCAGGTTGCCCGCCCGCCCGTCTACCCGCAAGAGCGAAGCGACGCTTGCTTTTTTCTTGCTCACATTGGACTAAAAGGTAGAACCCAGATTTGACGAGCCAAGCAACAGCCAAGACCATTTCAAGACCCAGCTTGGGCGAGAGCCAGAAGAGATCAACAAGAGTGCAAAGGCTCAGTAAAAAGTCAAGCGCGCAAGCCAAAGCCTTGGACCTCTGAAGCAGTCATCCATCAAGTCGACTTTGGGTCTTCCGTCCCATTCTTCATTACTACTCCCGTCATCCCTTGGCCGAACCGATCTGGGGGCCTCAGCAGGACGAGCAGCACCGAGCACAAGCGGCAGCGGCAGCAGCAGCAGCAGCGAATCGTGACAGTGACTTTTTATTACCTGGACCGCGCAAAAGACCGACCAACCGACCGCCAACGGTTTCTGACCCAGATCAACACTCCAAGTGTCATCCATCATCCTTAGCTTCTGGTGACGGCTGTTTCTTTTTTTTTTCTCCCTATACCAACTCCAAAACCGTCGTCCCAAAGCTGCCACCACCCAATCAATTACAAAGTGGTCCCCTCTTTCCTGCAGGCAGTTTAGTTGACTTGACCCAAATCCCCATGACTGGATGAGATTAGGTGCGACAGCTGGACTTCGCTGCAGTGCCAACTAAACTCCACGGGTGTTTCTCGCTTCCTTTTTGCATGCTCTCGTCCGATCGCATTTACTGTTTTACATTCGTTCTCTCTTGCTCTTGAGATAGACTTGCTTGTCACTGGGCCTACTTGCAGGAACCCCTTGTGCGCAATAAACTCGTCGACCCTTTTACGCAAGCCACTGGATCTAGGACTTGTACATTCATAACCGGCATACCTCCACATCCCCGTGAAATTACGGCATCCGCATTCTGCTGCAGCTGCAATCAACACTGGACAGCTCAATCAAACTCAATCGGATAATACCCGTGCTGCTCGACTTTCAACCCCCCGAGAGGGCGCCATATCCAACAGATTCCCTGATTCGCGGGATTTCCACTCACAGCGAAAGACAGATCGACGTTTTGGGGCCGCCAACTGGACGGAGAGGAGTCGTCGTCTGCAAAAAGGAAAGGTGCAGCCATGTCACAGCCGGAACGGTTGCCGGGTGGAGATCTAGGTTCGCGTGAGGAACAGACAGAGTCGCCATCAACACATCTTCAAGCCAACTCGTCCAACTCTGTAGAGATGGAAAATCTATCTCCGAAAGCCCAAGATCAATCAGGGGCTTCCACCGTGCCTGGTGCGACAACGTCCTCAGCCATCGCAGACAATACACCGCGGGACCCTCAATCCGCGCAAGCATCTGCCCCCGATAACTCCGAGGACATCGGAACATCTCACGATGTCGAAACCACATCACACCCCTCGGCCAAGGCATTGGGCAAAGCACCAGCCACTGCGACCGAGACTAAGGATCACGATGCCATTGGGCCAGCAGATTCAAATGGCGAGCAGTCGACGCCGGGCGAGTTAAATGTGGATATTTTGATCATAATACCCAGCACGGGGAACCGCCATCCCTTCAAAATCAACGAAAAGTACCTTAAGAAACGAAATGTCAACGTTACAGGAGTGACTGAGGACGGAAAGATGGACCCTTTCAGTATTACGGTCTACACCCTGAAAGAATTAATCCTGCGGGAATGGCGTACCGAGTGGGAGACGCCACCCAGAGAGCCAACATCCATACGACTTATCAAGTTGGGCAAGATGCTGGACGACAAGTCGACTTTAGCACGTATGTTTCATTGCTACTTGACCTGCTTGTGCCAATACTGACCGAGGATCTGCAGACTACAATTTTTCGCCCTCCGTGACGAGCATTATTCACATGACAGTGAAACCACAAGAAATAGTAGATGAAGAGGAAGCAAATAAGCGGCTCAAGGAACCGAGCTCACGATCCGGCCGCAGCGGATGTTGTGTTATTTTATGATCTCAGAGCATTGGGACGCACGTATATGTTGTCCTGCGATACATGTCAGATCTCGGCTATATAATGTAAGCACCTCTTGGGGCAGGTCACTACGGGCATTACCGTCAATAAGTTTCACGGCGGCCAGACTGGAGAGTCGGAATGGTGCCTCCTTGTCACCGCACGAGATTCACGGGTTGGCCTGTACTGTGTGACTGGCGTAGCATTGGTGTTCTTCTGTCTGTTCATTTGTAAAGTCTTACTCTCTCTCGGTTCTGATTTCATGGGGAAATGGTTGGAGTCACGTGTTGTACAGCTGGATAAGCATTCTAGAAAGCAGTCATCGACTGCTGTTATGAGCATCAAAAATACAATAAGGTCATAACATTTCGTTGTCTATTCCGGGCCCTTTCCCACGGTGTTGTGATCTATCACAATTGCCTCGAGCCCGTATTCATTTGGTGAGCGTATAGTACAGCTTCACGGAGACGGCCTAGTCATACTGCGATACCCGAGGCTTGATTCAGTCTTCTCCACGAGTGACGCATTTCGGGACACATCTTCTTGGAGCGCTGTCCACAGGAATGTTCTCGTATGCTCGCCGACCAAGACGAGTATCATCTACACAAACATCTCTCACATCTTTAGCTTTCGCTCCATCTCGTCGTGGATGCCTGCAGCACTCCTTTGCTCCTCGCCGGTAAAGACGTCCTCCCAGTCGACACTGGTGTCACGGCCACCCAGGATATCCTCGTGCAAGTTGTTCTTGCCAGCGCCACCACCGAGGGCAGCGGGCCGCCACGAGCCCTCGCTCACAATCTTGGCCTCCATGCCGCGGCGGATGGGCTCGGCAATGCCAAACGTCTTGCGCAGCGTCTCCATGCGCAGGGCGTCCTGCGTCGACTGCCACGCCTTGAGGCGCGACTCGAGAGGGTGTCGGCTGACGGGGGCCTCGACGCCCTCGAGGTGTGACGGGGTCGGGCCTACGCCGTGCCGCAGGGTGTCGTGTAGACCGGGTGCCGAAGGGGCGCCGGCTGTCTTGAGGTGCGTGAAGCTGGTTGGGTTGTTGGCGGAAGGGACGAGACGCATCGACTACGAGCGGAGAGAAGAGAGGGCTTGTCAGTTTTGAGAAACTTGGAGAAGGTAATGCGGTTCCGGAAGCTATTGGCACATGCCCAGCGATGATAATCGTGGTAGTGAACAGGATGGAATGGGGCTTGAGAGCTTACCATCTTGGCTATTGATTGATGTGATGCTGGCTATTGCCCTGATCTGGATTTGATGGATGTATTGTTTTGGTTTCCGACTGTGCGTATGTGCTTGTCAAATCGAATCAACAATTGACGGTACTCTGGTGATTGCGGATTATTATGTTTGTGGTGTTGATGGCAGGTCGAGTATGTAATGAAGTGTAGCTGTGAGCTTCCCAGCGATAGAGCAGCTGCCGTTCGCTCAGAAGGCTCCAAGCTGAACGCGAACGCCCTGGAAGCCTTGGTAATGCTCAGCTTGATCCGTGCATAACTTGGGTACCTGGCCCAAGTCTCGCTTGCAGGTGCATAACTATTACATAAAGAGCCAAGAGACTAAAGTCCGGTTTATCCCCGCCCTTGGGCCATACTCGTCATAACTTGAGTCACTCACGACTATTACTACTACTTACACCCAGTGCTTCATTAGGCACGAGATTGAACGTATTGGGTAATCTTGATCTTGTAGAAATGCTGCAATTGGCAATATGCGACCTCCGACCACCCGCACACCCTTGATCAGCATTGCCAATGGCACCTTCTACCGCCACCATCCCAATGCATCTTCCATACATCCAAATCCGGCTTTATTCTCTAACCTGAACTTTTCTTTGCCTTCAGCAGCAGAGCCGCCGACGCATTGGTCCGTGATTGGACCTTCGCTTAGTGGAAAGACGACCTTTTTGCAGCTGTTAAGGGGCCAGCATTTGTGCTTTCCTGCCACAGCTCGGAGCTTTCCATATCTGTCAACGGAATATGTTCCTCATAAGCTACGAGTACCCAGCAGAGCAATAAAATATGTTGGCTTCAGTAGTGAGGGTCTATCAAACGGGCCAACGGCTGCGGCCTATCTTTCGGCACGCTACGAGTCTAAGCGTGAGAAGACGGACTTCTCTCTCCGGGACTTTTTGCTGGGGAACACAGAGCTCAACGCCTTGAAAAGCGACGACGATATTGTTGATCCTGGTCTACTTGACCGTGTGGTGAGAGACCTCAAGCTGTCTCCGTTGTTGGATCTCCCCGTGGCATTTTTGAGTAATGGACAGGGACGAAGGGCGAGGATTGCCAGAGCACTGCTCACCTCACCGGAGCTACTACTACTGGACGAGCCTTTCATGGGCCTCGATCCTCCCACGGTAGCCAGCTTGAGTCCACTTCTGCATGGACTGGCCAGCAGTGCTAGTCCACGCCTCGTGCTCAGTGCCAGACCCCAGGATCCAATTCCAGACTGGATCACGCATCTTATTTATCTAAAGAGTGACTGCCAAGTCGGGGCTATGGGCGAGAAGGAGGAAGTCCTCGATAAATTGCGACAATACGTCAAGGGTGTCTGGAACGGTGTATCCAAGGAAGATGAGACCTTGGCCGTGCATAACCTGGTGCAGATGGGCAAGAAAATTACAAGGAATGGGATTGAAGGTGAGGCCCTCATGGGCGAAGAAGGCACTGAAGTGGATAACGAGCCACCCATCGAGAACGAGGCTCATCAAACTGCGGGGGAGCCCTTAATTGAAATGGACGGTTGTCAGGTGCAATATCGAGGTAAGATTGCGCTTGGAAACTGGAAGCAACAGGTCAATGGTCAAGAGAAGACTGGCCTTCTCTGGACAGTCAGAAGAAGCGAACGCTGGGGTATATTTGGGCCCAATGGGTCCGGCAAGACTACTATTCTATCGCTCATCTGTTCTGATCATCCTCAGACCTATTCTTTGCCCATCAAACTCTTTGGGAGGAGTCGACTGCCCGAGCCAGGCTCGTTACCTTTGACGATATGGGACATCCAGTCTCGCATCGGACATTCAAGCCCCGAGATTCATCAACTCTTGCCTCGCAGTTTGACAGTACGGCAAGTGCTGGAAAATGCCTGGGCTGACACGTTTCGCACAAAGGCATCTTTGACATCCGAGAATAAGGAAAGAGTAGATGCCGTACTTCGGTGGTTCGAGCCCGAACTTAACCCAGCGCATGCCACGCCGTCGAGCACTCTTACAGAAAACGGCCTGGCCTGGGCTGATCATTACATGTTTGGCGAACTTTCCTTCTCCGCCCAGCGCGTTGCCTTGTTCCTCCGCGCCATCATCAAGAACCCCGACATTGTGGTCCTGGATGAGGCGTGCAGTGGGATGGACGATGGCGTACGTAATCGCTGCTTGCTCTTCCTCGAGCACGGCGAGACAAGGACGTACATTACAAAGGACGACGGCTCGGAGGTCGTAGTCGAGAGTGAGGCCTCCAAGACTGGCACTGTCAAGATGGCTGGCCTCAATGATCAACAGGCTTTGATATGCATCAGCCATGTGAGGGAGGAAATTCCCGACTGCATTAGGGAATGGCTATGCCTGCCCGAGGCCAACTCTGGAGACAAGGCGAGGTTTGGCCGGTCAAGGGGATCTCTGGGGAGAGACGAGAAAGGTTGGCGTGAAATTTGGGGCATGGCGTAAGAGTCGGGTTGATAAGGAGGATATACAATGCCTTATACCTCTTGCTCTCTATGCTATTCAAGCGTTTCATAACCAGTCCAGACATATGGAACAAAGTAACATCTCGAATAAACCCCTTCCCTTGTGCGCTCTGTGCAATGTTTGATTCGGTGCCCGTTGTTAATGTACACGTGGCTCTTGAATTTCTAGTTGATGACATGCAGAACAATGGACGACATGGCTCTCGATCCTTACATACCAAGGTAACATGAAGCATCGATAGGGTATAGGTGGGCGAGAACACATTGGATGACCAGCTACAAACAGAATAGTGGTTGCGGAGGTCCGGTTGAGATGCTTTTATTAGTGCGCAGCAACCACCTCTCCTCACTGGCCTTTTCTAGGACTTGATGGCTGAACAGAAATCTATAGTACATCTGGTGAAACCTACGATGAGTTGGGACTCATGTATCTGAGAAAAGAGGAAGGAAAATGAAGAGAGAGGTCACTTGTTAACTACCATGTCACAAACACCCAATGGTTGAGCGGTATAAGCTCTTGAGTGCGTTGGTTACCTAGTGAAAGCCTGTGTTCTCCGATCGGACGAGGATGATTTGTTATGAAATCTGAAAAGCCAATTCAATGGGTAGCAGATCATCAATAATCTTGCCTCATTTTCCGAGCTGAGCAAGCTAGTTGCCGTGTCTCATGATAGAGAGTTCGCTATAGTAAATTGGTGATGAGTGTGACCAACCACAAAGTATTTACTTTTTTTCTTCTTTGGCAAATATGGATACACAGGCAGTGCATTTGTAGGAAAGTCGTAAGCTGCAGATCGCTCAGGGGACGGTGCCGCGATGATCTGCCTATGTTTCGGAGTCCTGCATGCGTGTTTTGACTTCTCTTCCAGGAAGTAAACAAGCAAAGCTCAGTAGCTTCCGATGGATACGAGGGGCCATCCGGTGTCCAGACTTGGCACAATCTAACAGTCTTTCGTCAGATTTGTGTTGTAGAGTTGATTGATGTCTCAAAAGCAAAGTGGTTAATTATACGGGATGCAAAGTTTTTATTCAAGGTGTTAATCTACCTATCTAATAGCTTCCCTCGAAAAGTCGTTTGTTTGAAAAGCCCATCAGGTTGATGAACCGGCGACGGGAAGCGCGACGAGGCGAGACGGGCGCTAAGAACCATCGAGTCTAGCGCCTGTACTGGAGCGTGGAAGCCACCCTTAGGGCAACCATAAATTCCGGGGTTGAGCGCTAAACAGCCCACCAAGTGCCCTGAGCGCCATCCACTTCTGCCCGATAAGCTATGGCATTTGCAGCTCTTGGAGAGATCCCGATCGACGTTGCTGGGTCAACAACAGGCCTACGTAGGCGCCCGCAAACAACAAAGTGCCTGTGATACTTTGAGCTTGCGACGGAGGTCCCCCGCCAATAATTATCTTCCGGACGAAAAAAAAAAACGACACTTGATTGCTGTTGGCCAAGCTTTACACTTGACTCACTTCTTGAGCCGTGTTGCCTCGAGATTCTCTTCCTTTTGAGCACAACCCTCGCCCCGTTTTCGATCAAGACCATCTAGTCACTTACACACCTCCAAGTTTGGCCTGTCGCGCGCAACAGAGCGATTTCTTGAAAGAATCGCGAATTTTGCTGTTTCTTTCAAATTACTCTGAGTCTGGTGTTTTACTCAGGCGCTGGTCAGCATTCCTGCTGCCGAACAATTCATCATCATGGACCGCAGACCTCCCGAATACTATGACGATGACAATGACGAGACGCCCGGAGGAGGAAACTCAGCTGCCGTCAGATTGTTGACATCTATGGAAGAACCACTCCCAGAGTCCCGTCCGTATGTGCTACCAGCCGTCAAATCCCCTTCTCCTTTGAGTCTTATGCCGCCTCCGCTGGCCTTGCCAAGCAAGCAATCTCTGCAAGCCAGCAGCGTGCCGCATACCAGCCCTACAGATATCTCTACTCCGGAGCACTTGGACAGACTCAAGAGGCAGGAAGAAGGACCAACTCCGAAATTGGTGTCTTTTGCCGAGCCTTCTTCGTCTCATCAACTAGACTCGCCCGAGCGCACACCTGTTGCCAAAGTCCAACGTACACCCACTGTGAAGTTACAGAAAAAGAAGAAGCCTCGTCAAGTTGTCGAGGCAGAAATTCTCAACAGCCTGCCCGTTATCCCCGAAGGTCCATCCACGAGGAGAAGTTCTCTTCGTGCTCGCCGGGCATCGAGTGGACCGCGTCCCAAGTCGGAGGAAAGTAATACTATTGACATAGAGAGCTCACAAGACACAACTTCTAGTATCCGACCAACACCACGCAGATCTTACCAGCCATCAGTCAACTCACTGGACTCATCATTCCTGGACCCTCCTCACCTACCACCTCCGAATCAGTCTTACTACCAGCCACGAGAAAGCGGTTCGCCAACTCGTCCTTGGTCGAGAATGTCTGGACACTCAGACTTTCGACGTGCTCCAGCCTCTAATATCCAGTACGAGCCAGCAGATATCAACGGAAGTCCTCGCCCAGGAACGCCCTCTTCGCAGTATGGCGGCAGTCCACGTCGCCCGCTGCCACCTGCTCCTCTATTCTCGGGTTCTGCCCGGAGCTCGGCTTATGTTGGGGATGATGCTACCGTCAATATCCCACTGGATCCCGACAATGACGACGTCTTTGGCACGGATGGAGACATGGGTAACCATCGGCAGTCTTATGGAGCACTGTCCCAGGAAACCCTTAGTGAGGAGCCAGAGACACCCTTCGATGACAAGTCCAACCTGTACGCACCAGCACCAGAGGGGCTGCAGGAGCGCCGCGGTGTTCGCGCACCTCAGATGGCAAAGAAGGCCGTTCAGCTGATCAATGGCGAGCTGGTTCTCGAGTGTAAAATCCCCACTATCTTGTACAGCTTCTTACCCCGAAGAGACGAGGTCGAGTTTACGCACATGAGATACACTGCAGTCACATGCGACCCGGACGACTTTGTGGACAAGGGCTACAAACTACGCCAGAACATTGGCAAGACTGCCAGAGAGACCGAACTGTTCATCTGCGTCACTATGTACAACGAGGACGAGATTGGCTTTACCCGTACAATGCACGCAGTCATGAAGAACATCAGTCACTTCTGCGGTCGCAACAAGTCGAGAACTTGGGGCGAGAGAGGATGGCAGAAGATTGTTGTCGCCATTGTATCTGACGGCAGAGAAAAGATTCACCCCAGAACACTCGATGCTCTCGCCGCTATGGGTGTATATCAGCATGGTATTGCCAAGAACTATGTCAACCAAAAGGCCGTCCAGGCGCACGTGTATGAGTACACAACGCAGGTCTCGCTCGACTCTGATCTCAAGTTCAAGGGTGCCGAGAAGGGAATTGTGCCATGTCAAATGATCTTTTGTCTAAAGGAGAAGAATCAAAAGAAGCTCAACTCTCACCGATGGTTCTTCAACGCCCTTGGCAAGGCACTCAACCCAAATGTTTGCATTCTGCTCGACGTCGGAACGAAACCCGGCGGCAACTCACTGTACCATCTTTGGAAGGCATTCGACCAGGACTCCAATGTAGCTGGTGCTTGTGGTGAAATCAAGGCTATGAAGGGCAAATGGGGATCGTCGCTACTCAACCCTCTGGTGGCCTCTCAGAACTTCGAGTACAAGATGTCCAACATTTTGGACAAGCCTCTCGAGTCCGTCTTTGGCTACATAACAGTGCTGCCCGGTGCGCTGAGTGCTTATCGATACCACGCTCTCCAAAATGACGAGACAGGACATGGCCCTCTCAGCCAGTACTTCAAGGGAGAGACGCTACACGGTCAACATGCCGATGTGTTTACAGCAAACATGTACTTGGCCGAGGATCGTATCCTCTGTTGGGAGCTCGTGGCTAAACGCAACGAGAGATGGGTTCTCAAATACGTCAAGGGTTGCACTGGCGAGACAGACGTACCTGGTAAGTGGTATTTGTACCCTTTTTTGGAAGCGAATCAGACTGCTAACACTCTAGTAGATACTGTACCAGAGTTCATCTCGCAACGTCGTCGTTGGCTGAACGGTGCCTTCTTTGCAGCAGTGTACTCTCTCGTTCACTTCAAGCAGGTCTGGCAGACCGATCATACAGTCGCACGAAAAGTGCTGCTGCATATCGAGTTCTTTTACCAGTTCATACAGCTCCTCTTCACTTACTTCTCCTTGGCCAATTTCTACCTGACATTTTACTTCGTTGCCGGCGGTCTTGCTGAGGAATCATCTGATCCTTTTGGACATCACCTTGGCCTGTACATCTTCACCGTCTTGAGATACACCTGCGTGCTCTTGATATCGATGCAATTCATCATCTCGCTTGGTAACAGACCTCAGGGCGCCAAGAAGCTCTATCTGGCTAGCATGATCATCTACGGCATTATCATGGCGTACAATACATTTGCATGTATCTACATTGTGGTGAAGCAGATCACCTCTTCGGACAAGGTTTCTCTTGGCAACAATGTCTTTACCAATCTCACCGTCTCGGTTGGATCAACCGTAGGCATGTACTTTCTCATGTCGTTCCTCTACCTGGAACCTTGGCACATGTTCACGTCGTCGGCTCAGTACTTTATGCTTCTGCCTTCTTACATCTGCACTCTGCAAGTGTATGCCTTCTGCAACACTCACGACGTAACTTGGGGAACCAAGGGAGACAATGTCATGAAGACGGACCTTGGTGGTGCCATTGGTCACGGCGGCCTCGTCGAGCTCGACATGCCCTCTGAGCAACTCGATATTGATTCCGGATACGACGAAGCCCTTCGAAACCTCCGAGACCGTGTTGAAGTGCCTTCGCCTGGAGTCTCCGAGAGCCAGTTGCAAGAAGACTACTACAAGTCTGTTCGAACCTACATGGTGGTGAGCTGGATGATTGCCAATGCCATTCTGGCTATGGCTGTGTCAGAGACTTATGGATCGAGTGGCTTGGGCGACAATTATTATCTTCGCTTCATCATGTGGGCTGTCGCGGCTCTTGCACTGTTCCGAGTCATCGGGTCCAGCACATTCGCACTGCTCAATGTGATCAGCATCGTGGTGGAGGGACGGATCCGGATGAGTATAAAGGTTCCGCAGTGGATGGGCGGATTCGGATCCAAAGTTAGCGAGAAGATGAGCTCAGCCATGAGTAGCGTCGGTAGCAGCTTGAGTCGCTAGAGGCCAGGACTTGAGTAAGGAGGGTGTGCGGTGTGTCGGAAAAGATGAAGCGATGCGAGAGATGAAGGCATGTGTGATTGGTTCACTTTGATGAGAGCTTGCCGGATTGGGCAACAGGATTTGGCTTGCACTTTCTGATTTTACACTTTTTGGCGTTGGGTCATCGATTTCTTGCTTTTTTTGTTTGATGTTTGTCATGTGGCTCAATACCCAAGCTGCGCAATATCGATCAGCATGCTAATGGAAAAGATGAGAACGAATTGAAAGAAGTCATGTACGAGTAGTTAAATGACACGTTTGGTCAAAAGACTCAAAGTCCAACGAAAATATAGATATGATACCTCCTATTACCGCGTAATATTGCCTTGATCAAATTGATACAGTCAAAGAGAAAGTCATTGTCCAAGTCCAGCCTTTGGAAATTGAACCAAAGCTCTAATCCAAATTTGAATACATCAAGTCGTCCATATTGTACATGTAATATCCTGACAAAGAGCTACAATGACCAACGGGACATCCCTTGCCGAAACAAAGACGAACTGTCCTCTCACCTTTGCCCCAAATTGGAGCTTTATCCCTTGGTAAGTCTCGATGCACCAAACAATCACTACAGCACATACCTGATTTATAAATATATATTCCGACTCAATCGCTACTAAGTCTTTTCCGTCTAGATGGGCTCTTCAAGCGTCGTAGCCTGTAGTTGATTATTTTAACTCGAGACAAGACCTCAGACTAGGACATCAACTTCATCGGTACCTGGTTCATCCCACGTCAGCCACATCACCATTATCTGTCTTATCTGTACTGTAGACAATAATGGAAACCACGAGCACAACAAGAACATGTACGAAGGCGGAGTTGCTAGAGGCAGCTGGGAAGATCAGGGGCTGGACCTGTGAGAAGTACGGCTCCATGAATCCCCGCCACGTCGAACAGTACGGCTTCCCGACCCGGCTGAGCTCCGATGCCATTAATTGTATCCAAAACTGGATTGATACCGACACGGCGTGGTGTCATTTCCAGGGCACGAGCCTGGATTTTGCCAATGTGACGCTCACCGTCTGCGAAAAGATGAAAAAGGCAGCGACCGCCACAGGCAATGATCCCGCCAAGGTTCTGGTCTGGTTTACCGGAGACCCTGATTGCGTTGACGCCAAACTGCTCAGCAGCAGTTATGACCTCTTCGTCGACGACAACAAGGAGGAGAAGCAGCAGCAGCAGCGCAAGTCAGGGCCCGAAATCCGCGTCTTGGCCTTGGTATACTCGCTCCTGGACCAAATGATCTCGGCGCTGCCGGACCATTGCCAGAACGGAGACCTCCACGACGCGATCTTTGACGCAGAGGTCCTCGAGTCGATTCAGAAGATTGACGGGACTGCCGCCACGGCGCCGCTGGCCCTGTCCGCCGTGGCTCAGCTGCTCAACATCCTGGGCGACGGCGTGACCGTCATGATCAATGCCGTGGACCATATATGGACCAGCTCAGACAACGACGGCGACGAGGACGACGACGACCAGATGCCCAGGAAATCCCAAAATATTCTCGACGGTCTCATGAGCGCGCTGGGCCATAACCGCCACCGGATGCGGCTGTGGGTATCGTACTACAACGGAAGGGGGCGCAGCGTGTACCGCGAGACGGGATACAGCAAAAAGCACAACTTTCGCTTCCAGTCGATTGCCGGGAAGCTCATAGTGAATCTCGGACATCCGCTTACGGAATTGCGGTTTCCCGAGACAAAAAGGGGCTCCTGGAAAACAAAACCAACAGGGCACGCATCGACGACGCAGCGCTTTGCTCTGTAAATGTTTCCCCACCTGTTGGACCTATAACGCTTGTCGTTGTAAACACTGATCATGAAGTCATGGTATCGATTTTCTAATTCTCTGCATTCATGAAATATAAAAGACTCGCAAAGAGCAAGTATAATTTGGCCAAAGTAGGATGTCAAGATTCATCTATTCGCGAAGATCGTTTTGTGTAATTTGTCTTTTTATAGACTCTTGTAGATTAATAAGTTCCAATCGAAACCAGAACATGCAATGCCGTGTCCTCGACGGGAACGAATGCCTGGTTTTGTGGTGAATATTTGTCTCTAAACAAATGGTAACATTACCATGCGCAGTGAGACTTTGATCGAGTCACGCCCATGATTTTATTCCACAGCTATGTTTATTTTTGTCATGGAGGATGAGAACGCAATTTTCCTGCTATTATGACTTGTAAACAGATGAAACGCCCACTTCAATTGTTGGGAGACATGTCATTGGGCTTGATGCAATGCAACCACAGGCAAGCAAAGGCAATAACGCGGGTTTGAATTTCGTTTTTATAACAGCCTTGTTTTTTCTAATATAGGGAATCAATCTTCTCTTAATTCGATATCAGATGCTACCTAAACGCCTACTTTCCGCCCTTGATAAAACGCCGACCATGATCTCTATATACAAGGTCATAATTCCTTTTGGCAACGACTATGAAAGAACAAATCTACTCTTCGTCTGACTCATCTTCGGCAACCTGTGGTCATGTTTGTTAGCATCTAGTCCCATATTGTAGCAGAATTGAGTCATAAATCACTTACGTTGTTGTGGAAGTCCTGGCCACCCTTGGTCTCGGCAATGACACCCACGCGAATACAGAAGTCACCAAATCTCTCACCCTGCTCACGCTCAGCCGCGTACCTCTTGAGGAGCGGCTTCATGATTGCCAGGATCTCATCTTCCTTGATGCTGGAGCGGTAAAGCTTGTTCAGGCGCTGGCCATGGTAGCCACCGCCAAGGTACATGTTGTAAGCACCGTAGGCCTTGCCAACAAAGGCAACCTCGGCGAGCCAAGGACGAGCACAACCGTTGGGACAACCAGTCATACGCATGACAATAGAATCCTGCCTGAGGCCGTTCTCCTCGAGGCAGGCCTCAAGCTTGCCAATGAGGACAGGGAGATAACGCTCAGACTCTGCCATTGCAAGACCGCAAGTAGGGAAAGCAACACAGGCGGAAGAGCTGAGGCGCAGACCAGAGAACTGCACATTGTCGAGCTTGTACTTCTTCATGAGTTCCTTCAGCTCCGGGAGGTCCTCATCGGCCACGTTGGACACGATGAGATGCTGGTTACCCGTCAGGCGGAACTCACCCTTGAGCACCTTGGCAATCTCGCGCAGACCAGTCTTCATCTGGAACTCGGGCGTATCCTCGATACGGCCGTTCTCGATGAAGAAGGTGAAGTGGTTGAGGCCATTCTCATCCTTCTGCCAGCCGAAAGTGTCAATGTTGCTCTGGAAGTGGAAGGGCTTCTCGGGCTCGAAGGCCTTGCCCCACATGTCCTCGACCTTGCCGCGGAAGACATCGACACCGAGATCGTCGATGGTGTACTTGAGACGAGCGTGCTTTCGGTTCTTGCGGTCACCAAAGTCACGTTGCACGAGCATAATCTTCTCGCAAGCAATGTGGACTTCCGATGCCTTGACGTAACCCATCATGCGTCCAGTCTGGGGGTAGGTCTTCTTGTTGTTGTGCGTAGCACCCATACCACCACCAGCAAGCACGTTGAAACCAGCCAGGTTACCGTCCTCGCCCTTGATGGCGATCAGACCAACGTCGTGAGCGTAGACATCGGTGTCGTTGTGGGGTGGAATGGCAATGGTAATCTTGAACTTTCTGGGCAGGTACGTGGGACCGTAGAGAGGCTCAAAGTCCTGGACGGCGTCACCAGCAATCATCTTCTTCTCATTGTCATCCGTCAACCAGATCTCGTGGTATGCCGTAGTGGCCGGCAGCAAGTGGTCGCTGATCTTTTGGGAGCAGGCATACACTTGTCTGTGGTAGGCGGACTGCGTCGGGAGCGAACTGCACATGACATTTCTGTTGACGTCACCGCAAGCAGCAATCGTGGTCATCAGAGCACGGTTGATGGCCTGCATGGCAGGCTTGAGCTTGCCCTTGACAACACCGTGGAACTGGAAGGTTTGTCTCGTGGTGAGCTTCATGGTCTCGTTACCCAACTCGTTGCTGATGTCGTCCATCTGGATCCATTGCTTGGGGGTCGAGATACCACCTGGCAATCTGCAACGGATCATGAAAGAGTAAGCAGGCTCGAGGCCTTGAGCCTTGCGCTCATCACGAACATCTCTGTCGTCCTGCATGTAAGTGCCGTGGAACTTTGTGAGCTGCTGGTCGGCGGCAGAGATGGCGCCAGTGGTCGGGTCGTTGAGACCCTCGACAATGGTACCACGCAGGAAGTTGGAAGCAATCTTGATGTCTTCGTTGGTGATCGGCGGGGGCTCATCGGGAAGACCCTCGACGTTGGCAACACCCAGTGATTGCCACAGGCGCGGCTCCCACTCCGAGTAACCAGTCTGGTAGCCATCGGGGTCCTGGTCATCACCAAGTCCAATCTCGGCCAAGCGTTTTCCACCGAAGCTGTCAATCTTGCGATCCAAGTCCTTGGCAGGCTTGTTGTAGTATACTCTGTCTTGCTTTCGGGGCCAGTAGTGCTTGTCACCCAGACCGAAGACCGAGTAGTTGACCGATGCCAAGTCCAGGTCGGTGCTGTCCTTGATGGCGTGCCAGAAGGGAAGACCGTTCTGAGGGAATTCTCCCTGACCAGCCGTCGAGGTGATGAAAACAATGTTCTCCTCGGAGGGAAGATCCTCCACAGGGTAGTCCTCCATGGCAAGCACGGTAGTCTTCAGACCTCTGGCGCGACCTCTTGTACCTAGTCGCTTGGCCAGGTTCTGGGCATTGCCGTTGTCGGAAGCGAACAGAATTGTAAGGGGGGCACCGAAAAGACCCTCCAACAGCTCGTTGTAAGCGTCCTTGGCCTTGCGCTTTTGCTGAGCACGCACCTCACTGCCAAAGTCCTGGGAAAGATTGGCGGCGAAAGTGGGCTCCTTGAGCATCAGCTGTGTAAGATGGTTGTCTCTGGACAAGAATTCCTTCAACTCCTTCTTGATCAGCTCAGAGTCCAAGGAGAAGTTGGGTTCGCCCTTGGTGTCGTTGGTCGGGTTCCAGCGGTAAAGAGGCCAGTAACCAGCATCGACAGCCTTCTTGGTCTCCTGGAGAACAGTGAGAGGAGACTCGTGTTCACCAAAGTAGGGCAGATAGGCAAGAACGATGGAAGGGCCGTTGAACTGGTCAGCTTCCAACATGGCCTGCAGAACCTGAGTGTACGAGCTGTAGACTGCAGTGGAGGCGACGTAGGCGTTACCGAAGTTCATGGCGTAGAGGCCAATGTCCTTCTTGCGTCTGGCGGCATCAGCTGCTGACTTCTCCGAGTAGGGCGTAGAGTCGATGATCAACATGTTGACGTTCTCTCCTGATGCCAGAACATGGTGAACACCAGAGTTACCAAGATCGTACGACCATGCGTCGGAACCAACCAGCCAGAGCGACTCCTTGCGGAAAAGACCCTGGCTTGCCAGGAGCTGGCGTGCGACAGAAGAGCCGTCAGTCTCCAGACGAGCCACAACGTCGTCAGCAAGGTCGGTAGCCTTTTGGGCATCTTCGGCACTGGCGGACCACTTAGCCAGCCACTGCTTGGGCGCTTCGGTGATGAAGGCGTTCGAGGTGGCGGCTTCCTTGACCTCCTTGACAAATCTCTGGCGGTGCTCCTTGCGTGCCAAGAGCGAACCAAAGCCGAACTCGGGGCTTGCAGAGACAGTAGTCGAGATACCTGCGTTCTTCGAGCTCAGAGCATTGGCGACATATGCGCGCTTGCCAAAGAGCTGGTCCAGAATCTTGGTGTAGGCAGTCTCCAGCTTGGGCTGTTCCAGGCTCTGAGATGACACCTGGGCAGCTTCCCTCTTGCCAACCTCCAGGTTCTGGAGCGGCTTCTCCGATGTGAGGTTCTGGAAGACACCCCTCAAAGCCTGCGAGACGGTCTCTGGTGCAATGTAGCCAAGCTGGTATCCGACAATGTGCTCAACGCCACCAGGGCCGCTCTTGATCGATGTCAAAACGTCAATCAGGAGAGGTCCCCACTTGGTAGTCTTCCTCGAAACCTGCTCCAGAACAGCAATCCTGGTGACAGACTTGGGAATAGCCTCAATGAGCTTGGCACCAAGCCACGGGCGGTATAGTCTTGCAGTGATCATTCCCGACTTGGCGTAGATATCGGTCGATGCAGCCGAGTCAAGTGCCTCGGCAAAGAGGCCGGCATCGGACCCGAAAACGAAAATGGCCTTGTCGGCCGAGGAGGGACCAGACCATTCAAACGCATTGTACTCTCGGCCAGTCGAGACCTTGAGCTGTGCCCAGATACCAGTAACATACTTGTAAATGTCTTCCGAGGTAACGGCAGCAGGGTTGGGCTCAACTGTGGTTGCAGATGATACACTCGGGGGAGCGCTCGAATCGGCGGGGGAGCTCGACTTGTCTGAGGGCTCGGTGGAGGTTGCCTTTGAGGCAGCCTCGAGAACTGTGGAATCGGCCAGGTTCGAGGAACCAGCAGCCAGTGGCTCGGACTGCTCCTGTGCCACTGCAACCCGGCCATCGTCGGCGTAAATGCTAGAGGCCTGGATGGAGGCAGCCTGGAATCTGCGGACATCTCCCATGTTCAGAATGTCCAGGACGGTCGAGGCATCCTCGGGTCCAATGGGCTTATCGCGGGAGCTGGAGCCGGCATCGAAAAAGTGAATGACGCCCTTGCCAGACTTGATGGCCAGAGCATGTGCCGTAATGGCCATGTCCTGTGCCTCCTGCAGCGATTCCGATTGTAGGAAAGTCCATCCTGAATTTCTGATGGCTGTGATGGCCGAGTAGTCTGGGCTCTCGGCAGGAGAAAGAGAGACGTGGAGAACGACGGGGTAGTTGGCGAGCTTGTACAGGTGCGCAATGGATGGCAGCAAGATGGCAGAGCTCGTTGTTACTGAGACGAATCGGCCGGATCGAATCGGCGAGAACACTGAGAGGAGGGGGTCTGTGTTTTGTCTAACAGTTTGGATCTATTGTAATTTCTCTCGAGTCAATGGCTGTTTTTTGCATGTGGATCTTGTAGATGACTGGGAGGATTTGATCATACCTCTGGAACGGCACCGTCGGTTCTAGCGACTAGGCCTTGATCCTTTCTTTCAGCGAATCTTTTCAGATGTGAAGAAAAGGCAGAGTCCTGGTCCTTTGCGGGTTGGACTGAGACGACGACATCGCTAGTGAGGTATGCGATTCTCGCAACTATAATTGCACAAAGGTTCAATGTTAGCCAGAGTTCTTCATTCTCCTTGTCTTTCTGTGCTCTCTGCAATGACTATATTGGGCAATCATGCATGCTGTGATTGGTGTTGCGCGGGGACGGGCGTCCAGAAGCAGCAATTGCCCCGCCAAGCGAACAGTCAAAGCGATAGCAGCAAGACAGAGCTCTGGGTAGTAATTGGCGGGGTGTTTGTAGGGGATTGTATAATTGAACGTACCGGCCTCTTCAGGCGTGCGGATCTGAGTGTTGTTAGAGTCCATCTCTGATCCTAGAATTGAGGAAGGAACAGCAGAGGATGAATCCGCCTTGCGGAAGAGAAAAGACATCGTCAATTCGTTCGGCGACGAGGTCGGCGAGGGAGCATTACTAGTAGAAATAAGTTTTTCTGTCCAGCTCAGTTCAGTCAAGGGACGCCTGGCGAGTCGAGTTCCGTTCGGCGTCTGTCTTCTGGGGCAAAGCTGAGCGATTCAACACACTACAGGCCTAGGAACCGACGCTCGTGGATCTCTCCGCCCCGCAACGACTTTTTATTTCTGCCATCTCGAGATGTCGCCATTCGATATTTTCTGCGACTGCGCGATGGCGTGATCGACTTAGTTTGACAAGCGTGGCCAATCCCGTCTGTTACTTTGTCAGATGAGGACCCTTAGATGGCGGCGAGCCCCCTGGGGTACTCACGGGCTACGGCAGAAGCGGTCCTCGGAGCCCCTCTAGTGAGCCTCAATGTGCGGCTCTGACGGTCGTCGGTGGCCCACTAACCAGGCATTTGGGTGCCTCTCAGTGCTCCTACCCTAGACGGGGCACAAACCGAGAGCCGTAAATCTGTACCTCGACATAGATTCCCTACACTAACAATTGACCAACCCCATTGCTGCTTACCAAGTACCTTGAGTTTAATTCGGGTTTGTCAGAATGTGAGAATAACGGTACCAGTATGTAATAGTGTTTCCCATACCAAATAAAAATAAACTTTGGCGTGGGCACGGGATATAGAAGACCGAAAAATCTCCATCCCATCATGCCACAAACCGCTATACTGCTGTGTATACATATCTATTCAGCACCAGTACCCATCCGACTTTCCCAGCTTTGTGACTTGTCCACTGGGGCTCCGTTGAAAAATTATTACACCAAGAAAATGGTCACTCCCACTTGCACTATTATTGCTGGGCGGTATGATTGTGCCACACCGACAACCGGCCAGTCAAGCACAATGTATGGCGTCACCACGAGTAATGTCAGCGTATTATCCAAAAGCAGTACTGTACATCTATTACCACGCTATGTATACCAATTCAATGCAATGTCAAACAAATCCCGACAGTCACCGGAGCTTCCATAATCCATCCACATGTTTCCTGCGTGAGTAACGTTTTCTTCTACAGTGGCCGTATTACATGTTGTTTACTCGGCAATGCCTGGCCGACTATTTGTACGTGTAGAGAGCCCAGCCATTTATGCAACGGCCGTCTTGCCACGAAATCTCGAGTTCATGCTCCTGGCCCACTCGTCCCTCTCGGCCAAGCTCGGCAACCAGTACGTCTTACCCACCGACACCAGTGTTCGGCCAATCTTGCCCTTCCAGCCATCGCCTTCGGGCATTCCTACCGCAAATGGATTCTCAATAGTCTGAGATTCACTGTCGATGGCCTGCTGGGAATTTCCTTCACGGTACTGCAGAAGGACTGATCGTGCGTACGCCATGACAACCAACATGAAATAGATGCGAATGAGTGAGAAGAGGACAATCAGAGTCATACTGGTTGTCGTGTCGATTGCACCCATGACTCCACCCATGGGCGGCTCATCCGTTTCGGTTGGCTCGGACTGTTTGGGCCCGACGGCCTCCAAGGCCAAAAACCAGCTCACTGCGAACAATGTAGTGTAGGCCGTGTTGACGAACGTGTCGATAATGTAGAGCCATGCAAACGCAAGATTCTGGAAGGGGGTCTGCTTGCGAATGTGCGGCAGACAATAGGCAAGCAGGCCGAGCGCGACAACGGAGTAGACGTATAGTGAAAGCTGCACGATTGACAGGTCGTAGCCGGTTAGGATGGCGAGGAGGCCGTAGAGACCTGTGACTTTGTTGAACAGCAGTGACAGCGCGATCAGTTCGGTGCCCGTCTGGAGGCTCATCAAGCCGCAAAAGGTCTGTCGGCGTTAGCAAACGTTGGCATGCAAATGTTTCTCGTCGCGTGGGCTCACCGTCGGCCGCGGTAGCCTGAGCAGTCCTGTCAGAAACGCCATGTTGTGGACTCTAGTCGTAATTTCTGTGGTTTGACTATTCTGATGTATCTTTGTGAAAGCGCGCGTAGTGTTGGTGAGAATGATAATGCTGTTGTAGATGCCTATCCGCCCTTCCTGGAATTTGGACAGAATGACGACGCAGTCTCGGTTCCTGCGGAAGTTCTGGGGTCCACACCACCACGACGTCAATCTACCAAAATATCCGTTGGTGGGGCCAGATCTGATCAGGGAGGTTTAGCAAGGCTGACGAAAGCAAAGCCGTAGATGTACCTACTCCAAACACGCGACCACACGATATTGCGTCTACGTATATATTTGTGACTAATAATTGGAATCTTCTTATGATAGTTCAAACCTTGACTTTTACCAAAATTTTGGCTTTTTCACAATGGGCGGTGCAATTGGAATGAATCTATGCTAGTATTGCTTCTTTCCGAGAGATATCATGCTGCAGCAGCAATCGAGAACAGGATTGATGCAAATGGTTATGATATTTCCATTTGAAAGTATGTGATACTACAGGTCGATGGGCTTAGGATTATGAATTATTCACTTGGGATTACTGGAATATACACGGGCTTGCAAGTCCTCAACGGACACGATTGAACCTACACTACAATCTGGGGTGTCTAGGGTTGTGATGGTACATATTTATGCATTTAAAAGATTGCCCCACATGCGCAAGGCTGCTACAATCATTTCGATCATTGCAACCAGTACACACACGGTCGGCTTTCTTGTTCTTGTGTCGCATCAAACCTCATTGTTCTCTGTGCGCAAAGCTCAGCTGAATACAAGCAAAAATGGCTTCATCTCCGCCCATTGCCACGTATGTGTCATTGCACTCCGACACATACTGTCCCTGGCTTTGATGGTGTTCCAACTAACAAATACTCGACAGTGTCTACATTCGCAACCTCGAGGAGCGCGTCAAGCCAGAGCCGCTCCGGGAGGCGCTCGAGGCTGTCTTCTCCGACTACGGCAACATCATCGACATTGTCGCCAAGACAAACCTCAAGGCCAAGGGCCAGGCTTTCGTCGTCTTTGACAAGCCTGAATCCGCGCTCAAGGCCATTGAGGAGGTCCAAGGGTTCGAGCTGTTCGAGAAGCCCATGCACCTCGCTCTGGCAAGAACCCGCAGCGATGCTACCGTCAAGACCACCGGAAACGACGACGAGTTTGAGCACCACAAGCGCAGAAGATTAGCAGAGAAGGGTTCGTGATCAGTCCCAACCCTGCAAATAAGGTTATAGAAAACAGGGCTAACATCTGTGCAAACAGACAAGAAGAAGGCCGCCGAGGCTGCGCAAGAGCAACAAAGACTCAAGCGTCCGGGTGCCGCGCCTGCACAAGACGCCCGACCAGCAAAGGTGGCTCGCCCGGGTGGCCTCAAGGCTACTGGCCCTGCTGCCAACACGGTGGTGCCGGACGAGTATCTGCCGCCCAACAAGATCCTGTTTGTGCAGAATTTGCCCGACGACTACGATGTCGAAGCTCTCACTGGCATCTTTGGCCGCTACGAGGGCTTCAGGGAGGTGCGTCTTGTGCCCGGTAGACGCGGAATCGCTTTCGTTGAATACGAAGCTGAAGCGGGCGCCATCACGGCCAAGGAGAACACGGCCGGCATGGCGCTGGCTGATGGTACCAAGTTCATGAAGGTAACGTACCAGCGGCAGTAGATCATGTTTACCAAATTAGATTCTTGTAAGATTTTGTCAATAGATACCCGATGCTCAATTCCAGACATAAATCAATGTTTACACCCAGTCGCTTCTATTTCCTCTTGCCAGCAGCCTTGAAGACGGCTGTGGAATGGTCTGGAAGCTCACACCTGATTGTGTGGTTGCCCTATTAAACCAGTCTTGCCGAGATTGGCGTTGCAAGGCTTCTTGACGATCCTAGTCGCCTTGATTCAAAGCCCGACCTTTGATCACGCAAACCCCGAAGGCGACTGGCGATCCACTCGGCATTACGTGCTGTTCATGTGAGGTACATCTCTATTCGTGTACATATCCGAATGAAGTGGATCTAGAGAAGCCTCGAAAATGAACACATGTCCCCTGACATCATCGTTATAGTTATCTCGAGAATCTTCGGCTGGCACTTCATCGGTTCGACGGTAAACATTATGGCAGTCGAAATCACGACATATCCAATGTGTCTATAACTTTTAGAGCGGCCCAGAGATATATTTCTTAGTATTTACATCCTCTCATTCAAAAAATTGCCCTCCAAAGACCTGTAACTTGGAAACTATGATAGTTGCTGCCTATACTCCATACATAACTTATTTAACCTCCCAGCGCTTGTAACCAAGTAAATGGTGCACCAGGATTCGCTGCAGGCCAAATCGGAACCGCAAAATACCGGGCGGCGTTATGAATCTGTTGTCTTAACACATCATTTTGACTTGCCCGCAGTCCGTAGGCAAGCCACACGGCATTCTCGTTATTGAAATTGTGCGCGTTCGTGAACGGAACCCCGCCGGCCTGATGGTTCCGAATCAAAAGTAAGAAGAGCGCCACGTACAAATGGCCCGTCCCGTAAAACCCACACGCTTGTTCAAAATCATTGGGAATGTTGCCGTGATTGGAGATATCTCCGGCTTGATATGCCGTGCGTATAAGGATATCGCACCAGGCGAGGACATTGAACAAGGTCCTTCTCGAGGTCGACACAACCCTTGGGACCCCGGTGGGAGATTTTCGGTTCATGCAGGCAACGTCGACAAACTGCTGGTACAAGAACGTATCTGGACCAGCGGGAGCCATTCCAAAGCCGGGGCAGCCGGCAAAGTTGCTCCGACTGATATTCCACTACAAAATGGTCAAGAGTTAGTACTGTATCCCTCGACGACACCATATAGGCCACACAAGTAACGCTTCTCCACATATGGTAAGAATGATGACTTTCACTCACGAAAACCGTAACCTCTGCTAGGCGATTGGCGGCTTGGGCTGCATCACCCGTCCCTGGATCGTGAAAGGACATTCTGCCAGACTGTTAATACAAAACGAGTTAGCATCAATAAGCATGATTTGATTCAAAGCTGTATACACTTGCCTCTCGGTCATACATCGTTAAAGTGTAGACATTCGTGCCGGCTGTTCGCCCCTTGTGAAGGTGTATCACATATAGATATCTCATGCGAGGGAGTTCCAGTCCACCAAGGGTACGTCTCGCAGCCTGTCCCCCGACGCCCGCGAGGGGAGTCCACTGACAGTCAAGATCCTCAGTCAACTGAGGGTCATTTGGGAATTCAAATGTGTGAGTTTTCAGAACATTTATGAGACCCAAGCAAAATGCCCACTGTGAGAAATCGAGTCAGCAGCTTATATACATATAGCTACGTGGTCTTGCGTAAAGTACCAGTGCGTCTTTCTTGAGTGTCGACTGTCGAGTGGACGCTAGAAAAGAACAGGGTACATGTGATGAAACATATAACAAAAGTTACTGCAGGAAGAAACCAGGAAAATTGCTTACTGCTCCTACTCGCGCGGAACCGCGGTGCATAATAGCAGCATTCAGTGCCAAAGCAACATTTGTCTGCGTAAGTCATGTTAGTATTTACTCAAATCAATGATATGATAAGCCTTTCTCGTGGCATCCCGATCCGAGACTTAAATCATCGATTACCACGGCATCACGATCTGTCCCAGACACCACGAGATAGACGGGATAAGGGGGCTAGTTCCTACCTGCTCCGCGTTGGGGTATCCCTTATCGGCATCAGAAAAGCTCGCCAGCACCTTTTCGAGTGCGTTGGCCTGTCCCAAATTCAGTTGCGGAAAATGCCCAGCAGCGAAGGCATTTGCACCGACGCCGTTGTTATTAAATGGAGGAGGCGATATCCAAGGGTTGGTGAGATGGGGGGGTGCTGCCATGCTGATTTCTTGCTTTTAAAGAATGATGCTAGTAATCAATAAGAAACTTGATATATAATCAGGGAAACGACATGTATACAAACGAACATTTAGTCATTCAGTATGATGAACATATAAGTGGATGTGGAGCGACTCGCATATTCAAGGGCCCCCGAAGCATCTTTCACATGGTATATCTGCTTTTGTGTGCTGTTTTCGTTACATAGGCACAAAAGATTGCCTTTATTGTCCACTTGCCTTTTATTGTTCTTTATCTCCACGAAGAGTCGGGGAAGCCAAGTCTCTATTGCAACCCTTTATTCACGTTTCGCGGTCATTGTCTCTTTGTAATGGATTGTAGTCGGCGATTGAATGTGAGTCTGGTGCTTCACTGATCATTCAGCCTCACTGGAACGTTGGCAGACCTACCGATTTAGAAATTGCATGTTCTGAGGCGCTGCGGGACTCTACTGACGGAGTTGATAGAGTCCTCTTCATATTCTCAAAAGTATGATGCGGACAACATTTCTAGTGACTTTGTAATGCGTAGATATTTACTGCACAAGTCTCAGCAGCACCAAATTCAAAGCTCTCGAATCGAGCAAGCAGTAAAATTACTTGTAGCACGGTATCATAATTCTATCAAAGCAAAAGCGTCCATACTGCAAAACTTGCCCACAAGCTGATAATGCAAGCCATATCATATACACTGTGTCAACCTCGTTTGTCCCCGTTTCACTGCTGGGGTTTAGAAAATGACATCGTCATCTTCAGTCGAAGCTAGGATGTCAGCAGGTGCGTCATCCTCCTCAGGCGTGACGTTCTCCTGGTCTCTTTGTGCCTGCTTCTTTGCCTTCATCTCTGCATCGGCAGCTGCAGTATCTCTTTGCTTCTTGCCGGCAACCTTCTTCAGACGGTAGAACTCCTCTCTGTCCAACTCATCAAGCTCCGAGTTGATGTCTGTATCGCATGGTCAGTGTCTGAGAGCAAAGCTCGTTGGCTCAAACCTACACTTGATCGTGTTTTCCGTTCTTGGAATGATAACGTGCTCACTAGTATATAGTTAGCAATGAAGCCACGAGAATGTATCATCTCCCGAGAGGCACTTACATGGCGTTTACTATTGTAACTGTTAGCAGATCATTCATTGCTCCATCTCACTGGGGGAGTTTCTTACCTCTTCGATTCACCACCTTGATTACTTCGTCCAGGATCACGAAAGCAGTCTGGAGACTCGCTAGTTCCACCAGCGTTTCCACAGCTCTTGCATATGTCTCTCTACATCTCTGAACCTGCTGACCACCCTTACCAAGACCGGTCAAGCCAAAGTCATTATTGCCCTCGGTCTGATAGCTCTCAAAAGCGGGTAGGAGCACACCCGAGACGTTTTCCTGCTTGGTTCGGATTCGGAAACGAGCCTGACGGGCCGATTCTTGTACTTGATAGCCAATATCGCCTCCTACTGCGTATGTGACCTCGGCCAGGGAGAATGCGGCGATCTGCATGACTCGACCCATCTTTCGCTTTGCCTCATCGATTCTACGGGTGATGTCTGCGAATCTCGTCAATAACTGCCTGGGAACGATTTTTACTTGGAAAGCTGGATAGTACCTCGGAAACGCCTAGCAGGGAAGACGATATATTAGCAACAGGCAAGTTTATCAATGCAAGTAAACATACTTGGTTAAAGCTTCACTCTTGCGCTTTAGCAAACTGTGTCCCTGTTCGGCTCCCTTGAGCTTGGCCTTCATGATACCAAGCGACTGGCGCGTCGGGAAGACGGCCTCGCGATCCTATGCTTTGTTAGCAACCATGAAGTTGCGGTCTTTGGCCTCGAGTGACGTACTCCGGCGCCAGACATCCTGGGCGGTTACAACGGCGATCGGGTGATTATGAGAACAGTAGCAACGGCGACAGCCGTGGCTCGGGGTCGATGAATAGTACAGAGGAGAAGATGAGAAGGATGGACTAGGATGTTGTCGATGGCCGAGGTCGTCGTTGAGCAAGTGGACAGGTGATTGAGACAATAGTTAGCTACTGTATCAACACCACCAATGCTTCAGGACCTTGGAGGCGCCTGTAGTGGTACCAGCTTGAGCTCCAAAGGACCAAGTGAACCTCAGTAGGCGGTGCCCCCCACTAGCTTGTAGGTGCTCTAGCCTCTGATATAATCAAATGCAATTATCATGGCTCAGATAGCGGTATTGCTCATTTTATTGCATAAAGATACTGCAACCTCTGTACTCGCATTCTTTATGGATGTAAAGAGTACGACCTGTAATCGCCCAAATTAGTGGGACATTCATGGATCTCGGCAAATGACCCGCCCAAAGAGACGCGGCAGGCTGTGAAATGTGCCCAAGGTGCAGCCAACCAGCCAAGCAGCGTGTAAAAATAGTTGGCGCCCGCGACAAACCACCCAAAAGTCCAGTCCACCAGACGGAGATAGGTAGCCCTGCAGTAGCAGCAGCAGGCCACATCGTGTCATACCATTCCAGCCTACATACTTTACCCAGCTAGCCACTCTTCTACTATTTCGTCTTACTCCAACTCCGTTTCCCCAAGCCCACCTCCAATCTCACTCCCAGACGCAAGCAAGGGGTTTGGGTACGATGTTGTGAACGGGAGACTTGAACCCAAGTCGCAAAGACGACCTCTCACCACCGATTGCCCTCAACTTTGCACAGGGACCGCAGACGACAAAATCGCTGCCCATGGCGCCCAACGGGGTCACCAACGGCGCCTCGTCCACGAGAAAGCCGGATCTTCACTTGGTGGTATGTTGACGCGCCCTTCACAGAGACTTGCTCCCTGGTTCCTGCTGGCTGACTTTTGCTTCTTAGTCCGACGAAGACGCCGTCTATGAGCAAGATATCCTCCGAGACTTGGGTAGCACAAAGCCTTGGCTTGCTTACATTGAATTCAAACTACATCATGGCACGGTGCAAGAGCAAGCCTTCGTCCTCGAACGAGCTTGCGTGCAACTCCCGCGATCATACAAGCTCTGGAAAATGGTGAGTGGAACCCGAAAATCCTCTACAACTGGCCCACGTGAATCAAGCTGACAGGTACGCAGTATTTGCAATTCCGGACCAAACATGTTGCCAAGCTCAATGCCGCGGTCTTTGCTGCGGAATACCGAAAGGTGAATGCGCTCTTTGAGCGCGCGCTCATCTTGCTCAACAAAATGCCAAGAATATGGGAGATGTACCTGAAATTCTTGCTCAAGCAACCACTAGTCACATTGACGCGCCGAACGTTCGACCGAGCCCTCCGCGCGCTTCCCATCACCCAGCACAACAGAATCTGGGCGCTGTTCCGACCGTTTGCGAACTCGGCGGCCGGCGAAACGGCAGTCAAGATTTGGCGGCGATATATGCAAGTACATCCCGAGGATGCCGAGGACTTTATCGAGCTCCTGATTCAGGTTGGATTGTATACAGAGGCCGTCAAGAAGTATATTGACATTCTCAACAATCCACGCTTCAACAGCAAGCATGGAAAGGGACACTACGAGCTGTGGAGCGAAATGGTCGACCTACTGGTTGAGCACGCCACCGAAATCGAAACCGGACATGAGACGGGCATCGACGTGGAAGGTATTATTCGCAGCGGCATCGATAGATTTCCTGACCAGAGGGGCAAGTTGTTCTGTGGTCTGGCAACTTACTGGGCCAGGAGAGGAAGTTTTGAGCGCGCAAGAGATATCTTCGAGGAAGGTGTGACAACTGTCATGACAGTCCGTGATTTCACCCTGGTCTTTGACACATATGCCGAGTTTGAAGAGTCAATCATTGGTGCGCTCATGGAAATGGCATCGAAGAGAGCAGAGGGCGGCGATGAAGATGAAGATGCCGACTTTGATCTCGATATTCGCATGATGCGGTTCGAGCAATTGATGGATCGGAGACCATTCCTGCTCAACGACGTGGTGCTGCGACAAAACCCCAATAACGTGGCAGAATGGGAGAAGAGGGTAGCTCTTTGGGGCGACAACAAACAGGAAGTGGTCGACACATATACAAACGCTATTGCTGCTATCCAACCAAAGAAGGCTGTCGGTCCATTCCATCAGCTGTGGGCCAACTATGCAAAGTTCTACGAGTCTGGCGGGGATATTCGAAATGCCAGAGTCATTATGGAAAAAGCTGTCAAGGTTCCCTTCAAGTCGGTGGCTGAATTGGCTGAAATGTGGATCGAATGGGCCGAGATGGAGCTTCGGAACGAGAACTTTGATGAGGCAGTCAGAATCATGGCCAAGGCCGTGCAAGCACCCAAGAGGTCGACGGTGGATTACTTTGACGAGACGCTGTCCCCACAGCAGAGGGTTCACAAGAGTTGGAAGCTGTGGAGCTTCTACGTTGACCTGGTGGAATCAGTTTCCTCGCTCGAGGAGACCAAGAAGGTTTACGAGCGCATATTCGAGCTGCGCATCGCCACTCCACAGACTGTGGTCAACTATGCCAACTTGCTAGAGGAGCATCAGTACTACGAGGATTCTTTCAGGATCTACGAGCGTGGTCTTGATCTCTTCAGCTGGCCTGTCGCTTTCGAGCTTTGGAACCTATATCTCACCAAGGCTGTCGACCGTAAGCTGGGGATCGAACGTCTCCGTGACTTGTTTGAGCAGGCGGTTGAGTTCTGCCCTCCCAAGTTTGCAAAGACGCTGTACCTCATGTATGGCAATCTGGAGGAAGAGCGCGGGCTGGCACGGCACGCCATGCGCATCTACGACCGAGCTACTCAGGCTGTCTCGGACGAGGACCGCGCCGACATGTTCAACTTTTACATTACAAAGTCGGCGTCCAACTTTGGTCTCCCGTCGACGCGCAGAATCTACGAGCAAGCCATTGCCGCGCTACCCGACGAAGAGGCCCGTGACATGTGTCTCAAGTTTGCCGACATGGAGAAGCGTCTTGGTGAAATTGACCGAGCCCGAGCCATTTACGGCCACGCCTCGCAGTTCTGCGACCCGCGCACCAACCCGGCCTTTTGGACCAAGTGGGAGCAGTTTGAGGTACAACACGGCAACGAGGACACGTACCGCGAAATGTTGCGCATCAAGCGGTCCGTACAGGCGCTCAAGAATACCGACGTCAACTTTATCGCCTCGCAGGCCATTGCCCGCAGCCAGGCCACCAAGCAGCAGGTTGCCGACGGCGAGATGGACCAGGAGACGGCCGACGCCATGGAGCAGCTGGAACGGCAGGCCCGCGCACCAGTCGGCTTCGTGGCCAGCAGCACAGGCATTACCGGAACACTGGCGCAGGACGAGCAGCCAGCGCAGGCCGTCAACCCGGACGCGATCGATATCGATGGAATGGATGATGAATAACGATTCGCATACACTTCTTCTTTGGCAGATCGTTTTTTCTGCTGCAGCCTGTATAGCCTTTGCGCTTTTGAAGCGGGCATCTTTTCTTGCACCCGTCAAAGTTTTGAAGTTTGGGGAGGTTTTGTTGTTGTTTTTTCTCGCATCTTTGAAGCCATACATTGGCAGCATGTACATAGTTGATAGGAACACTGAGTGATGACCCGTTTATGTGAAGGCATCGTGCGTTTCTAGCATTGTGTCCAGCATCAATAGCAAAGTCAGTAGAGCATACGTGCCAATTGCATGTCATTTATCTTTGCTTATGTAAATTTTTTTCTTAATGGTTTCCGAACTGGATCTTTTAGAGGGAACTCATGACCATAACCGTACAATTTTACCCTCTTCCACAGAAAGTCATCGACGGCAGGGGAGGCATGGTATATAAGCTGATAAGAGTCTAGCAACTCGACGACAAGTGTCGATTCCACCCATCCTCTGAAACCCCGGAACCTGAAATCACCCGCAAAGCGTTCCGCCCGAAATCAAAAGGAACCCACAACGAGAGCGCGCGCAACAGAAACATAAGGTTTCGACAGTGTGTTAGACGTCATCTAATCTGTCTTGCTTCCACTACTGCTCTTACGGCGGTGACTGGCACCCGTCACCTCCTTGGCCTTTTCCTTGACCTTGCCAAAGAGCTTGTGATGTGTCTCGTGGAAGCCCTTGTCGCGTTCGTTATTCTTCTGCACATGGCCATCGCGCGAGCCCTGCGTTGAGAGTATCGAACCTTTTCGCTGCTGGAAGCGCGAGGGTGGGACCTTGGATGCATCTATACTCGGATTGACTCGTGTCAGTAATGTGACAATCGACATGTTGAACCAAGACATCTCTTGGCATTCACCCTTATAATACAACAACAACAACAACAACAACAACAACAAAAGAGAGAGAAAAGGGCCAAAGGTGCTACTCACCCCACTCGTCAGTCTGCGAAAAGTCCTTGGAGCCGCTGCGCTCTCTCTCATCGTCGATAGGGTTCTCGTAGTGCGCCTCAGTCTGGCCAGGTGCGAAGCTGTTGGTGAACTGGGGCTGTTCGTGATGAGCTCCCGTCGTGCCCGTTACGTCATGGGTGTAACCGTCCTCCTGCGGACGATATTGCTCTAAATTCATGTCAAAATTAGTCTACTGTTCGAAAAGAAAAGCAAAATATTCATGCATGGAAACGAGACGCCTGTTTCCGCGACCCGTCATGGTGACAAGTAACAGAATAAGACCACGCAGCAGAGAACGTACCTGCAGCGCCTTCCATGGTGATTTTGTTTGGTGGCAGAGTGTAATCTGAAATGCTTGGAGTGGGTGTTGTTGATTCAAAGTCCTCTCAAATGGATTTGCTCTGGGTCAAGTTTGTTCTTATCCCAGTTAAAATGGTGTTCTTTGTGTTACTCTGAGATTATGATGTCAGAAGTTGAAAGGGGTGAGACAAGGGGGAAACAATCTGATGAATTTGTAGGATCAAGGGACGGAAGGGAGAGGGAAATGTAATATCGGCCGCTTATGGGGGAGCGAGGATGTAGATAAATAGATGATGGGTGTGTGTATTGTTACGTGTGTACGAGCTACACTTTGGCTGCGGGGTGGGAGAGTCACTCCAATGAAATCGTGACATATCTCAAGGGAGCTCCGATGGCCACCTCTAGTTAGCATATACTTACCTCAGTTATCGACCTGACCTTGTGCCATGTAGCGAGAGGCCAGTAGGTGGGCTGCGTGTGTAAGTAGGTAGGTACAAGATAGGTTGAATGAGTCTGACCGCGCCAAGGAACCTCTTTCTCTCTGCGCTGGACAGGCCGGGACATATTTCTTGGCATAGTTTTACGCTGATCCCTCCTTCTGCCTGTTCCCATTGCTGGGGAAAGGATCATCCTGTTACTTGGGATTTGACTTGTGAGGATATGAACATATGATGTATCCCAAGGGAGGGAAAGCTGTTGCCTCCGACCAATGCACAGCAACCTGGTTTCCCGTGCGGTCCAATCAGAGGGTATACTTGATATGCAGTCGCGGCCAGTCATTTGCAAACGGGTACCTAGGTAGTCATGATAGGGAGCTCCATGTACATGGCGAGCTTCGGTAAGAAGCAGAAATGCGCAAGTGCGACGGAATCGGTCTGCTGAGGTGATCCGCGACCTCTATCAAGCTTAGATTGATGTCTACAATGAATTCGGACCTTTGGTTCGTCACCGGGCCCCGTCATTGGGTTTGGGAATCGGCTCAAACCCTATATGTTAGGACTAAAGAGACGACACAATTGACTACTAGTTAGACAAGTCGCCAAGCTCGCGGCTCTCGCCAGCAAGGAGAGAACCAGAGGCACAGCCAGCCTTAGGAGAAAATTGACATGCGGCAGGGCACAAGGTAGAGTTCAGAGGTGAGACTCAGGTGGCTAAGAAGATGCCAACCTTTACAGCCTCAAACCGTTATCAGGATAGCTTTCATTGTCGGAAACGAGGGGATTATATTTCGTTGATCGGCCCTTGGCGTCTAATCAAATACATGCTTGAGCAGAATAGTCGTTTGTAATACTGTCTCGAGTCGGCTGACGACGGTTGAGCAGTGGCAGTGCCCTTGGCTCTCCCTCATGATTGCCATGTCGTTTTCCCTTCTTCTTGGTTCCTCGGCAACTTGCATGACTTGCCAAAGCACATCAGCAGCAGTCGAGTAGTCGGGTCAGGACCTAGGCAATGGGCATTGCATCCACAGTCAGCAGTATCGTTCACCGGGATCGCTTGGCGGGCGGCCTCTCTCTTTCGCCTCTCAATCGTCGCTGTCGCAATTGGGGTGCGCCATTCTTGGCAGCTAAGGCAATGCAGTTTCCAGCTAAAAACGATACAGAGCAGCTCCAAAGCAGGGTCTGACGTCACGGCACAAGGGGGGGTCCCAACTGTCATGCCGACGCGACAGCCACTGAAAAGCATTCGAGCAAAATGATTTGATTGATTAAAATTAAATCGGTAGCACATTGACGACTTTGACCTGGACAAGTACATCATTGCGTGCCTTTTGCCTAGCATACATACATGCAGGTAATTAGGTATATAGCACACCTTGAACGGGGATGGGGTCAAGGGCCAAATAAACGGTTCAGAGTTCGTTATGGGAAATGATGATACAGCTGTTGATCTAGCGTAGATCTCCCCGCATTCTGGACGGTGATCCGAGACTTTGACGGGACAAATGACCCGCCACCTATGAGGCACGTCTCCCCTGGCTGGTCTTTGCCTTATCAGAAGGGAGGCAGGGCGCGAGTTGGCGAGTCTTGTCCCCCATCCTTGATCCCGGCGCTCGAGTGTATCTGTATGTCAGTGTAAGGTAGGCAAATGTGGTCATCACCTTGACCAAACAGACGGGAGGGCAAGGAGGGTCGCGAAGCTTTTGGGGGCTTGCCGCTCCCCCTCTGGCTTTGTCTGGGTTCTGATTGTCCAAAGTAAAATAGATGAAGGGGATAATTAGACGGAGGTATGCAAAGTATCCGTCATCCACCTTACGTATGACTTTTCCACATCTAGAGCTAGTAGCATTTCTGGCGGTTGTTGTTGCACACCCTTTTTTACTCTCCCATGGGCCTGATGGGTAGCAGCCCTAAATCGGAGGCAGCCTCTAATGGGTGCGATATCATGAGGTCTAGACTTGCTTTAAAGAAGGGGAACGAGTGTCCTGCAGCGACCTAACCTAGGAGGGGTTTCTGTGTGGGAAAACCACATTGCGATTCGCTGCTCTCGCAAAGCCTAGGCGGGTTTGTTGGCTATCTGCTGCACTTGGGGTTTTAGCGATGACTCCATAGCTCACAGTGGATCTGGGGTAAGCTCGGAGCTCTCTGCCGGTGGGTGCAGGGGGGCTGGTGGAAGTGGGAGCTTTCAGTGGAGGGGAGGTCGCCTAAGCGGGGCTGAGAGTACTGACAACGGCCAATGACGCAAAAGAGCTGCTATACATTGCTAGGTCTGTCATTTACCACACATAACCCTACCTGCATAGTACATTATGGAACTATTCATCAACCTACACACCTAGCCTGTTGGTGAACGCAACACTGGAAGGGGGTATATGGAGTGTTAGGTTCGATTCCTAATGGCGCTAGTCACTGGGGTGTCCATGAAGTTATTCTTTTCTTAGCCTGCCTTGGACAACTATACACGTTATCTCTCCCGAGGCCATGTGAGCAAAGTGAGGAGCTATCCACTATGGTGCAGGAGGAATGCAAGTGTCATGGCCAATATCACACAAACCGTATAGACCAAACCTTGAATTTGGAGGCCTACAGCTTTTCCTCGCGCGGCGCGAACCATTCAAGCGGCTCACCAGGCCATACACATGTTCAACGGTCAACTGCCGACTCGGCGGTAGCGATTTTGTCCAAGACACTGAGACGAGGAGAAAGCTTAATGAATATACAGTTTAGATGATTAAGGAATGTATTTGTCTTCTATGCAAGGAGCCAGACCCGTCTCGCCTCTATGATAGTAGCCAGTTTGACCACAGTATGTTGGATATTTTAGATACAATGCTTTGAGAGTATGAAACAGTTTTTAAGGAAAAATAAAATCAAATGCAAAAATTAGTCCATCAGATCAGTGTGAATTTTGGTCACAACAGCCTCCGATCAAACGCCTTTCCTCTTTTGCCTCTGAGGAGGGTATCCATTTGTCCCAAGCCGGGATTTTTCGAGCTCGTATTTCTGTTGTTCTTGCAGTCGAGCGCTTACTCAATCTCACCATCCTCGCGGAGCTCGTCAATCTCCTCGGGGGAAAGATCCTTGAAGCTGGAAGCACGCTTCTTCATGCTGAGGAGCTCCTCCTCGGATCGCTTGACAGCCATGGCAAGAGCCCGGCGAGCCTGAGCAGGAGTAGTAGTGTTGGCCACTGAGTATGAGTGTTAGTAGAATATTCCTGATTCCAAACTCGGCTCTCGCAGACTTGGGGGATTACTTACTCTGAACGGGGACGACACCACCAAAGGGACCGGCACGAGCGGCGTTCTGGCAACGGACCAGGCAGACATTGTCCTGTCCAGCGACGGTGCCTGTGCAGGAGGCATCGGCAGGAATGGCAGCCTTCATGGGGAAGTCGGTCATGGCACCGTCACGGAATCGCGAGTTCTGGCCGGGAGGAGACTGGGTGACCTGGATGTCGGTCCAGTCGGCGCCAGTTCCGTCCGAGTTCATCATGCAAGTGTAGGGACCGCCACCGTCAGCGTTGACCTGGTGCAGAGTCATGGTGAGCTCGCCGCCCTGGGACACCTGGGGAAGCTGGTCGCCAGACTCGGTCATGATGGCCTTTGTGCCAGTCTCCAGGTCATTGTTACCCGCTCCGACGGTCTCGCCAAAGGTGTCGGCCTGGTCACCCTTGAAGCGGGTAGAGTCTTGCTGGAATGGGTTTCGGCGTGTGCCATCACGGGGAGTCGAGGAGTCGACACCAAGAGCGGCTAGAGATTCATTGTTAGCATTCTATGATGATACGATCAAGGAGACTTGAAAAGCCATCACTTACAACCAGAGCCGCCGGCATCACCGACAGCCTTGATGATGGCGCCGTGGCCAGCAACGAGCTGAGCAGTGGTCATGAGCCCGAGGGCAAGGATGGCCTTGAAGGAAGACATTTTGATACGGGAGAAGGAGGTGGTGGAAGAGGGATGATAAGTTATTAATGAATAAAATAGTAAAGACCTGACCGGCAGGAGATGATTAAGAAGTGAAATAAAGAGAAGAGGCGAGGAAGGCTGTTTGATCTGAAGCTGTTGATGCTGATGATGAGGAAAAGAAGAAAGACCAATTGACCGACGAGGACGGCATTCTTATAGAAGATCTTGACCAGTGAAGCTGTACCTTGGACCTCTCACTGGCCTTCACGATGGTCGTGGTCTCGGTTCCGATGTTCCGTGCCAGCCACGGCCGATACTGCCAAGCCAAACAGCTTAGCGCCGGCAGAGATACGGAAAGCATTAAGTTAAGAGACCTGACCACAGAAGAGAAGAAGCATTGCGGGACATGGCTCCCCCAAAGTTTCGTACTTGAGATGAAATGGAGTGACTCCTTGACCCTACGCCAACTCTTAACGAGGAACGTGCCTTGATTACCTAGTTTTGGAGGAGCATTTGTGGCAAAAGAAACATTGTTCTAGCACGTGCTAGCTGTCATCAGTGATTTTCATGAGGTAAGCCAGTTGGACATGGCCATACACTCTAGTATAGCATCCCTAATATGATCGTCATGAGGATCCCGCAGCGCATTCCTTGGCAGTCGGCGTGCTGAGCCAATCGCATCTTTGAGGTGGGTATAAACAAGCTTTTCCGGATCTACCATGGAGTAGAAGAATCCATTGAGCCGCAATATCGCCAAGACAGTCGCGGATCTACAGCTTGGCCTCTGTGAGCAACTCCAATTGTACTATCGTGGAGTCCAGAAACTGGCGGGAGTCCCCGCGCTGTGACTAGGGGGTGGCACGATGTTTCTGTTGGTGCTCCCCAGAGCTGTTTGGACAGGTCAAAGAAATAAACTGGAGCAGGGCCCCGAGTCTCGATTCGCGATTGGTGCAACACGACCTGGTTTCGAGCTGTTGGGCATGGTTGACTTCTGGATGAGGCTCGAGCAGTCATTGAGGCTGTGCTCAACCCCCTAGCATTGCTATAGACTTGTGTGATTAAGGTAGTGGGACCAATGAGCTTAAACAAGTCCATGGCAATAGTTCAAACATAAGGAGGCATCGAGGGATCGGAGCTGGGAGAACCATCTGCCAAGCGCTTCTTGGCAGTTTCAACGCAACCATTGAGGAATTGCTTGTATGGTTCTTCTCTCGAGGTCTGAGCCCATAGTCCGGTGCAGCACAGACGTCTTCGCTTGGCCGCATGGATGTCATCCGTGTCATCGAACCCCGGACGGCGATCATCAGAATCACTGCGCAACCTACCGAGGGCTTTTCGACGCCGCGATTGGCCCATGAATGGCAAGCGGTCCAGTGGGACTGATGAGTCTTGTTGATGGATGATGAGATGTCATTTCAAGGGTCAGGAGTCAGACCGTCAGACCGTCAGGCCGCCCGAGCTCGGGTTACCTAGGACTAGCATTAATCTATCTCATAGTTGCCGTCCAGGCCAGCGAGAATGGAGGCTGAGGTCTCTCATCTGATAATTGGAAGCTTACCACGATACTGCCAAGACGTGAGAGATGACAGTAAACATGGCCCAAGTAGTATCCAAAAGCAACAAGATTCTCTGGCCGAGCCCTGTGGCAGCAGGGTGACTTTGCGGGTGATTGAGACCGGAAACGGCACCTCACCTGATTCAAGGAGAGCCAAATCCAAATGCTTCAAACTAAATCCCGTGGCTGGATCCAAGAAGTAGAATCGAGGGGGAAGATATGATTCATGAAACTGGCGATATTCTGCTTCAGGTTGTTGCCCAAACACGGCATTGTGCTGTTCTGCCTCAGTGATCGTGAAGGGCCAGAAACTAAGGTCTGGTGCGAAAGGCCGCTAGAGCAGCCGCCTATAACAGAAGGGTGATGGCGCCTTTTCCTGTGCGAACCACCATGGGCGAGTATTATTCCACCCATTGGAAAACGGATCGCCGCCGAATTTGCAATCACCTTTGCAATTTCGAAGATTGGCATTGAGTCTTCTCAACATTATCACACAACCTGGTGTCTGAATGGAATTTCGATAATTTTTCTATTTTTCTTGTTTAGCGATTAGTAGCACAATCCGAATGGGGCTTGTTTGGAGACTCGCTTAGTCGAATATGTATCTATGGAATATCTAGCTCGCCTAATGCGTAGGCTCAACGAGCAAACTCCACACAAATTCATCAATATCTGGACCTCGCCCATGGGCTTGTTTGCAGTAGCCAGTAACTCATATTGTAGTCACAAAAGTCACAAAAGGCAAGAACTTCAACACTCAAGTCACTGCTGAAATTTGGACTTATGTGAATCGTGGCTCTTGCCATTGACCCCGAACAGGATACAAGGGCGATGCAGGACAATTTGACTCATCCAGCAGATCAATGAGCCTTCAAAGACTAACGCTCCGCCCCCCGTTCAACGCCTCCACTCTATCACATACAAGAGCACGCTTCTTTCATTTTTCGTCCGCTTTTCTCATGTCCAAGAGGAAGTCTGATCAGTTGGAAGACGACGACTCCTGCTCCACTTCTCAGCGTCCTCGCCAGGTCAGAAAAATGGGATCTGCTCCCGTGACCACCAATATTGAGCTGAGCTCACAGGAAGCTCGGCTCAAGAAGCTGCTTCTAGATGTCGCCGAATACATTGACAGATCACAGCCGTCTTCTGCAGAACCCATCGTACTGCGTTGGGCCGGCGGCTGGGTTCGCGACAAGCTCCTTGGCATCGGGTCTCACGATATTGACACGGCCATCAACACCATGACTGGCGAGGCATTCAGCTCCAAAATCGTCGAGCTTTGCAAGCAGCCAGAGACTGTAGAGAAGCATGCCCTGAGTGACACCGACATTGGCAATTTGCACAAAATTGCAGCCAACCCGGATAAGTCGAAGCATCTAGAGACCACAACAATCAAACTTTTGGGTTTTGATGTCGACTTTGTCAATCTTCGCAAGGAGACATACACACAAGACAGTCGCAACCCCCAAGTCGAGTTTGGTACAGCTGAAGAAGACGCGTTGCGCCGAGATGCAACCATCAATGCGCTCTTTTACAACCTCAACACGGGCCGCGTTGAAGACTTCACCGGCGGACTGGCCGATATGGATGCCAAGCTCATCAGAACTCCACTTGAGCCTCTCCAGACTTTCACAGATGATCCTTTACGGGTTCTGCGGCTCATTCGATTTGCCAGTCGGTTGGACTTTGTTATCGACCCCGAAGTCGAGGCAGTGATGCGCGATGAGCGTGTGTTGAGTGCATTGCGTAATCGTCAAAAAATAAGTCGCGAGAGAGTCGGAGTGGAAGTCGAAAAGATGTTCCAGGGTATAGATTGCACAGGCACTCACGATAACCAGAAAATATGACTGACGAAAGCATATAGGCAACCATCCCCGAAATGCTCTGAAGAAGATACACAGCCTCGGACTGTATCACACTGTTTTTACAGACCCGAACAAGCCCGACATGCCTCAGCCAAATGTACGGAACTTGGCAGTAGCGTACGATTGCCTAGAGTCTCTGCGCCAAAGGAAGACACCAGGATCTATCTACGATGTGTTGGTACGTTCAGATGAGTCGAGCTATTTTAGTTGGGTTCTGGCGGCTCTGACGCCCTGGATGTCCATCGCACAACCGGCCCATATTGGCCCGACAAAGCCTCCTCCGCCCTTTGCCACTCTTGCTGCTCGTGAGGGAATCAAGGCCCCGAATAAGATGTGCGATGCGATTACAGGTTCTTACAACCACCGAGAGGAGATCATGTCATTAAAGGTCGCCGTCTCCGAGAATGCAGAGCACGTGCATGAGCGCGATCGATTTGGCCTGGCCATTCGGCGGTGGGAGGCCCGGGGAGGACAATGGAAGCTGCAAGTCTTGTCGGCATTGCTGCACGACGCACTGCAGACGCTGCAACCTGGTGACACAGCTTCTCGCGACACGGCATTCGTTGCCGGATGGCAGAAATTCCTGGACCATCTTCACGAGCTCGATGTCATGGAGGCGCCGTCACTCAAGCGAATCATTGATGGGAAGCAGCTTTCCAAGGCGCTTGGTGCCAGGCCCGGCATCTGGATGACGGCGGCGCTGGATGTATGCGTGGCGTGGCAATTACGAAACCCAGATATTACTGATCCGACTGGGGCGATCGAAGAGGTGCGCAGTAAGAAAGAGGAACTGGGTATTCCCATCTGATATGCATATATGACAACAACAAAAAGGAGACCCAAGAAGAAGAAAAGAAAAGTTGACGGAAAGAGGCACGATACCCATAGATTTCTAGTCATGAACATAGAGAAGTTGATGCAAATTGTGTCAATGACAGCGGCATCCACTGGATTCTTCATATCCAGGCTCTCAGTGTACACAACAATCTAGTGTATTCCGAGTATTTTTCTTCCAGCCCGTGGCCGAGGCGAATTGACACACGTTGGCAGTATATAAGCGGTCAGCCACACCTGGACCGACCAGGGGCTCCACCACTATACAGCAAACAACAACAACAACGCATCAAATCCCCTGACTGAGTCATCATCCATCAGACCGCCAGACAGACCGCCAAGAGGACCCTGGGACGCAACCGTCAGGCCATTATTGATTCCCTGGGTAAGTAGCTTGGCCAAAACCTGCAATATTTATTGAATAGGAGATGCAAATCGAATTATAACCTCCGGGTCCACCGAAAACGAAATTTGGGGACTACCGAACCGACCAACCGGCCAACGAGCCACCCCTGATGGTTACACAAGATGGAAATTTGACAGGAAACGGCTGACCGCAGCGAAAGGGTTAGAAGGAGGTGAAGATAGAAAAATGGAGTGGAAGATTAGGCCGCCCCGGGGGCAGTGTGGGTTCAGGTCCTTGAAGGAAATGTGCACTTTTTGTCTCTTTTTTTTTTTTTCTAAGTCTTGTCTTTTTGTGTGTTCTCCCTCTTGCTCGCTTCGTAAGCGGACGGAGCTCCTTCAGGGACTGGCTCGGCTAATGGGGAAACGTGTATAATTGGGTAAAGGCAAAAACATCCGGTGTACTGGTGTGGGAAAAATTTACCTGGTTTGGCAATGGGGAATCAATTGTGTGGCTCCGCCGCGTGCAGCGGTTTTTGCATTTTACTTTGCGGCCTTGCCGTTTGGTTTGATGACGAACGAGACTTTTGGTGTGTTATTGCTGGTATTACTCAGGTTTCTCCCTGGCACTACATAACACTTGGTATTCAATATTGTCATGAGGCTATGCTAAAAATAAAAGAGTGATCCCGGTGGTTTTCACCCGAATATAAAGTCATGGAGCCGTCCCAGATGCGATGGCTGGTGGTACGAAAGGAGCAAGTGTCCATACCCGGCCGAGGGAGGAAAGTCAAGCATCGTCGGATAGAGGACACTCTGAGGACGCCGAGAGGGAGCCAAAAGGGAAGGCGATTTCCGACAACTTGCACACCAATTGGAGGACGAGAAAAAGTCAATTCCTATGTGGTATAATACGAAGAGACGCAATACGCAATTATAGTTGGTTTACGGACAAAGCGATGTTGGACAAACCGCTGTCTGAAAATGAAACGTTTGCACCGCCAGCGCCGCCGCGAACGGTTCTCATGTCGTCGACTACGACGATGACAGCAATGGCGACAACAACCGCGACTGAATCGCAACCAACGAAAACATCAGGAGCAACAGTATCGACGACGGAAAGCATGACTGTGTCGTTGACATATAATGCTCTTGCCGTTGTGGAAGAGTATGTGCCCTCGTTTTCTTTTTGCTCCTTATCGTCGTTTCCCCCTTTGCGATTACTACTTTTTTTGTGAGGCAAAAAAGCCAAAAACAAAAAGAAGAAACGTTCTTCCCCCCCTGTACCCATTGGCACTTGCTCAATACTCATTTGCCAACACCAATACTATCACAAAAAGGATAAGCCGACTGGTCACCGCAATGGCTGAGCCTACCGTTTACAAGATACGCTATGCCCGTCATGTTTTGTCCGAGTCAAACGCCGGTGACAACTCGGGCGTAGACTTACACGATCCGGTTCTCACTACAGCGGAGAGAGAGGAGGACTGGATCAAGGATAAAAAGTTGGAAGAGGCAAAGCGCGGAACCGGCAGAAAATGGGCAGAAGGCAAAATGAGGGGCCAGTTCCTCCAGCACGAGAAGAAGAGCCGCGTCTTCATGGTCTCCCCTCTGACCAGGGCCATACAGACATTTCTCCTGTCCGTTACCGAGCAAGAGCTGCGAGGTTCCCGGATTATTGTTGAGCCCCTCTTGATCGAGCAGACGCTCTGGTTCTCAGACAGGGCTCGAGCCGTTACCAAGATTCAGGACATGATTGAGCACGAGCTTGAATACAGATTCAATGGTCGCCTAAAGATGAACGACCTCAATATCATATGGGACAGGATGATCCCGTCAGAGACAAAGGACAATGAAAGACTGGACAGGCCTTGGCACCTCAAGACTAACGGCTGGGCACCCGAGAACTTGCTCGAAAGAGGAAGGCTCGCCGTTCAGGTAATCTTGCAGGAATGCAAGAACTTCGAGTCGTACACGGGTCGATCATACACCGACTATGATATTTGTGTTTTTGGGCATGGTGGTTTTGTCAACTACATGACTGACAAGATCGGAACCGTCGACGTCAAACTCAAAGTTCCAAGGCTAACAGACTGGAAGACGGGTGAGGTGAGAGAATTCAAGATTTACGACTACTACACATGTTGCAGCTTGATGGTTGAGGAAAAAGATCTGCCACTCACGAGCCAGGAGGCTGCTGTAGTGAACACCAAGAGACGTGACCTCAAGGACTTCATCACCAACATGGTTCATTACAATCCTGAGCAGGAGCTGGAATTCAAGAAGGGACTGAATGCCTAACGCAAGAGCGGGTGACCGTTCCATTTCCGGGGATATTTATTTTAGAACACGATGATTTTCCGGACAGAATGTTACAGGCATGGCGTTTGGTATGGATTTGAAATAAATGGATTAGGAAAAAGGATTGGGAAAAGTTCAGCGTGATGCTTAGGCGCAGGCTCTAATCAACGGTCGTTTTTTTTCCCCTTGAGTCTCCCACTGTCGTGGATGCGATGATGGTATCTGCGGTTTTGATTCTCTAATTCCACCAGAAACTGACGGAAAAACTAACAGTTAGACCGCGAACGTAATGCCACCATCCGATGGGTATATATAAAGTGTCACCCGGCTCCAGTATACAATCTTTGTATGGAACATTGGCGAAAGCCTCTCGCATGCTCTCAGCCGAAACGTGTCCTGGGCTGCCGGCGTCATCATCATGGCTGGTGGATTGGTCCCAGCCTTCAAGAACGCCCACGTCTAACAAACTCGTGTTGCTCATTTCAATGCCGTTCTCTTTGCCACGGGCCTGCATTCGAGCAGTCTCGCGGGGTGAGTACAGACGTACATATTTGCGACCCACGATTTGTACCAGAAGGTTGTGGTACGGGTCAGTATGCAGCGGTGTAATGGTCCCTGGAGGTCCAAACCACGCATTTAGTAGAGGCTCATCTAACTCTGGCTGATCCATCTCTGGGTCGGTAGGGTGTGGCGGAGGTGCGGTGTAACAGTAATCCGGAATAAAAATATCCTTGCGCAAAGCTGGGAGTTGCGTGAACAGAGGATGCTGCGCCAGGTATCCGATATGCTGGCGCCCATCAACTTCTGCTGTTGTACCATCCCCAGCAAGGGGGCCGTCTATATAAGTTTGCAAGAACTCGCCAAAGGTGATGAGCTTTTGGCCCCATCCATCGTCGACGTAGCTACGTCCAAATTCGAATGGTATCAGACGGCGACCGCCGAGTGTCTGCGATAAAAGGTATCGAGGTTGATTCCAAGGATTTGTTGTCCTTGCTGGCCATTCATCTGTAATGCCCGTCATGATTATGGGTGCCGGCCCCGATTCTGTGTCTAACGCTTGACTAAGATGCTTTTGAAATGACTCCATGGACATGGCCGGCACACGGGTGATGGGCTGCTTCACGGGGGGTGTAAATGGCTCAATCTTCGAGAATGGTGTGCTACCATCTATGGTCTCATCGTCCAATCTTGGCCGTTTACTGGGCCTCCCCGAATCATCCAACGCCGTTGGGGAGTTTCCGGCTAGAGGTAGAGAGTGCTGCAATAGATCGAGGGCAACTTGTATCCATCTTCGTCCTCTGAGGCGGCCTCCGCCGCCGGCAAGAATGAGCGCCAAGTCGAGCGTCTTGACGAGCTCAGCGAGTAGGCTTTCTTCGAGCTGTAGCTTCTCAGCTGGGCCTGCAGAAGTCTCGTCTGGCAGTGTTTGGGACAAGAGGTGGCAGAACCTGAGGATACTGGCATCCGTGTACAGTTGTCTCCAGCACACGGGAAGGTCTTTGTAAAGATAAGCATAGAATTTTGTGTAGGCGATGGAGATGATGTCGTCCAAGCGTTGCAGCACAAGATCAGTCTTGCTGGGCAATTGACCGTTGTTGAGCGGACCACTAGACTGCGGCGAGCTGAGTATCTTGGATACTTGAGAGGCCTGTTCCTTGAGAAGCTTCACCAAGGGCTGACCGCATCCCGATATTTCCATCTCATTATTGTCTGAAATGGTACTGTTGCCAAGTATCATTTCGCACTCGTCTCTGATCTGACGCGCTGCCTCGGCGCAGAAGCCAAGCAGCTCAGGTTGCTCGTGACTCATTTCTCAGATGGGGCAAGACCGGGACGATGCATCTTTATGAAGAGGTACGTTGCAGAAAGTAAAGAAATTACTTCTGACACATATTCATTGATTTCGCAAAGTAGTGATCAAAAGATGAAGTCTCCCAAATTTCGCCCTATTCAATTGTCCCAGCTTTACTCAATGGTAGTGCATGTGGCCTGTGCGTTTTGAATCGCCTTGATTATACACATTTTTTATCCAGAGTACATTTCTTTCATTGTCCGCCGCCACATTCACTTGCAGAATCTTGATCATGATACTTTGGTGACGTTTTCTTCGCTATATGCATGGTACGTTCTTCATTGAGCTCGATGAAACTATCTATTGGATATCTTGGTGTCTATAGACGCTATTGTAACGTTACAAATGCTTCATGAGATGCATCAAATACTGGCTCTACGGGGCGCCATGGTTCTCCTGAGGGCCTTCTTCGCTTCTGTCTCTTCAACAAGTGGAAGATCACCTTCTTCACGCAAGCGGGCCAGGGTCTCCTTACCATACTGGTATCCCATCTGGTAAATCTCATCAAACTTGCCAAAGTCAAGAGTTCCATAGTCATCAATCGGTGGGCGCAGATAAATACAGCCCGGCATAGTCTTGGCCCTCTCAAGCGCATCAACACTCGAGACGTAGGCCAGGCGGCCCTGGATCTCCGCCAAGGTTGGGGGATTGGGAATGGACGAGAATGGGTTCCATCGATTGAAGAATGCCCACATTCCCGAAAGGGAATCTCCATACGCTTGTGGTGTGTCGTCATCCAAAGCACCTACATCAATCGCAAAGATCACATCGGCGCCAAGAGACTTCATGTGTGAGACGGTCAAGTTGTCAATGTAACCGCCATCAAGCAACATGCTGCCTTCGTCACACAAAGGTGGCAAAAGGCCGGCCAGGGACATGGAAGCACGCACATATCTCCAAGCATAGCCACTGGTGTGGATTTCACCGCGGCTCTTGCTGATGTTTGTTGTGTTGCAGTAGTACTCCAGCCAGAAATCTTCAATTTGGTGGTTTCCAAAAGTCTTGAATATACCGCGGTTGAATTCGTGGCCAGTTGTGTAGGACGCTGAGGGATATGTGAGATCCAGCGCGAACCGCCACATGCTGCCCATGCGACCAGCAAATTTCTTGGCCAGGCCAAACATCGGGACCACGTCCGCGTGCCTCGCATATAGTGCTCCAATAAAGGCACCAATCGAGGTTCCGCCAATGACATCAATCGGGATGCCGGCTTCTTCCATGGCTCGAATGATGCCAATCTGAGTTATGCCACGTGCACCGCCTCCGCCAAGGACGAGACCGATGGACTTGCCACAAAGACGCCTTGCAAGCCGATGGAAATCACCCTTGAACGGGGCATCTGGAGAGTAGTAGGGAGTATGCCGCACCTTACGACTGGTATACTTCTGAATCTCTGCTTGCAGGACTTGCACGCGCTCCTTGATTGTGGCACCTAGCCGCCGCGACGTCGGGGGGTGCACAGGGACAGCGTTTGACTTGAAGGCCATCTGGATGTGGTAGTGGCCACCGTTGATCCAGACACGATTTCTCAGCCAGGATCTGGTTAGGCCTGGCGGTGAATATCTATCCGCGTGCAGCAAGACAAGAATCTTCCGTGCTGTTGATTTCTGTCCCAACATGAATCTTTCATACTCACCAATCTCTGGGGACCCCTCGGCTAGACCCACGAGGAGAATACAATCAGCCTGCGTAATACAGGTCTGGGTCCATGGTGAATTAACATTGGTATCTAAGAACACGATTAGTTGCTGAGCCATAACCAGATGCCTGCAAGATGTGTTTGGAAGGGGAAGCAGTCAGGAAAAAATTAGAGTATGTTTTGGCCGTCATTGAACGAGCTCTGGGGTTGTGAAATTTCTCATCATACTGCTTTCGATGAATACATAAGCGAAAGGGCCGAAATGACTTACCAGCAACGTAGATGACCAATCCGTACTTCTCTTCCAAATCAGCAAGGTATTGCGACAACTTGAGCTTTCCCATTCGGTTGAAAGCGTGCTTGCCAAGATGGTTGAGAATTGCGGATTGGTTAAGGGAGGTAGCACCTCCAGGCACACCGATTTGAGTCAGAGCATTCATCAGGCGGTTTCCGAAGTCAACCACGGGCACTCCAGAGGTCACGGGGAGGACTGCGACGGTCCTCAAGTTGAGAGTCGAGGAAATCTTGTTGATCGAAGTTCCAGCAGCATGCTCTTTGCTGACCACATTGGAAGGATCATCAACCAAGGTCCTCATGCGGGAGGCTATGATCTTTGAGATTTTGATTGTGATGTTGGGGTGCTCTTGTGCAAGGCTGTTGAACAATGTCCGGGGGAACTTGACAAGCTCAGTGTCCCGTATGGCATGAAGAGTTCCCGACCTGGTGGACTCGGTCAGAACTTCCAGCTCACCGACGCTGTCGCCTTGACCGAACTCGGCACGCACATTGAGCCCACCGCCTTTCCTGTCCTCAATCAGACGCAGACGTCCATTGAGAACAAGATAGATTGCCTCGCTTTCTTCGTCTTTGTGAAACAGGACCTGCCCCGCATTGACCTGAACCCACTCGAGGGCAAAATCGATGTGCAAAATCAGCCGGGGTAAGAGATTGGTGAGTCTCTTTGCCATGGTCAGAAGGACGATTGGATATTTCTCCACGATACGCTCCAGAGTTGCACGAGGAACGAATCCGACATAAACATCCGTTTTCGCAACAACATCAATGAAGGATCGGTAAGACGAGACTGTCCCAATGTAACCGGCCAACCCTCCAGGTTTCACGAGCGCAACGCTCCTCCTGGTAGGCTTGCCCCTCTTCTTGCCTTCACCACCAGCAAGTCCTGGCACAGAACCGTTCAAGGGGGTAACATTGGGTTTGGATGAAGAGCGTCGATTGGGAGTTTGCGAATCTTCGCGCTGCATGGCTGACAAAGACATCTTGCTCGTTGAGGTTAAAATCTCGCTTCCTGAGTCCTCAGCTGGCACACCGATATCGAGGAAGCCATCGATGACATAGTAGAGACCCGGGCTGCGCTCTCCTTGTTCTACAAGAACAGAGCCTTGAGGGAAGAAGACAATCTCCACCTCGTGCTTCATTTCAGCAGCCAGAAGTTGAGGATTGGGGGTGCCGGTATTTGAAACACCACCGGAAGTCATGGAATCCGCATCCCAGTCTGTAGAGCCCTCAAGTGAGTCCATGAAACCGAAAGCGTTGTTGGAGAAAACTGCTCTCTGCCTGCGCTGGTCGTATGACACCAGTCGTGGGGACGCTTCGACCGAATCAGGGCCCCTTGAGGAGCCGCCTCCCGGGCTCATTCCCAAAGCGTTGAATACGCATTCCAAAATAGACACACGAAACAAATTGTCTTCGTCAACAGACTCCCTAGGATCGATGGCAATACGAGCGCGTTTCTGCGTCGAAAATGGGTTGAAAGCATGATGCGCCATGGGAGAATTGGGATTGGGTTGAGCAATGGACTCTCCAGATTGCCACGGTGTGAGAGGAATGTCCAGTGTTCCCGGCACACGAGAGCCGCCAGCGCGGGCAGATTGGACATTAGCGAGCAAATCGCCGGGCCCAGCGGTGTGCAGGGAAGATCGTTCTCGGGGCGGGGCGATCGTGGAAGCCACGATCGAAGTGGCACGAGCTTTGGAGAGAGCTGTCACGGCTGCGTCTCTCCGCAAGCCTGTGCCCGACCTCTGACGTCTATGTGATGTAGCAGAAGCGTTGTGCAATGCAATACCTTTGCCGCTATCCTCTTCGCTTGTACGTTCTCTTTCTGCTTTGAACTTTTCCTTCAACCGCTCGAGAGCATCACCTCGAAGGACGTTTGGGAGCTGACACATTGTGAAATTGATCATGTTCTTCTCAATGTGCAGCACCTCGTTTGAAAGGCCAAGATAATTGTAACCTGTGGCAAGAGTCACACGCTGAAATCTGGATAGAATCACGTGGACAATGTGCGCGGTAGACTTCGGATACAACTTTATCAGACGACGGAAAGCGTTGGCTGGAATAACGGCAATAGTGGTGTCAACAGTAGCTCTCGCCACAATGTCTGGATGGACAGACTTGGTAGCCATCCTCTTTGGAATCGGTCGAGCTGCACGAGGCGGCATAGACGAGTGATCAAGTGACATTGGAGGAATATGATTAAAGTAGCTCCCATTCGGAGAGCTTGGCGAGATGACTTCCGGTTCGTCCACAATTGTTGCCCGTCGTCCGCTAGGATGAATCTGAGGTGTGCCTGGCACTGAATCTGATACACGGTGCATCTCTGACAGCCCAGGAGTAGGCAGTAATTGCTCGCTGAAAGAGTTTGCAGAAGATGGGGGCACTGAATCGCCGTCAACTGGCACTCGCAGTTGTACATCTTCTGTAAACAAGGACATGATGGAAAACAGCGACGACATGGGAGCGCCATTCCGGACTTCGGTTAGAAGTTGGTAAGGCTGTGAGCCCGAGGACTGTGCAGCACCATCTTCGGCGAAAGGATCCGTCATGTGAGAGCCTCCATTGCGGTTCAAGGACCGGACAAAAATCTCGACGAGGCCGTCCACAACGAGGCAGAAGCCTTGTTCCTCTTCCAGGTTTAGTGTTTCGCCAGCGATCAACTTTCTGGTTTGCATGCTCCTGGTCAACTCGTGAAAGACAGGTCTTTCCAAATAGCCAAAGATTTTGAGGCCGCTCAAGAACTCATCCAAGTAATTCGTCAAGCCCGGTTTGTTGCCTCCATCGTGCGAATCGGTCGGCAGATCCAATTCGGGCTCCTTGCGCTGAGGCTCAGGGGGGAGACGAGAGTACATGTTCAAGTACCGGTATCTCACAACCCATGTTACAGCAGAGACCACGAGGGCCACTATCAGTGCCCTAACGACACAGTTAGTCCGCAGTTCAATAATATAGAGGCTTGGTGCATGACTCACAGAGTTGTGAAGCTCATGGTGACGGTCATCTTGGTTGAGAAGAGCTGGTATACCAGAGTAGACAGAGAAAAGGTCGTGAGCTTCAAACTCCAGTATACTATGGTTGAGAGCAGCTGCAAGATGAAGAGGATCATCCTCCCAAACCAGCCGAGCCATGACGAGCTTTTTACTGCAGCAACAGTGTTGACTTGCGAAGCTGCCGTACTGGCGGCCACGAGCGCGGCCTCCATGGTGGAGGACAGAGTCTCTGAGGATTCCATGCTGACATGTGTCAAGTTGGAAGAAGGTGTGCGATCTGGACGTGGGTCGTGCAGAAAACGCGTCGGCTATTGCATATCTAGCCTTGTGTCTTTAGGAGGGGTTTTGCGCCAAAGCCTAGCAAGGCCTGGAAAGAGTCGTTGAAACAGCAGTTATGTCGGTACTTCAACAGAGAAGCTCAAGCTGGAGACGCGGCTCCGGGCAAGGTGCTGTGCCCGAGACATCTGGGAAAAGACGGCGACTTCTCTCAGGGCAGATGCATTCGCCTGCTGGTAAGGGCAAACACCAGCAACTCGTTTCTAGAAACAAACGAGGAAAAGCTTGTTGAGCATGTGCCCTCGTTTGTGGTATTTTTATTTTTTTTCTGCTTGGTTCCATTCCACTGTTACCTGGGTCCGGAGCTTGTGATCTTCCGCGCTCGTGTGTCCTGTCCAGTCCAATCTCGGCTGTAGCGCCCTTTTTTTCGTGCTGAGCCTTAGCTAGGTAGCAAATGTGGCCGTGCACTGTCGCGGGGCACCGCACCACACCCCACCAAAGGACGTATTCTTTGAGTAGGTCACTCAAATTTACTGCATGACTCCCAATAATTCTCACCAAAGTCAAGCCAGCGCGATTCCCCGATCCGCCCACGTCATCCCACGATCCCTCTCAACCTCGCCATCTCTGACGGAAAAGAGCCCGTGAAAACCTCCTGGTCCCGTCCAGAGAAGAACAAACGCCCGACCGATCGCGGATCCGACCCGCTTGCCTGAGCGCAATCGCTGCCGTTTACATCTTTCCTGATTGCCACCACACACAACCGCCAAGATGTCGTTAACAAACTGCCGGTTTTACGAGGAGAAGTACCCGGAGATTGACTCCTTCGTCATGGTCAACGTCAAGCAGATTGCCGATATGGGTGCCTACGTCAAGGTTAGCTGCTGCTTTGATGCCCAGTCCCGAAACCGCTCCGCTAATCATGCATCCTGAATAGCTGCTGGAGTACGACAACATTGACGGCATGATTCTTCTCAGCGAACTTTCCAGACGTCGTATCCGATCGATTCAGAAGCTCATCCGTGTCGGCCGAAACGAGGTTGTCGTCGTGCTCAGAGTGGACAAGGAGAAGGGTATGTGGCGCATCAGTTCTAATATCATGGGGAGCCTTTTTCCCTGCTAATATTTTTTTTTCGCCTGGCAGGTTACATTGATCTTTCAAAGCGCCGAGTGTCTCCAGAGGATATCGTCAAGTGTGAGGAGCGGTATAACAAGAGCAAGATGGTGCACTCCATCATGCGCCACGTTGCCGAGAAGACCCAGGTCCCCATTGAGGAGCTGTACGAGAGCATAGCCTGGCCCTTGAACAAGAAGTACGGTCACTCGATTGACGCCTTCAAGCTATCGATCACGTATGTCGCACCCATTTTTACAGAAGACCTTGTCTGGTGGAATACGCCTGCTGACTAGACGTTTTCTTAGAAACCCTGATGTCTGGAACGATGTCACTTTCTCGAGCGACGCCGTTGCTGAGGAGCTCAAGTCCTACATTGGAAAGCGTCTGACCCCTCAGCCTACCAAGGTCCGAGCTGATGTCGAAGTCACCTGCTTCGGTTACGAGGGTATCGATGCCGTCAAGACTGCCCTGCGAACTGCCGAGGCCAAGAACACCGAGGACAACCAGGTCAAGGTCAAGCTTGTGTCCCCGCCACTGTATGTCTTGACCAGCACATGTTTGGACAAGAACATTGGTATTACGCGCCTGGAGGAGGCCATCGTCGACATTAGAAAGAACATTGAGGAAGCCGGAGGCTCCTTGATTGTGAAGATGGAGCCCAAGGCCGTTACCGAGTCCGACGATGCTGAGCTGCAGGCACTGATGGAGAAGAGAGAGCGCGAGAATGCTGAGATTAGCGGAGATGAGGATGTTTCTGAGAGCGACGACGAGAACCCCGACACTATCTGAGCACCTTCAGCTTGGCGTAGACCCTCTACAGGGTCTGGTGGTCACGATAAGCATGTGTAATACACATTTCTGCAAATCAGTTCTGAAGATGAGATGGTTGGGTCATATGGCCAGAATTTTGAGTCGTCTCAGTTGAGTCTCACTCATTGGAGTCTAAAACAGCATGGATATAGATGCATGCCATTACGCTTATAAACCAGAGCAGGCAAGTGGCAGATAAATGAAAATCAAAATCGTGAAGAACTTACAACTCGTGATGTAATGACTGTGGATGTCAAAGTCTAGACCCTATGTGAAAAGTGCCAGGGATGCACGCTGTCAAGTTCCAAGGCAGTGAACAATGATTGCGCGAGCCAAACTTTTACATTAATTTTCACCATGAATGGCTCTCAATTTTGTGTGACTGACTTAGACATTTGTCTGTTATGGATTTAAAATGATTCATTCGCACACCTCGTTCGTTGCCAAGCCCAACCACAACGCAGCAAAGATCGTGCTCATAGCAGAGACGACTGGGATGAATATTAATGAGCGACATTTCTTTGTGACAAAATACACTGACTCTTCAAAACAATATGTAAATACCTAGAAGTCCTCAGACATTTGATATAGCGACTTGAGAATAGCGGCCAATTTATCAGATGGTAATAGCATATTACGCAAGTCATTTATAATGCAGCTCCTGGCTCCAGAAATAGAGGTCCAAGAAGATCTAGGCTTTTGCAAATCGACGTACACTCGGTCCTGAACTTGTTTTCTCCCCAAGCATACTCATCAATAAGCGGAGATCTTTTGCACGCAGCAGCCTCGTTGTATTACCCGGTCAAAACGCCACCCGGCGATCAAGGTCACCAGGCCCGGCTTGTTATAAGTTTTCTCTGTCTATAAATAGTATTTCACCTGTCAATGATGTCCTGGTTAAGGTGAGTTTAGGAAAAGCGGGACTGGAGTTCCCAGGGACGTGGTGTTGAGTGCTGGTTAATTAATATGGCTAAATGGCCATTCAGCTTCAGCAGCGGTCGAGCCGCCCGAACTGTGGGCGATGAGGTCGCAAAGCTGGCCACTAGTCATATTCGAGATTCTCGGAGATTGTAATGACTGAGAGGCTAGAGTTTGTAGCTCACTGCGCTGTATGTATCAAGGAGGAAAGTTCATGTAGGGTGGCAACGAAGAGGGCAAGCCAGGATAAAACGGATTCGAATATGTATAAGAGGATCGTTGGTTATCACATCACGGGAGAAGGATCGTGGCAAGATAGGCTCACTTGTACTTGCCTCGATAAGTCCTTCATACTTTGATTGCTACCCGGCCACACCAAAATCGATCAGCATGCATCACTCTACGCTTCTTCCGCTCATCGTACCTCTGGCCCACGCCGCCACGAATGCGATCAACGTCCGCGATGTTCCTGCATCGGTGCCTCATGTAGCGTCGATTCAATATTCTGGCTCCGGCTGCCCCTCCAGCGCACCGGGCGTCGACAAGCTAGGAGCGTGGGACGACCTCGCATTTCGGCTCAACAACTTTGAGGTCTCGCTACCCAACGCCGCAGCAAGCACCGAGAACTGCGAGGTCCACCTCCAAGTTACCGGGTGCTCGGCCGGCTGGCAGCTCGGTATCAAGGATGTCTATGTCCGGGGGCATCTCGTCCTCGACCCCGGAGCAGAATTGGATTTCTACGTGACCAACTTTTGGAGTCAAGATGCTGGCACGACTGTAAGTCCCTTTGTTTATTTTCTTCATCGCTGGGATAGTATAGTGGCAACCCGAAAGTTACTTTGACTGATCAAGAAGCGCAGTCCACCGTCAGAGGTGTCATTGAGAACACTGGCAACACTCGCATCGACGACATAGCCACGGCACACGCGACGATCCCCAATTCGCGGGTCGTCTGGTCGCCTTGCAGCTCATCTTCAGGCGACGTTGGAATCTTGAATGTCAACTTCCGAGCGGCGCTTCTGGCTGATGGCAACCAGTATGGCTACTTTGGAAAGGGAGGCGACACGACCCTGACTGAGAGCTATGGATATGTCTGGCGGAGGTGTTGATGAGTAAGCCGTGGGTACGATCAGCGGATTGTATACCTACATTGGCTTGTTCACTGAGTAGGAGTTGGTAGATATTGGGGTTAGAGTAGTACTTGTTGGTATTTGTACAACATTTTTGTTAGCGGCATTCAATCAATCGATCGTGACTGGTGTTGACTTATAAAATTAGTTGTGTCCAAATGTCTGATCTGCAAGGTTTGCGTGTGCCGCGAACACTTTCCACAACTGAGAGTGCCTACATGAGGGATTGGGGAAATCCGGTCGAGTGCATTCCATTTGCCTTTAGTCAAACAACCTTGAGCAACCACCTTGTCACAGCTCAGCACCCGGTAATCTATCAATGTAATATATGTAAGGGACGGGAAATAGTATAGGTCATTGTGCTTCAACCCAGACATGAGCACTGAAGATCAAACAGTCCTCGGCGCTATAAGAGACCAAAGAATTCTACCCACATAATACAAAGGTTGTGATATATCGACCAGTTGTTGTCCATGTAGTGTGCGTGGATTGGTGATCCTTTGGAAGGCAGATCTTTGTCAAACTCGTAATAGTCAAGTAGGCGGTGTTATGATCGCTGCTGCGGCGCAGTTGCTGGGTTATTGGTGACGTTTGTCAGGTACACACCTATCTTGAGAGTCACGTGCGTAAACTTAAACGTATTGAACTGATGTGCTGGTGCTGCCATCTGAAGCTACAGGCGTTGGCGTACAGATCACTGCTCTTCGAAACCCTGCCAAGGTCAAGTTTCACTGTTAGCGGGTCCCCGAAAGACGCTGTGGCCCCTTAAAGTCGCTGCACGCACTTGCTACCTACCTATTGATAGGCATCCGTCTATCAAAGTCGCCAACTTGTTTTCCAACCTTACCGAGACTGATACTACTACTCTCAAGTCTTTGACAATTTTTGAAGCTCAACCTACGGAATATCTGCCCGACCAGTCTCATTACCCACCAGTCGTCAAGATGGACAACTTCAAGGCTTTCGGCAACAGTCTGACGTATGTTCTTATCGTGCAGTGCCCCGCATTATGATTAAACGCCCAAGAAACCAGCTGCTGATTTGGCGATATCTAGCACTCTCGGGTCGCAGTTCACACCGTTTGCCACGCGAACCTTTCAGTACACCAAGGAGCAGCTTGGTCAAGCTGAGGACAAGGTGCGAAACAAGCCACAACCTTCTAACATCTCCCATTCCAAAAGTATATAAATGACTAACAGATAAACTATTAGACCCAGCTCCCTCCCGACTACATTGACCTCGAGAAGCGAGTCGATGCGCTGAAGCAGGTCCACCAGAAGTTGCTCTCCGTGACGACCCAGTACAACAATGAGTCCTATGACTACCCACCCAACATCAAGGAGACCTTTGGCGACCTTGGCCGAACTGTCAGCGAGAAGGTCCAGCTTCTTTCTACTGCCTCGACCCCCGCTGAAGCACAAGCTGCCCTGACCGCACCTCCCTCTGCCAAGCCCCAGCCCAAGACCTTCAGCCACGCTCTTGCGCGTGCCTCTCTCGCCGGCTCGCAGGTTCTGCACCAGCAGCACACCGGCGCTGGTGAGGACCCTCTGGCCACCGCGCTTGAGAAGTACGCACTGGCTAGCGAGCGTGTTGGCGAGGCCCGTCTTGCACAGGATGCCCAGATCCAAAGCCGCTTCCTGGCCGGATGGAACACGACCCTCAACACCAACCTTCAGTTTGCTACTCGCGCCAGGAAGAACGTTGAGAAGAGCCGCTTGACGCTGGACTCTGTCAAGTCTCGCGTCAAGGGTAACACATGGAAGATGGGCGCCAACCCCCGAGAGGAGCACCACAACGAGCAGGACCTTACCCCCGAGGCTCAGGAGGAGATTGAGAAGGCCGAGGATGAGTTTGTCACTCAGACTGAGGAGGCTGTCGGTGTGATGAAGAACGTAAGTGCTCCCTTGGACCATGTCTATGTGAAATGTGGGTTATTAACGTCGTCGTCAAGGTTCTCGACACTCCCGAGCCACTTCGCAACCTTGCTGAGCTGATCCAGGCTCAGGTCGAATACCACAAGAAGGCCTACGAGATCCTCAGCGAGCTTGCGCCTGTCATTGAGGGACTTCAAGTTGAGCAGGAGGCAGCTTACCGCAAGAGCCGCGAGAGTGCCTCATAGATGCTTTTGAGCCACTGATGATGAAAAGCTTAAGCCTAGTGAGGCTAGTGGATCCTTTGAGGGTATAGAAGGGAATGAGTGATACAAGAACTTGCCTCATGGCAACTAAGGAGGGTTCTGTTGGGTTTTGATATCGTCTTCGCAACCTTTCCATTTTCTGATTTGGGAGTTTCTGGCCATGACAGTGACCCTTACTGCCTTTTCGGGTCACGGGACATGAATGAATGGTCTTTGTTTGCTTTTTCACTTCGATCACGAAAGTAAAATTCAGTTATGGCATACCACCACGTCCAGAGCTACAGTTGTGTCTTTTTAAGAATTGTGTAGTGAATCAGCTAACTCGGAGGTCTAAAGATCAAGGATTCGATTACGGTGAACAGTTATGTGCATACTGGTCTTTAACCGTCTGGGAAGTATCCGAGATGCGCATGTGCCGCAACGAGGGATGCGGTAGTTTGTGCATGTCCATTACAGACATCCCAGCTTCTTCACAAAAACCAATATCAATATCACTGGTATTTCTCAAGTCACACAAGTTCAACGAGTTTTGTTCGGCAGATTTTTATGTATTGGGCTTTCACTCTAGGCTGGGCGATTCATCTTGGTCCTTGATGGACAATTTCCCTTGGTGGCGCACTGGCCAAATCATAGCTGCCCATTTCCTGATTGTCCTTTGCGAAGGGCAATCCTTTCACCACATGTAGAGAAGTCTTGACCGAGCTGCCTCTCGGAATCTCAAGTACTCACTCCTCCTCCATTCTTTGCCCTTTCTCTGCTGCTCAGAGCAGCTTACAAGAGATAGCCGTAGCAGTTTCTCAGAGTCCAGACAACAACATGGGTGCCAACATGAGCGACAATTGCCACGAAGCTGACCATGGCGGCCATGTAGACGAACTCGGGGCGAACGGCCCTGGCAGCGCTGGTGTCTAGTGAGTCGAAATGTATTAGCTTTTCAATGTTTCTCTTGATTGTGTGAGGGAGTGTGCGGATGAGCTGGGGGGTCACAGATGGGCATTTAATTTGTGGGACATGATATGAAAAACGCGGAATAAATCTTCGAGAAAATTTCTTCGACAAAGCAATGAAGAAAGCGAGAACACCATAGGGGGTTGGGGTTTTCGGTACTTACAAGGAGTCTGCGTGGGACGGTGGTAAGGACCTCCAGCAGTGCTGTGTGCGCCGCCACCAGAAACACCAGTAGCAAGAGCGGCAGTCTCATGGCCGGTGCCAGCACTACCACCGGTAGCAAAAGCGGCGGTGGCGTTGGCGACCCAATTGAACCTGACGCTGGTGGACTTGGTGTGGGGGACTATAACCTCGTCGCTAGTATTGTACTTGTCGGGCGTGGGAAGGGCATGGTGCTCCTGGCCGGCAGAGGGGGCGGGCTGGCCACGGGTGGAAGTCGTAGTGATCCACTGGGTGCAAACGTCGATGATGGTAGTGGTGCGAGTGGTTGAGGAAAGAGAAGTGGTGTACTGAAGATCGCGACCAATGATGGTGAGGGATCCGTTGCCGACAACGTGAGGCTCAACCTCAAAGGGGTGGACGATCTTGGGATGGACAGAGTTCTCAGGAGCGACGGTGATCTCGGCGTCGGCAGAGGTCATGGAGGCGCCAGAATCGAGAGTGACAGAGGTAAAGATGGCATCAGTGGAAGCGCGAATCTCAAAGTCGGACTCGGGGATCATGGGCTCGATCTTCTTGATGTCCTTGCCGGCGACGTCCTGACCAAGAACGGCGAGGACACACATGGCAGAGACCATGAGGCCGACGACGACGCGACCGAAAATGCCACGCGACTTCATTGTGCTGGCGGTTGGAGGATGTCTTTGGTTTTGAACGATCAGGTGAGATTGAAGAGTGAAGTTTGAGTGGGCTTGGGGATCAAGTACGAGCTTCGCAGAGCTTGGAAGTCGGCGAGAGAAGGTGACAATTGAAAGAAACTTGGAGCTGGGTCAAATGCTCGACAGAGATGGAGAAGCTTGATTCTGTACTCTGAGGGGCAGCACAGGAAAAAGGACAGCAGATTGTGTGAGTGGTGTGTTGTTGTGGTTTGTGTGGCTGCTTGGAACAGCAGTGGAATTATTTATGTCGGCGTTGGTGGACTCGACAATGCCTGGGCGGCGCGGTCAAGGCAGTCGCGTCGTCTGGGGGATAAACAACAAACGAGCGACAAGAGCTCACATGGAGATGCAGCTCCTTTACCTTGACAATCACCTGGTGTCCAAACAGCAAACGACAGTCGTCTCCCTCCTGTTCTGGCACATACAAAGCACCAGCTGGCACTCGGCACAGGATTGTGGATGTTGGTGCCTCTGAACAACTGCGAGGTGAATATTTGAACACCGTTATTCTCTTTTCATTGTGTATTCTAGATGATTGGACATATCCTGTACTTTCGCTTTGCATCTTGAGTGAGTATTTATTTGTACTCTTCCATTTTCGCTGACTATCACAACTTGTTGGAGTAGCAGTAGCAGAGAACTTGGCGAATTTCAAACGAAACCTGCCCCAAGGTATCGGAAAACCATTCCACCAATCCCGAAATCATTGTTGTGAATTTTTCTGTCTGTCGATGAGTTACCAACTAGAAATGTATTAGAATTTGCCTCATGATTAGATAGAACACCGCGGCATCCTAGAAGCAGGCCATGATACTCAGAGGCATCTCTTTCTCACACCATTCAGCCATTGAGTCTGCTCCAAGGACCGCATCTCAAGTTGACTTTGGTCCTGCTTCTAATACATCATTTTTTACTGTGCTGTTTGGTGTTAAAAGTAATGAGGCCGCATCAGGTCATATTAGTCATGCTCATAACAAATTGAACAGACATAACGAAAATTGTACATGTTAATGAGTTACTTATCCATAAACTAATATTACACAAATTAAAAAAATTCCATCATTGAGTGGAGAGAAGAGTAAATTCAACCAGATCATTCCAAAACCTCCATTCAAAACCATGGGGTCATCGGGTATTCGACGTTAGAACCACTCCAATAATCCGGCCGCCAAGCCGGCCCCAACGCCGACAAACACCCAATGGCCCCACTCGCCGCCGCCGATCTGGTCCCGGCTCACGAAGCCGTCGACAATGGCAATCGGCAGCGAGGCTAGCATGGTAAGACCAAGGGTGCGGCGGTCACCGCGGGCCCAGACCACCACCATCATGAGGCCAAGCCCAATGTCGCGGCCGCCGTACATGCGCAGGAGAGACCGCGACAGCTTCTGACCCTCGGGCTGTGGAGGTGCAGAGAATCCTAGTACTGTTTCCCCAGTAATGACAAAAGTGTACAAAGTCAGCATGTTTCTTCTCATTCCTCCTTCTTTTCTTTCGAGGCCTCTGGGTCGTGCTGAGGCTGAGATGGAAAAACAACCGCGGCATCACATCAGAAAAATGCAGAGTATGCTTACGAGACAAGGCCGACGCTGGGCGGAGAATGGCATTGATCCCAATCAGTGTCGGTAAGACTCCAAGGACAAAGGTTGTGTTGGCACAGTATTCGACCAATCGTGGACTAGACAGCGCCATGATTTCACTCTTGCTTGGGACTGCTGACAAGAGTAGTTCTTTGCGATGATCAACTGGAACAGACAAGGTATCTGAACAAGCACTAAGAGCCTTTGGTTATAATCGCTTCAGGTGGCAGAGTAGTTTGAAATATATTGAAGTAAAAGGCTTGTTTGGAAAAGTTCGGTCTTTACTTGAGTCATCTGTGGAGGTTCAGCCGTGAAGTCAAATTAAGCGCTAGCTGAGACATTATGTCACCGAGGTAACTCGATAATAGCACATCCATTATAGATGTGTAGCAAATGCAGCATGCACTTACCAGTCTTGATTGGAAATTCATATGAACTTGCTTCTTCTGCTTTTCCCAACTTCAACTAATGTTCTTTCTTGTATTAAATGTCATCTGCAATAGTGTTGATGATGCTGAAATGCAAGTGACTGGATATTAGCAGTCAATCATGCAATGACCAGTTTCCTCCGGAGCGAATTCCTTACTTCAAGCATGAACAGGGCATTTCTGGAGCACGGATAACAGGACGCTATTTGTGTAAATCAGAATGACAATCTCTGTATTTTATTACAATTTACAATATTAATAAATCGCCATTGGAGTCTTGTGCAGGCATCATGACCTGTTGTGGCGCGTATTGATTTACCACGTAACCAGCCTCTGTACCGTTACTGCCTCCAAAAGCATCGCTCGCCTCGTGAATATTCATGGCCGCCATCTGCTGGGAACCAATTCCAGCAAAGAAAGCATCGGCATCATTAGTTGCTTGAGCCATGTCGCCATTCTGGCCATTCTGACCTGGCTGGCCATTGAAATTGTTGTCAAATCCAGCCAAGCCGCCGTTGGGATTCGTCCGCACGACTGCTGGCTGGTCACCCTTGCCGAACATGCTGAGGTGCTTCTGGTTCTCGAAACGAGGCAGATTTTGAGATGTCGGCAAGGTATGCTTCTGCAGAGCAGGGCTGTCTTGTAATTTCCTTGGCCTGGCCGATCTGAAGACTGTCTGCACTGGTTTGAGATAGATTGTTGCAAGTGTGCCAACATTGAGGCACATTTCTTCCAGGGTTTGTGGATCCAGCTTCTCGGACTCGGCTGTAATGGCAGGCTTCTCACCCATGACAATTGTCTTGGCAACGTTCATGTCGGTCGACAGCAAACGCCAGTACATGTATGCCCGGTCGCGGAGATCTGGATTATCAGTCTCCTCAGTCGCCCACTTGAGAACCTTTGGAACAAGATCCTGGCCCTTGGTTGGTCGTTGAATGAAGAGCTTGACAGTTGCGGTGAGCAGAGCGAGTTGAACCTCAACAGGCTCCTCGGCAAAGGAGTACAGGAAATCCTCGAGAAGCGCGTCCGAGTTTTCGATGCGATCCGCGTATTGTCCTATCACCCATACCATGGCCGCCTTGGCTTCAGGCTCGTCGAGCGAGTCTAGATGCTCGCAAAGTGTTCCAATAATGGATTCGTATTGGTTGGGATATTTCCTGAAGATGTTTCGGATCACCACAGTCGCCTCTTGTACGATGTATGGGACCTTTGTGGCGACGAGCTCAAGGAGCAGATTAATGCACCTCCGCGCAGCAGGCTCAATCTTAATGGCCAGCTTTCCGATGGCGCGCACTGCTTTCCGCACAAAGTGAACGTCCACCTCGGTAGCATATTCACGTAGTTCCGTCAGGACCTCGTCAATGTTCTTCTCAGTTGCAAGCATGAAGATGAGCTCAAGCTTCGTGACCTTGACATAGATCGGGTCATTGTACTTGCAGAAGAATACGCGGATATCATTCCTCAAGATGTCGGGTCTCCTTTGCAATATGAGCAGTGCATTTCGGAGGGCAAGGTATTGTACCTCGGGACCTTTTGCTAGAAGTGTCACCAGCGGTGGCGAAAGTTTCCGGCATAGTGCAGAAACATGCTTTTCGTCGGCAATATAATTCATCAGATAGAGAATTACACGAATGCACGTCAAAACGACTGCTGAATTGGAATGTGAGAGTCGAGGAGCGATTCTTTCTGCCAAAAGTGTGGCTTCAGCGCTGTCTTGAGGAACATACGACATGAGCGCCTCCAAGATGTACGTTTGGCCCCATCTGCAAATAATCAGCTATTACACTCTGCTTTGGTCTACAGAAAAAAACTTACTCAGAGCAGTCCGCCAGAATGGCAACCATTTTTGATGCATTATTATAGTCGATTGTGAGCTTGATAGCATCACTCCTTTCCCATATGTCCATTAGTCCAGCGAGTGCGCTGGCTACGACGGTGGGATTATCATCCCTGAGCAATGAGTTGAGCCGTTCTATCAAGTCAGATCTTTCAACCATATGTCTATCGTGATCATAGAGTTTTGAGACACAGAAAGCAGCTGTTTTCCGCACATATGGATCCGAATCTCTGAGAAGATGCTTCACCAGAGGAACCGTGGCTTCGACAAACTCTTTCACGTGAACATACGACATGGTTCGGAGTGCCAGCGCCCTGACCAGTGGATTCGTATCTTGCATATCCTGAACAGCATGTGTCAGCGCAGCACATTGGCGCCATGCGGAAGCATTGGATATTCACCTGTTCCAAGACTGGTATCGCCTTGACTGCGATCTCTGGCTTCATTCTCGAATAGTTGACCAAAAACAAAAAGCACCTGCACTCGTCTATTAGTCTTCCAATTCTCTGAAGCGCATGTATAAGGTGGACGACTCTCACATCTTCTTGATCTCCAAGCTCTGTATATGCATGCATGCGATAATGTCTGGAAATAGCGAGACCATCTCGTTGTTGCTCATGGTCATATTTGCGACAATCTTCTTGAGTGCGATCTTCTTCTGGGTGAAGTTCTTATCCTTCTTGCTCCCACTATTGAGTTCGAGGCGCAACTCGGCCACCTTGCCCTGCATTGTCAAAGGACGTGAGTAATAAGTCGGCGCTGCGGCGTATGCGAGAAACATGATTGCGATATATTGAGCGTTGTGGGGAGGAAAGAATCATGGTGAAGTGTCGTGGGATAGGTGAACCGTGAAACCAGCTCGGCGCTGGTCGTACGAGTATACAACGACACAGTCTGGGGGAAACTCGTCGCTGTAGATCAAGAGTGAAAGATGTGCAGGGGCAGATCAGGTTGGATTGCGGGCATTATGGGGTGATGTATGAACGAGGTTGCATGATGCAGAGCGGCGTCGTCGAATGTCTCGGGAGGAGTGAATTAGGAGGATTGCTTACCCGAGCGAAGAGCTTCGAGTCTCCGCCACCTTGAGCGGTCGCCATGGTGGTGGTGGTGCTGCTGCTACTGCTGGTGGTGGTAGTGGTGGTGTAGTTTTGACGACCTTAAGCTACGCAGCTGTCAAGGTTTCTTTCCTGCTTCACAACGTTCCCGTCGTGTCTCGGGTGCTTGGTGTGAGTCTTGCCGGGGGCGCAAGCCAGCTGAGCACTCGATCGGAGGAGGGTCTTCGAATGCGGCTAGCGACGAGGAACAAGGTAATGTGTAACTGGTGTCCAGCTTCTGCCGACCAACAACACCCTGTGATGAGGAGGAGCCAACCAGCCTTTGTAGATGCAAGTTTGTCCAATCGAAAACAGCTTCTGGACCTTCAATGGAGGGGTGAAGGGGACTTGGGGACGTCGTCGCAATGCGTGGCACTTGGAGATGCCCCAGCAGTCGCAATTATCGGATGGCTCGGCGGCAGAAATATCTTGGTTGGAGCGCGGGTAGCAAGCGCTCTCCCTTTTGGTGTTGTGAGAAGCAATTGTCCTGGTTATTACAATGTTGAATTATTGGAAAGTCATTGAATGAATGCCGGAGATGTCGCGCTCCACCAAAGACGGCCGTTGATTCCGACCCCCTGAGGGCCCCGTTCATCTACCCACGCGAAATCTCACAGGAAACAACTTGGACCTGCTTTGTCAGTGAATCCCTGCAATGCTTCGGCTGCTGCTTGGGCCCTCTGGCTCCTCTCTGGACAGCTGGGATGCTCACTAGCGTGCACGGCTCAGCAGCATGCCAGAGGGTCGAGAACAACCATTACAGGCGGCGGCGAGCGGCTCTTTACTGTGGGCCGCGACCCCGGTGGGGAAAAACGTGGGCGGTCTCCCGTCCCGCTGGTGCTTGACAGCTTGCGCTTGGCCTGACTACCACGCAAGCTGCCTTGCCTGTTACCTACTACTGGATGCTGCTTTGATTGACTTCAGATCTGCCACTTGGTGCTCTCGACTGTGTCAGCCTCGTCGTCCAAACTCACCCTCACGCTCTCAATCTATTCCGATCCAATCTTTCGGCTTCCGCAGCTTCAAACGCACCGACAAGCCACTTCGTTGTCGAGTAATTTTCATCTACAATGGCAGCAACGACAGTGCCTACATGGGTCGCCGATCTCACCAACCCACCACCGGCCAAGTCCAAGAACGCCGGTATCCCTGATCCGCCGGGGTTCGCATCGCAGGCTGTTGGCAACAAGGTTCGTGGTGACTTTCTCACCGGGCTGCGACTCGGCAGTCGTTGCGCTCCTCCTGGGTCAACATCGCTGATAGGCAAGATAGAAACAAGCAAGCAAGACTCCTGCCAGAACACCGCCCACTCAAGAGGAAACGGATACGCTTAAGCTCAAGAAGGCTTGGGAAGTTGCTCTGGCACCTGTCAAGCAGCTTCCCATGACGGCAATCATGATGTACATGTCGGGCAACTCTTTACAAATCTTTAGCATCATGATGGTCTTTATGGCATTCAAGAACCCCATCATGGGAATACTAGGAACAAATCAGGCATTTGAGCGTTTCGAGAGTGATGGCAACAAGGGGAAAATGCTGCAAGCAAAGCTTTCTTATGTGGCAATGCAAGTCGTAGCACTGGCGTTGGGCATCTGGAAGGTGAACGCAATGGGCCTCTTGCCGTAAGTCGATCATGTTAACTTGACACTTTTCTGATGGTTAATAATTTTTATAGTACTACGAGGTCAGACTGGCTTGCTTGGGAAGCACAACGGGACCCTTTGGAACACGCAGTAGTCGGTCTCTGATTTTTCAGCCTGTGAATGTGCTACGAAACCGTCCTCTCCCTCGATCTCCGTCAATTTTCGGTTCAGCAATAGCTTGGATACTAGCGTTAACTCGCTCCCAACAGAATACCCTCCAAAGAATCATGACACCCTGTAGCAGACTCGGTGTTCATCGCGAGTAAATAAGAAATAATTTGAGCATATCTAATGACTCCCTTCTTCCTCGTCATACTCATTAGAGCTCGACCGAAAGCTGTGCCTGAGGCCATGAAATGGTTCTTCGCTCATTCGCTGATTAGTATACGTCGACATTGCTGAATCGCTGTATGGTGTCTGCCGCTGGACATGACCATTGTTCTCGAGCGTTTGTTGACGTCTCGTCCACGGGCGTTTGTTATCGACATCATCACTGGAGCTTACCACCGCTGCCGCACCAACAGAAGCCAAGGTTGCGGGTGGCGGCGATATTGCACGATCAGTCCCAGGGGAAACCAAGCTGCTAGGTTGATTGCGACACTTGGTAGAGATGCGCTCATCAAGGCGTTTCTGCACTTTTCCCTCCGTCAACTGCTCGATTTGACTTTCATCTTGATTGTTTCGTCCGGAGTGACTAGCAGACTGATCCGGCTTCAGCTGATGTCCCAAGTGCAAGATATACTCAAACAGGGACGCTTACGTCGCTCTGGGCTGTCGTGTTTATTTCGTTGATATCCTCTTTCGCCATGTTGTTGAGTACTCAAAATGATGGTAAGTATATCTAGTTACTGGCACTTCTGGTGTCGGCATCGCTAGAGTCTACTTGGTCCTTCTCCTGCATTTGATAGATTTGAGATAAGCATTGACGTTCCCAAATTTAATGTTGGCATTTGACAAGGCAGGTTTCCTTGGTGTGACTGCTCTGCCAGATCTTATACTCTCGAACGTCCTTACTAGGGAGCCGAAGAACTTCCTCACGGCCATTTGCAGTCATGTTCAGGTGAACCACGTGATACTACAACTGTTTGAATAATGCGGCCTGAATCAAGATCTGTTTAAACTTGAAGCAGATAGCGTCATCTTTGACAAATACAGCTTTCATGTTGTACATGCTCATAATGCTCAAGATACCCCTGGAGCCTCAAAAGTTCTCTGCCTACCATTGAGTAGCACACCTCGGTTATGCTACAAGAGCCGCTCGAACAGCCTCAAGGCGAATTCTCTCAGTCTTACAAGGGGTCTTACAAGGCAGTTGTCTCAAGATCATTGGACAATGTTATAGAAACTTCTGGGTTATTAGATGTGCAAGTGCTTGGAGACAAGTGCCTGGCCATCCTCAAAATGATGCCTATTATGGAACAAGATTGATTGTGATGCTGTCCGGCAATGTCGTGTTACTGAAGAACATGCATACCAGAAGTCGTCAGGTCTATCAAGGATACATCTCGAAATGCTTCAATGACGTATGCTGTAGGGTCGGAGAATGACGTATGAGGCTCCGTTCTGAGAGTATCGGTTTTACTTTGGCGTTTCACCAACAGTGAGCCGACCTTTAGGAGCAAAAGATTTACTTTGGATTTCTGAGTTGAATCATGTCTTTGCATACCTTATATTTCACCCCTCACCATTGATGACTCGAAGGTAGAGCGGGTTGTCTCATTACCCAGTCCAAACATGATTATGCCTAGATTATTGTATTGTAATCAGTCAATCACTCACGGCTGGCTCAACTGAGTAAATTCCGCAGTTAGTATTTTGGCAGGTCGCCCTCGGGTGAATCTGGTTACCAGTCAGAAGCATAGTAACCTCTTTCCGCATGGAATTGCCTAGAACTTGTGAGACTGTGCAAACTGCAGTAAAACCAAAGGAGCCAAGCCCTTATACAAAGGGTCATTGCATGCCTTGAAAAGAGGCAACCCAGATACTATATGCAGGGTGCCCATCTCGGCAGACCAATTCCTTCTGAAGCAAGTCCTGCCAGCCATTTATATACGATGACGAGGGATAACGTTGGCTAGCACTGTTACTTGGAGGTTTCTTACACATTGAAGCATTTTAGTTGCTATCTTCATATTACAATATTAAAGGTGGCAATCTGTCTTGAATTTTCTGTAGTGTAATACCAATTTTGACCGGAACGTGCTATATTTTCATTTATACTAATTTTATTCTCAAAAATGAGCCATGACTGGTTCGGCAACATACGTCTGCAGAGGAGAGGGGGTTCGGATTCCACATGATTGCCTCGAGGTCCTAGGAGTCTATGATAATCAGACGTGCCATTGCATAAAATATGACAAGTGATATTTGAAATGCTTTGGATGTCTGTTTTTGGGCATGTGCCTACGTGTGCAACCACAGTTGCGTTATGATAGGCGTAATGAAACCAGGCAACTTATTTTTTGAAAAGATTGTTCTGTAAGCTACCTGCCAATGTCGAATATATTGCCAAGTTACTTGATTCTTAGATGATACTTTTGTCCAGGGCTTTAAAGACTTTGAATTCAGACCTACATACATACAAAGTATAATACAGTACATGCTGTGACTTACAGGAGGTGAAAGGCCCACAAGTAATGTACTAGGTATGACGGTTTTCCCAGGGTCCTCAAGCTGCGGGACAAGCAGGAAGTTACTGGCTCCAAGTGCATCCCCACCATGCCAAATAGTTACTACATACTAGGTTTAGGTGGGAGGCACATGTCCATGAAAGGAACGCCTGAAGATCTGAACATGATAATTCCATCTCCAACCCACCTTTCGACTTGGGGAAACACAAGCACGGCCGCGGAGACGATTGCGCTTCTAATCACTGTAGTTTGGCCTTGCCCCCTCCACCTCCAAGGCGCCAGACAAAGCGAGACAACAGACTCTCATGCCGGGCGGGGTCCGCCAATTCCACACTGTTGCCATTGAAGAGCGCGTTTGTCGATCAAATGACCCGTCGTCCTAGCTAGTATTCTGTTGCGTAACAGCCCAGTTCCTCCAAGTTGTTGCTTGGTCCCTCCGGCCCAATGAATTTTGAAGCAGCAGAAGCAGAAACAATGACGGCTGGGGATTCTGCTGAATTCGGCACCTCCAAGGCCAACACTAGCCAGAACAACGGTCACCCCGACGGCCCTGGCGGCCCTTCCCACAGCGCTGGCAGCGATGCCGTGTACTTGGGCGAACGAGAGTCGTCCCCCGAGCCCGTCTTTCCTCTTTTGCAGAACAATACTAGCAGCGAGACCCTGGCGCAGAAGGTTCAGACCCAAAAACGCACCGTCGAGGATGACACCGACGAAGAACCTGCCGTAGCCCAGCCCTTTGTCCGCACTCGCAGTCCCGACCCCTCGAGAGAAGATATGCCGCAAGAAGACGAACAGACCCAAGCGCGGTCGTTTTACAAGATGCACAAGTTTACGCTTTACGAGACAGCCAGCCGGTACTATATCGTAGGCGGAGATGTGACGGAGAAGCGGTACCGCATCCTCAAGATTGATCGCAACACTCACGACTCGGACCTGAACATTGTCGACGAGAAGATTGTATACAGTCAGAAGGAGATGGCCGGCATCTTGGATACTATTGACGATGGCAACAAGGGCACTGGCGGGATAAAGCAGCGCTGTACCACGTGGGGCCTCCTCGGTTTTATCAAGTTCACTGGGCCGTACTACATGCTGCTCATCACCAAGAAGAGTACTGTGGCCATGATTGGCGGCCACTACATTTACCAGATTGACGGCACAGAACTGATACCACTAACGCCACCCAAGTTCAAACCAGATATCCGCAACACGGAAGAGTCGCGCTTTCTGGGCATTCTTAACAACTTGGATCTGACAAGGTCGTTCTACTATAGCTACTCGTACGATATCACCCGAACCCTACAGCACAACATTACAAGGGAGCGAATTGCCCTTATAAATGGCTTGCCTGGAACTACCTATGAAGATCCCAATCCAATGTTTGTGTGGAACAACCATTTGCTTGAGCCAGGCAACGAAGCCCTGCATGAACCGTTTGATTGGTGCCGGCCCATTGTCCATGGTTATATTGATCAAGCTGCTGTGTCGATATACGGGCGGACAGCTCATATCACCGTGATTGCAAGAAGATCTCGCTTCTTTGCCGGCGCCAGATTCCTCAAGAGAGGCGCAAATGACGTGGGATATGTCGCGAATGATGTTGAGACGGAGCAAATCGTGTCAGAGTCGCTTACCACGTCATTCCACTCGCCAGGTCCCAAATTCTTTGCCAGTCCTCAATATACTTCGTATGTTCAACATCGAGGCAGCATTCCCCTCTACTGGACGCAAGATAACATTGGTGTTACCCCCAAACCGCCAATAGAGCTTAATCTCGTGGATCCTTTCTATACTGCTGCAGCACTGCATTTCGATAATCTTTTCGAGAGATATGGCTCACCCATATATGTCCTGAATCTTGTCAAGGCGAGAGAGAGAACGCCCAGAGAGTCAAAGTTGCTCCACGAGTACACAAATTGCATCAACTACCTGAACCAATTTTTGCCAGATGAACACCAGATCATCCAGAAACATTGGGACATGAGTCGAGCTGCTAAGAGTCGCGACCAAGATGTCATTGGCACACTAGAAAGCATTGCCGAGCACGTAGTCACCACGACGGGATTTTTCCAGAATGGAGACGGTGTCATCTCGCCCACTCAAGTCCAAAACGGCGTGGCGAGAACAAATTGTATCGACTGTCTTGACCGAACCAATGCCGCACAATTCGTTATCGGTAAGCGTGCTCTCGGTCATCAGCTCCATGCTCTCGGCATACTTGAAGACACCTCGATCGAGTATGACACGGACGCCGTCAATCTCTTTACTCACATGTACCATGACCACGGCGACACCATTGCTGTGCAGTATGGAGGATCTCAACTGGTAAATACCATGGAGACTTACCGCAAAATCAACCAATGGACCAGTCACTCGCGTGACATGATTGAGAGCTTCAAACGCTACTATAACAACTCCTTCCTGGATAGCCAGCGTCAAGAGGCCTACAACTTGTTCTTGGGCAATTACATATTCGCCCAGGGACAGCCAATGCTGTGGGATTTGTCGACGGATTACTACTTGCATCACACGGACCCCAGGGCATGGCTCGAAAAGGTTCCCCATCACTACATTCGCTGGTTTACTCCAAGATACCTGCAGAAGCGCATGCTTCCCAACTATGTTGAGCCAAGGGGTCCGGGCAAACTCAAGCAAGTTTCATTTTACGACGATTACTGGCTAGAATACTACAGACCGTCGACTCTGTCGTCATTCCTGAAAATGTTCCCCTACAAGATGAACTCGACCATCAAGTACATTCCTTTGAAATCTACTCAGGAGGGCCGGTATGACCTCAGTCCATTCCGCGTCCGGACCGAAAGTGACGCTGAAGTCCACGAGAGAAAGAAGACATCAAATGCCAGCAAGAAGGAGGTCACCATTGTCGACCCCCACACTCCTCGCAAAGGCAAGGCAGATGAGGCAGATGCACACGCGGCTGAGCGCACAAATAGTCGTGGTATTTCCATTCAACGCTGGTTGCAGCCTGTATCACTAGATAGCAAGCCTACGGTACCCCAGGGCATCATGAAGGAAACCACTGGCAATGCTGCGGTGCCTCGCAAACAGACGCCACAGGAGAAATCTACGGCGGCGCAGTGGACTTTCAAGAGCATGGTTCATGAATCGCTCAACCCCTCCGTTGATGCGCATGACACGGACGAGTATCAGCGTTACATTTCACATCCGCAATCGCTACCTTTGGTCGTCTCCAACGAAGCACCTGCCGATGTCGACGCTTCCGAGTATACAGAGTATCTAAACGGCAGCTGGCAGACGGACGGTTTGGCAGATCATAACAACACGGTGCCAGAGGAGGACGTTAATGCATTCTGGGACTTGTTTAGGATTGGTGATAATCCCTTAACGGTCACGGAAGAGGATCTGCCCAAGAAGAGGTACAAGGCCTACGGCAAGTGGCTGAGAGGCAAGAGCCTTTTCAAACAGCAGCCTGTCGATTAGGACTCGACGGTAGCAGATGCGTTCCAAACACCCTTGAGTGCTACATTCGAGGAGTACCCATATCTCTAAGCAGCACTAGGATGAATCTTGGCAGACGTGAAAAGATCCGCAAGCAGAGGCTCTTTCTCGACCAGCGGAGAGACGGTCTCGGAGAGGAGAACCATTTCATTTTCCAGGATCTTTGCGAGAATCCCAGTTGTCTTCGACAGCGCAGTTTTCAAATCCTCTTTGCTAGGGGAGCCGCTGGGGAATGAATCCTCATCCTCGATATGGAGGTAACAAGTTGTCAAGATGCGGATGATCTCGGTGCCGTAACAACCAATACGTGGCCAACAGCACCGCATAATGGTCTGAATCAGTTGATTAGCGGCAAGCAAAGCAGGTGGATATTTGGTGCCAAAGGGCTCCGTCATGATTTCTGCCACCATGGGAAGCAAGTTCTGAGTAGAGTTGTCGTTAGCATTGCATCATTTGGAGTTTTGTAGCGTTTTTGTTGTTTGATAGCGTAGAGCGTAATGACGTAAAGTGGGAACGAACCTTGAGATGCTTCACAGATAGTATACCCATGCCATTGACAATAGACGTTGCTTTGTTGCAGAAGAGCTCTGTCAGTCGAATGTGCTCGTTTGCGTGGTGATACCCGACCAGTAGACCTTGCCGAATGATTGTATCCAGCATTTTCCTCTGTGCTTCTGTAAACTCTGGCTGCTTCACGGGCTCGCCGATAACGTTTTCGGGATAAGGCAAACCGGCAATTTGGAACAGAGCAGGATACGCGACATTTAGTATCCGAATCGATTCGTCCTCGGGGGTCAGGGTGGGCAGAAAGAGCACGGCGGGAAAGATGGCCTGCTCAAAGACGTTGGCCAGACCGACCCTGGCCATGAGACCGGGCGGGCAGCGTGCCCAAAAGGCGCTGAAGATGCGCATGGCGCGCACCTTGACGTCGGTCCGAGCTTCATCGAGCAGCGTCAGCAGCACGGGAGTGAAGAGGTGCCAGTGCGCCGCTAGCAAGTCCTGATTCGCGTGTTCAACGGCCCATGCAAACACGGTCACGGCGTAGGCGTGGGCATACTTCCACGGTTTAAGCTCGGCCTCGGTCGGGCCATCGGGCGCGGCGCCAGCGTACCGTGCCGGCTCGACAAACTCGGCCTTGCGACCTGACGCCGTGACGGTGGCGGGGCGAGACCGGGAGAATAGAGGCCGCAGAAAGGTCGTCAGAATGGTCGAGGTGATGAGCGTCTCTTTGGCGCCGGGTCTATCTAGGGCCGCGGCCAGGATTGTTTGCGCCAATGTTCCTGCGGCCTGTGTCGTCCATGGGTCCTGCGGGTTGGTAAATGCCGTTGTGGCCACAAGGACCTTGGGGTCCAGCTTTGCCTTGTATGTGCCTTGTAGGGATTCCAGGATAGCTAGTCCGACCTCACCCTTGGAGGCGATGGGTTGCCATCTCACAGAAGCTGTTATAAACAGGTCAGATGCATAACTCCTTGGTATACACACACACAAGTAATGGTATCGCTCACTACTGTCAGAGTCTGGAGCTATCGGTGCGATGCTCTTTGTGACATGACTTGCAATCTTGTCAAAGACTTGCTGATCATTCTCAAGTCCAGTCTCTAGTTGGTCACTTTTCAAGCACACGAGCAGTGCTCTCAGAAATTGAATGTCGCCCTGTGCAGTATTAGTTTTCGCTTGGCTGTGTAATGAAGAGATGCAGAGATTTTAATGGAATATTTACCGAGTGGTCCGGTGCTATGACATTGCGAAGAAGATCCTCGAGTTGGAATTTGTGAGGGAGGGCTAGGAAGGTGTCAGCTGTTACTGATCAACTCTGGGTTTGAGGTTTTAACTCGGCACACATTTTGCCAGCTCGCTCACCACGTTTGGTGAATCGTCTGTCTCGCGGATTCGGCCCGAGGCTTTCAATAAAGCTTCAAACATGTCGGATTCGGTAGCCATGATCGATATCCATGATTCGAGACGTCTGGTGTGTAAGTGGACTGGTGTCGCAGGTGCTGATAAAGTATCAAAAAGGCATCGAGTGTGACGAAGGTGTAGCGTGGATTAGTAGAGGTTCTTGTCAAGAGCCACAACTGACGCCAGCCACTACCTGAGGTGAGTAGTAGGTCATGTCATTACACCAAGGTACCCAACCTAGCGTTCTTAGGTCCCGTCTATAGCTCCCGTTCAGGGCACTGCCCGCCTAGAGCTCAAGTAACTAGAAGCGCCACTGAAGCCAAAATCTAGCGCCAATAGCCATCTCTGTAAATCAACATGATCCTACAAACTATTGGTTATATTTCACGTTTACAGTTCTCTGTAATAAAACGTTGGACTTGCATCTGAACTATAGCACTTTATATACAGCCTTGGATTAAATCGTATTTAGAGACATATTAAATTTTTTTTTTTTCCTCGCTTTTTTTTCCCTATAATTTTGAACTAATGCATTTGAGACCAGCGAAATATTCTGCATTGCAGCAGCTATGCAAGATCGGACGGTCGAATTGCCAAAATCAGCTGTCTGGGATCGGTTTACGTCCGAATACACAATGTCTAATCATGATAATTGTAAGCCGAAAAGAGTACAGTCGAGGCGAGAAGTGTAGCAACTTACATCCTGAGATAGAAATGGATATTGGTATTCCCAACTTCTAGTTTGGCTGCCTCGATCAGCTCGTCGATTTCACCGTCGCTGAGCCCAGCAAAGCCCAGGACTTTGCGGTAGGCGTCCAGGGCCTGGACTATGATGCTGCCAGTGAAGATTCCCAGATGCTTCATCTTTGGTTTGCGCTTCATCCATCCATTTCCCGGAACTGGAAATGTCTTTTCTTGCACGTCCACGAAACCGACGCTCTCGAGATGGGACTTTAGGGATTGCAGATTCAATACCGTATCATGGCCATTGCGAGCAAGACCCTCGAGGACGCACTGTGACCATCGTTGGATTGCTGTACCCTCTAGACTGCCATTGGGGCTGTGCAGCTCCCAGGAAGAATCCTGAAACTCCAGCCAAGCTCCAGGATTCATATGGTCGAGGCTTCTTCTGAGTATTGTGGTCACATCATTCAATGATACCAGCATACTGCGAAGGTGGATATAGTCGAACAGCTGAGGAAAGACCCAGTCGTCTTCCTCCGAGTCCTCCACAACAAAAGTCACATTGGGTGCAATGGATGGCTGAATGAGACTGAGCATTGTTTCCTGTCAGTCAACAACACCTGGTTTTTTTTTTTTTTTTGAAATGATCTGGCTCGCTCACCTGAGATCTGTACCAATGACTTCCGAGGTTGGATTTCTCTCGGCAAACTCGTTGGCCCATGCGCCCGTCCCCGTCCCGACGTCGAGAACAAATGCCGGGGCCTCGTTGCATACTGGCGCAAGGCCCAGGGCGTCGTCCAAGACTATCTTCCAAAGAACGTGCTGCATATCCAGCCTGGCTTGTTCCTCGCCATCGTTGGGTAGGGAATATGCTATAGGTGCCGTTACTATATAGCTGCAAGACATGAAATTGCAATTTGACGGATTACATACTTCCGGCCATATACCCATGGTAAGTTCGGCGCCCTTCGGCTACAAACCCATATTGATCTGTAATCGTCGGAGCATTTCTGTGCCAAGACTGTTGAGACGAACTCGATGCGCAACTGTCGCTCAGATCTCCCGAATCGACGTCGTCGTCCAAGTTTGGGCGGGGACTTTCGCCCGTATGTGAGGTTGGGGTTGGCGATGGAGGCATTTCCTGCCCTTTTCAAATTGGTGGAGGGGGAATGGGATTACTGGATGTGGATGATCGATCACCATGCTGGGTCCCATCAATCAATCGGGGGCGGGGGGAAATTCCATCTTTGTGGGCAGATATCCCCTTGTTCATGGACATGGATATACATATCTAAGGTTTGGCAGCTAAGCCCGCCTGGGTTATGGTCAAAAGAGAAACTCCATCAGAAAATATCTCCCCCTTTCCCAGCTGAAAGAGTGAAGGAGGGGGGAGAGAGAGAAAGCAAAAAAAGACTCAGCTGGGAATACATCAAACTCCTACTCTACATTGGCAACTTCTTACCCATATATCCTTACCTTGTGTGCAATGGGCGGCGCTCTTTCAAAGCCGGATCCCGCCGCGACCCTGCAGGTCGTAGGTGCAGGGTACTCCAGGACAGGAACGAGTTCCTTGCAGCTCGCATTGGCAAAGCTCGTTGACGGTCCAATCTACCATGGTGGCACGCAGATCTGGATGAGTGGAGATGACGGTACGTTGCATTTTCTACCCAAACAACCCGCAGACATGACGAAAAATCTCGGTTGCAATATATACTAGTACTATAGGAAAAACGCGACTAACAAAGGTCAAAGCTCGCGTCAAGTTATGGGGACTGGCCTGTGATGCCAAATTTGTCGATCACGACAGACAACGCACTCTGAAACTCGTCAAGGAAGCGACCAAGGGCTTTTCCGGCCTGGTCGACATTCCCTGTATCTTTTTCGTCTCGGAGCTTGTCGAGTTGTACCCAGAGGCCAAGTTTGTCCTCAACACACGAGACCCCGAAAAGTGGTGGGAGAGTTTCGGCAACCTGCTAGGCCATGTCCCGGGATACTTTACGATTCTGACGGCCCCGAGTCCGGGTATCCGATGGATTCCCAAGATTCTGCGGGCTTTCCAGATTCAGGCCGATGAGCTCCTACGTGACTCTGGACGCAAGCCTGGAGAATATGGGCCTGGTGAGCAGCACGCCGACGTACTGATGGCAGAGTTTTTGACTGACATTTTGCATAGAACTGCTCGTGACCTTTCAAGAATCTGTGATCCGAGAGGTGCCACAGGATAGACTGTTGATCATGGACGTCAAGGAAGGTTGGGCACCATTGGTCAAATTCCTTGGAAAGTCGGCTCCGGCCGAAGAGTTCCCACGTGTCAACGAAAGCCAGGCTCTTGACAAACAGGCGAAATATTTGTTCACCAAGCTTGCTGGCACATGGTTCGGAATCCTTGCTCTTCTCGGTGGTAGCGCTTATTTCACTGCGAGATGGTGGAAGATGTCTCGTTGAACCTGAGCATCGCGGTAGCTAGTGTCATTCGGAGATGGTAACGTTGATATTTAGCGATGATTTGGTAGATGTATTCCCATAAAAGACGATTTCCTCGGAAGCCATGAGCAAGAGCGCTGCGCAAGTGCTCGTAGTGGCCAATCAAAGGTCCATCAACTTTGCCCATCATGATATCCCCCACTGCAAGGTTGCGGAATCATGAAGTTGTAGTGATAACAGTTGACTGTAGATTCGAAGTCTCTCTTTTCGTATATTCCCAAATTTCTTTTCTTTATTTTCTGTTTCTCTCCTATTTTCTTCCCTTATGCTTACCCTGATATCATATGTATATATTGAATTCCAGCTGATTTCCACCACCGTCTCCATATTTGGTATTAAAGAACTGCTGTACTGATCATGAAAGCTATGACGCCGGAAGAACTCTCTCTCCTCTTAAATATCAACATATCGATATTGACAGCGGAAATGGTTGCTCAGTTGTCCTTAATTGTATCCAATACATGGACGATTCAAATATACGCAACAAAAATCATATTGCCTGATGTTGCCGCCTTTGCACTTTCGACGGGCAGCCCTCTGCCCGTTCAACTTTTTCGTCCACCAGCAGAAGTCGCAGCTATTAGCATAACCTTTCTTCGTATGTCAATTCAAGATCCGGAGGATCAGAATTACTCTGTTGCGGAGAAGCAGGTCATTCCCTTGGAGAGGTAGATAGGTAGGAGTGTATGTTGAACATAAAAGCCGCATTGCCTTCCGAGGACACGGTCTCGGGAGAGGCGTGGGAGCAGGTTGTGCGAATACGACATCGGTAAATTGAATGATTTGAAGCAAATGGTCGTGGACAATATTTTCCATTGATCAAGATCGGACTGTGAATCCTTGAAATTGAGATTGATGTCAGTTCTCTCCCACCGTGTACCTTCTAGGACTTGGGGGATCCTCTTGACCGTATCATAGGCCTTCGAACAAGGATATAGATGGCTGTTCGTTGAAATTGTCGGATGGGCCCACTGCAGGTGTCAGACGTAGGGTACAGGATGTAATTCCTTGTTTGCCTTCACCTCAAACACAAAATTACATGGTATTCCCGTCCATAGATTGGCGCCCTGAATGGTAGCCCTATCGAATTTACGGCCTAAGTTCGCGGCTAGACACAGTTGTGCAGTCTCCCTGCGCCCTTGGACATCAATTGTAATGCCAGGCGGTGTGAATGAGGTCGTATACGGGTTACCGATATTTTTGGTCACAACGGCGCATCTGCAAAAGTCTGATCCCTCCAAGCCCTCCCTGCTTTAACAGTGTGGAAGACAGACAACAGCGAGTCTCGACTCCTCAGAGAAGCTATAGAGCATTTCGCGAAAGACCTCAATCTGCACGTCTGGAAACACGCCGGCTAGTATCTCCAGGCTGCTGTTTAGATCTATAATCTCGTTTAGTAGGGGTGTCTGTGGCTGTAGCTGCGATTCGTTGGTGATATAGAGCGTTCTGGTCCTCTCGATTTCGCGCAGCCATATATACTTCTCATTGTCTCTCTCTCTGTGAAGTGCCAATTCACGAATGATTTAAAAATATCAACGATTGTCTCTTCAGACATGGCCGTGAGGTTCTCATTGAATTCACCTAGGTTCATGATCACAAGTATGTGTTATTCTTCTGGTAGGTACTTTTTCGCAATGGTGTAAAGATGCTTGGAAGAAGCCTTCGTGTAACTCCCATGATCGATACATTTAGCATCTCATCGGCAATCACGGCGACTCTTGACTCCTCGGGAAAGCTATAGGGAGGCGTTTTGGTTGTGCCGATATAGTACGCGGTAGTACTCGGTTAATTCTTGGACCTTAGTTAGAATGGGGGCGTGTACAATCACAAACAGCACATATTTGACGCAGTTGTATTTGGATTGAGCGACCATCACTGTGGAAGCAGTGTCAAAATTAACCAGCTCAGATGGCTTTGGTCGCGCCGACAGGGCTCCTTCTGGATCTGCGCGTCTTCGACGCCGAATTCAGACATCCTCAAATTATTGATTGAATGGAGGAATTTCAAATTAGGGTGCTGATGGAAGGAATGAGAGCTCGCTACGGGGCTCGAATCGCAACAACTCAGGTGAACATTTTCAGTTGCGGGAGCAAAAGCCATGGAGGAGTATCACGGATTACAAATCCAAGATTGTTGGACCCTACAGGTTGGAAAAAGAAGAAAAGAGAAAAGAAAAAAAAAGGACAAAGAGAAAAGAGAAAGAGAGAGAGAAAAGAGAAAGAGAGAGAAAAGAGAAAGAGAGAGAAAAACGGAAAAAGAAGAACAAAAAAAGAAAAAAGAAAGAAAGAAAAGAGATAAAAGAAAGAAAGTAAATAAAGGAAGTGAAAAAGAGGAGGAGAAAGGGAGAAAAAAAAAGATTAAATAAGGGAGAGAGCAATTCTCTCTAACAATTATAAGCTTAGTAGAGCTTAATCGATATATAAAAAAAAAATGTCTATATAAAAAGACGGCGTGTCTTGGTCTATGTACGGATATCTTGCTGGACCGCCTTGCAGGATCACTGAGCCTTCCGATTAGACTTCGCAATTATGAGCCGTCGGGCCTTACTTTCTTGAAGTGTGAGGTCGCAGGTGTCCGAATTATATAGTGGCAGCCATACTCGCGAGGGTCCGAGTTCAGAGGAACTCTCTTCAAATCCAGCTTTTTGAAGCTATTACCCGTAGGATACTGGTAGCAGCTGGATTATATTGGCAATAATCACAACGGGCAAAGAGTCGAAAGTTTTGGCCGGAGGCCAAAACTGAGACTCGTACGTACATAAACCACTTGCTGGATATCTTGGGACTTATGTCAAATTGACGTGGCGAGAGGATTACATCTTTGCAGCATTCATGTAACTCCTCATCTAGCTCGGCGTTGCTGGTTGATCGGATGGTCAGTATAACATAGCCTTGGCCCGACGATTTCTGTATGACCTGGGGTGAAGGTATGTATACGGTTGTTAGTGGTGAAGATGACATATTTGATCAACCAAGGAACAGCCATCTTCGCACAGAGGACAAGATCAGATATGATTATCGATCCGTCAAGCGACTACGTCGGTTGTGAAGTCATACAACTGGTATCTCTCGCAGGAAAAAATAAGAAAATAAAAAATAACAATAAATAGAAAAAATAACTTTTGAGAACAACCCAAGGACAGAAAGCCTAGGCAACCCCCTCCCTGGTATTTCCTGACAGTGCCACACTCACCAGCCACTCTGTGGGGAACTATATCCTCCCCCTTGCCGCCCCATTCCACGGATATATATGGAAATTACTACAAAATCCCTCAACAACCTCCAGGACGATTCAGAACCTCTAGAATCATCCAATCAGCTTGTTTCTAGCCCTGCTGGTCTAGTGGTATGATACCTGCTTCGGGAATCTGTACATTCTCATTATCTCACGATAATTATTGCAGGTGGCCCCCGGTTCGAATCCGGGGTAGGGCCCAACCTTTTTTTGGTTTTTGCTGCCCGAGTACATACTCCACAGTGTCTAACGACACTACGGGAGCATAGATCTTTGCCGTCTGAACCGGAAAATATGTTTATTTGGTTGATTTGCCTTTGTTTTGAATTAATTCGAATTTTTCTGCGTTTTGACTGCCGATATGAATCGCGGGCGACAGCACACCCATTTGACCTCGGGACACCCACTAACAGCCCCGCAGTGACCATTTGATTTAGCAGATGTCTCTGGGAGGGCCTGGACACTGTTTGACCAACGTTCAATTGGCAATTTGATAATAGTTGTGTCTCACTTATGCTCGTATTTGAGATATACCCCATATGATTATGAGTCCGGCAGAACAGTGCCCCGCTTCTAGCCCAACAGACTACGTATGCTTGACCACTCCTTGCAACGACCACCATTGATTTGCCATACACACTCATATGACCACGCGACACTTTTTTTTTATCATATGTTCGAGGCAGTCAGTAGGGAATAGTATAGTAGTCGCCTATAACCTACCCGGCAGACCGGGACCCGTGGGCTTGGGTCGCGGCTAGTGGAGCTGGGATCCTGACCCACTTCTAACGCGCCCATTGGAAAGTGCACAGGGGATGCACTCTCCTTTGCGCCTTCCTTCTGCAATTTAGCCCTGCAACAACCTCGATCCCATCTGCCTTTCTGACTTTTTCTGTCCCATCTCTTCATCACCACTCCGGAAGAAATAAAGCCAATAAGCTGCGGCCAAAGAGGTGTACCATGCACCTACTACGGAACACCGAAACCTTCGGCTGAGGCCTCCGAGTCAAAATGTTCTTGTTCGGCGGCGCCTCTGGGCGCGCCCGAAAATCCAAGTCCCGAGAGCAGTTGACTGCTGGCGCAGCGCCTCTACAGCGCTCATCAAGTCCCGATCCCACATCGCTCTACATCACCGACGAATCGCAGCTACAGCTCCAGCTCCAACCGCCCCTTCCAAGCGAGATTTTAGATCTGAACAGCAGCCTGGAGATATTGGCTGGGGTGTTTCCTGACGTGCAGATTGAGGTCTTTCGCGAGATGCTTTATAGCTTTTCCGAGGAGTCAAGAGTCGCCGTAATCGCCGATGCGATGCTCAAAAATCCATCAGCCTGGGTCAAGGGCCGGAGGAGGCTACGCAGCGAACCAGAGCCTGGGGAGGAAGAGCAGCGGGTTCCAAAGACCGAGACTTTTCGAGGCAAGGACTATCAACAGGCGGTCCGCACCTTGGCCCAGACCGAGTTCAAGGGACTCTCACGGTCTTCGATTGAAGCGGTACTTTCCGAATCAAACTACTCTTACCTCGATGCCCGGCCGACCTTGGTGGAGCTCTCGTCCAAGTCGTGGAAGTTTACCTTTCAGTCAATCTTTTTCCGACGTAAGCCTGTGACGACGGGCGAGGCAGAGCATCACCCCCTCGTCGTATGGAAATCCTCCGGCCAGGGGCACATTTTACCGACCATTCGATCAACCGGCAACGCCGAGCTAGATGGAGAGTTATTCAAAGAACTCATCATCCCACTAAAGAGAACCGAAGCGGCCATGAGAGAAGAAAAAGATCATGAGCTCGCTGCAAAGATTCACAATGAAGAAGCAGAAGCTTGCGAAGCTACATATGAGTGTGCTTGCTGCTATGGAGATGTCACATTTGAGGAAATCACCACATGCAATGTTAACGACCACATGGTCTGCTTCCGATGTGTTCAACACTCCATAACAGAAGCCGTGTTTGGCCAAGGCTGGATACGCAGTATTGACAAGGCCACAGGGACACTTCGTTGCCCAGCAGTATCTTCAGAAGAATGTCCAGGTTGTATCTCGGCTGAGCATATCCATCGCGCCATGCAAGGTCAAAAGAACGGCGCCGAAATACTTCACAAGATGGACCAGCGTCTCGCCGAGCACGAACTTATTGCCAGCAATATTCCGCTCGTTCGGTGTCCATTTTGCAGCTATGCCGAAGTGGACGAACTGTTTATACCAATCAACAAGAGGCGGTTGAAGCTGCGCGCAAGTAACATTCCCAACCTGGTCCTGATACTGCTCTGCATAGTACTGTCTCCGGTCTCGCTTCCTCTTGTGCTCCTCGTCATGACTTGTATCCTTTTTATTTGTGCCACTGCATTGCGCGGCACATTGAGAATGCAGTTTCGCGCTGCCATTTCCCGTTATCAGCGGCGTCGACTGGGCCTCAAATTCATCTGCCGCAACCCGTCCTGTGGTCGTTGCTCGTGCATGTCGTGCTCAAAGGCGTGGACCGACATTCACATATGCCACGAGTCCAGCCTCGTAGCGCTGCGCACGCAGGTAGAGCAGGCCATGTCCATGGCCATTAAACGCGTCTGTCCGCGTTGCAATACGAGCTTTGTCAAGAATGCCGGCTGCAACAAGCTCACTTGTCCATGTGGCTACAAGATGTGCTATGTCTGCCGCAAGGACATTGGCTCCAGCACCGAGGGCTATCAGCATTTCTGCCAGCACTTCCGGCCCGAGGGCGACGGCAGCCGCTGCCAAGAATGTGCAAAGTGCAATCTGTGGGAGGCCGAAGATACCGAGACCATCTTGAGTGAGGCCCGTGCCGAAGCCGAAAAGCGCTGGAAGGAAACAGAGAGGAGAGAGCTCTCCGAGTCTGAAAAGGCTTTTCTCGAGACCGGCGTGGCCAGCAAGCGGGACGACGTTATGACCAAACTGCTCTATGGTCGCAGCAAGATGCCCACCGTCGAGGATATTTGTGACGGCATCATTGAAACATTATTTGTCGTGGGGTCATGATCCAACGCCGTCGACTGACAAGTCACATTTTCTCTTCTAGGGCATATTTTCCAATCTTCTTTCACGGTCAGGCTATATATTTGACATTAGAACGGTAAAATCAGGCTCAATTCATGTCCGGATGACTAAAGAAAGAAAGCGCATCGCATGGTAGCAAAGCATCAAGAGGTAATAGCGTCGGTTTAGGATGGAATTCAAAAGGCATCAAGGGCATTCGGTTTGGCGTTAAATCTGGCGTTATATTTTAACTTTATAAGCTTTTATAATAGAAATTCTATTGGGAAAAAATTTAAGAAAAAGTTTCTAACTAAATAATACGCTTAAGCGATTAATAGTTTTTTTTTTCTCTTTTTCTCTTTTTCTCTTTTTC